TACATATATATCTATATATATATATATATATATATTTATAAAGTGCACTTCTGATTTATTTAGTTCTTTAAATAATTATTATACTCGTCATTATACTCATTATTAGTATTATACTCATCATTAAATATTTATTTCCTTACAATTTTCAGTTTAAAAAGTTTCATTCTAAAAAGCTTTCAAGTCGTGAATCAGTTAATCTTTTTTTTTCCCGAAGAAAATTTAAACACAAAAAAAGATTGTCTTTTAGCTTACCTCTAATTATTTTTCAGTGGCTTCAAATTTTTCGGTTATTTTGATAATGACTAAGAATTAATTTGTAAAATATACACAAAAAATATTATAAGAGGGTAATTTAAAAATTGAGGACAAATTCAGTTATTACATAATATTAATAAATTTTGACGGTGTTAAGTGAGTGCCCTTTTAAAACTCAAAATGCTCTTTTTTATTCCCAGGGAGAGCTCAGTTAAAGCAAAATAATAAAATTAAGTCATGAAACTATTCGCATAGCTCTAAATTGTGATAAATTGCATCTCCGACCAATTTACATGAACTTTAAAATCCAAACCATTACTTACATGCAATCTACCTTTCTTTAAATCACCTGATTTACTTGTTCTTTTAATTCCTGCTGTCTATTTCTGTTCTTTAATCCATCAAATCTACTTTTCTTTAAAACCATGCAGCCAATTTTTTTTTTTTAGTTCAATCATTCTACTTTTGATTTTTAATCTATTTTTATTCTATGGTCTGTCTACTCTACTTTTGTTCTTTAAATTATGCAATCAACTTTTGTTCTTTAATCCATCAAATCTACGCTAATTTTTTGAAGCCATCTATTTACTACTGTTCTTTAGTCAATGAAACTTTCTTTTGTTCTTTAATCCATCAAATCTACTTTAATTTTTCATCCATCTATTTGCTACTATTCTATAGTCCTTCAAGCTTTTTTTTTTGTTCTTTAATCCATCGAATCTATTTTAATTTTTGGAACCAAAATGCTTAATTAGTTTGAACTGCTTAAAAGCAGTTTTCTTGAATTAGAATTTTAAAATTAATAGTGTACAATTTTTTTTATGCAGCAGATCAGATATTCGGGGCCAATTTTACTGGATTCAAGTAAACTAATTGTGAGTAAGTTAGTTAGGGATATGTGAATTGCCGGAAGGAAAAGGTTTCAGTAGGAATTGTCAATAAATTGTTCCTGATGTGTGTTTAAACGTAATAAATAAATTAAATTTTTCTTTGTTTAAATAAGAATTTTGTTTTTCATACATACATTTAACACTAGAAAGTCTGAAGCTTAGTATATCCCTATATTGCCTAAGAGCAGTCAAAATAACTGGATTGTAAAATAATAGAAAATGTGCAAAGAAATTTATTTAAAATTAATTTTGAATATTTTTTATATTATTTACAGTTATATAACAAGTTATTAGTAAATATTAACAATAAATAAAATTATATGTTCTACAAAATTCAAAGAAATTGTGTCATTATATGCAACATTGTTTTTCTAATTGAAATTAAAAGCAGTCAAAATGACTTCCTTAGGCAATCTAGTGTTAGAAATTAGTTAATTTATTCAATTGTACGAAAATACAAGGTTTTTTTCAATATCTTTAATTTATTTATTTAATTTCAAGTGTATTTATTACATTTAAAGTGCAAAAACATTTAACACAATGTTTAAATTTAATTTAATTGAACTATGGTGTATAATATGTAATTTAATTTAATTTAAAATGCTAGAATGATATACCAAACAATTAAAACAAAAAAATGGGCTTAAGTCTATGGTGCAGACTCTTACACGTAATTAAACGAATAATTTTAAAAATCTCTTAAATTTCTCAAAATATTCAAAGTGGTAAAAGCATTTAAAATTTTTAAAACTATTTGTTTTCTTAAATGGAGAAGCATCAACCAATTTAACTGAACTGCTCAAAAATTATGTGGAGAATTTTTATAATATCGTGTGTAATTTGCGATCAGAAAATTAGTAATCACTTTATCATTTATCACTTTAACAAAATAAATATACGAGCGATTACATACCAGACAGCCTCAAATGAGATACAATCTTTGGTAATACAAATCCCATTTTTTCCCCTTCCTTCTGAAAACAGCAACTAAAACAACTGATTGAGTTTTTGTAACCGAAAATTAATCTTCTGTATTTAGCTGGGGCCGATCCACAAATGTAAAAACTTATAGATATAGGTTTATTTCAGTGTAATTTCTTATCCCCCAATAAATGATATCGAATCTTATCAAAATTATTCCTAAAAATTCTTTTTTTTCTAAAACAAATGTTATCTACAGTGATGACTAAGAAAATGATGAAATCAGTGGTCAATGGTTCTCCCAAGCCTTGATAGCAACTAATGGGTTTTTGAAAGACGAAGGCCACGCTGAAAAGTCTCACCTTTTAGGCCATTTTCAAGTGTTCATGACAAATACCATCAGAATGAAGTATTAAAGAGACACAAAATTCAAAAATAATTATTTTTTACTTATATTGACACATTTTCAAAAGCATTTTTCTAAAAAAGCAACAGACTGTTTGTAATAACTAAAAAAATTTTTAAACAATGAAAAAACAGCCATATTGAGAGGCCCACAATAAATTAGGAACAAAAACAAGTATTTTTGAACACCCTATGCCAGAAAATCAAGTTATGAGCTTGCAACTTGTATCGATTACTTTAGTTTCTATTTTTAATAACTGCATAAAGTTTCGTGAACCTAGAATGAATATTTATCGAGATATGGACATTTTCATAAAAAATTTATTTTTTACGCTTTATGTTTTTTCATTATAACTACATAGATATTCAATGGAATTAAACAAAAGATTTTAGCAATTTGAAATTAATTGCAAAAGTGACGATTTAAAATTTTTCAAAAATTCGTCAAAAAATTGCGCAAGTTATGAATATTTATGCTAGTTCTTTTATACTGCTCATGCACTGAAAAAATTTTTAAAAAGTTTTCTCCTAATTTTGCAATGAATCATCGTGTTTGGCAACTAATAAAAAATTTGATTTGAATATTTTAAAAATTTTGAAAGTTTCGAGCAATTTTCTAAGTAGTTTTTGTACTTTAAAAAAAAAAAAAGAAAAAGAAAGCATACGAATTTTATTTTGCATCATAATACAAAATTTAATAACAAATGATAATACCTTGCAATAATCATCCGAAAACTACACTTTGATGGTATATTAAGAAAGAAAACATATAAAAGAAAAGATACTTTTATGGGAGGTGATCCCCCACAATGCCGGTCTCATTTTTAATAAATCTTGTTTAACACTATAAGGTGAAATTTTTAGATAATCCCTTATCGTTTTGAGCTTCCTTTTAAAAAGTACAAAAACTACTTAGGCAGATGCTTTATTTACGCGCACTAGAGATTCACAATGGGCTATTGGCAAAGGTCTGGGAAAAACTCTAAAAATGATCCGAAGACATGCCATCGCAATTTTGATCCTCTGAAGATGGGCTAGCTCCCCTGCTTTGTTAGCCCGACGATCTGCACGTGAAGTCGAGCACTTTATGGTAGAACAGTTTAAGGAGGGCCGATACCGCGCACCCTCCGTCCCTACGCAGGCTGATCAAAGTAATCACCCACCCGCTTAGTGACAGCAGCCAATGATGCTTGACTTCAGTGTTCTACTAGGAACAGTGTCTTTGCACTGTGGAGACAAAAACTACTTAGAAAATTGCTTGAAACTTTTTAAATTCGTAAGATATTCAAATAAAGCTTTTTAAAGTTACCAAAACTATTCCCTACAAAATTAAGAGAAACGTTTTTAAATTTTTTCTGCGCATGCGCAGTGTAAAAGAACTAGCTTGAAAACTTACTAGTTTCAAACTCATCATCACACTTTTTATCGAATTTTTTTAAATTTTAAATCATCAAGTTTATAATTAATCTTAAATGTTTCCAAAAATTAAGCTTAATTCAATTGAATATNATATATATATATGTATGTATGTATGTATATATATATATATACAGAAAGGGCAAGAGCCCCCTCCCCCCATTCTAGAGAAATTTCAGCGGTCACTTGACCCGTTCTTCAACTAGTAACAAAACAAATGCGAAATAAGAATTTGTAATTTGTTAAAAGTCTGGTCTGTCACCACTCTGAAGGAAACGTTTAAACAAAAACAAAAAAAATTCTTTTAAATCGAGATCAAAAAATTAAGATAACACTGTCGTAGAAGCGGTAGATACTTTTTTTAATAAATTAATAATTAATTTTTTTCTTCCAATTTCTTATCACTTTTTAAAATACATTTGTGTGGTTTTTAACATATGGTCAATCTAATCTAATCACATCTGATTCTTTGTGGCGATAGTATTGCGAAGGGTGATAAATTTTCAGTGGCAAAAATATCATCTATATGAAAAATAATTAAAATTATTAAAAACTTGTATTGATCATCAGGCATATAGAGTTTTAGATAAGGTTTTAGCATTCTAAGTGGTTGAAATTCCGATTGATGATAAGTCTCCTCTTTGGCAATAAAATGACAATAACAGTCAAAAGACTATTGATAATCATCAGGCACAAAGCTGCTATAAAGAGTTGAGTATAATAATAGGAAAGTAGTTCAAATTTCGATTAAAAGAATCTTTTCTCACGGACTTGAAAGCAAGCCAACAAAACATTATAAAAAGAAAACAAGTTTTTACTGACCATCTACAATTAGTAAACAGTAAATAAGTTATACTGATTTTTTTAATAGGTTAATTACTTTACTATAAATCTAATTACTTTTATAAATTTCATATAAAATTGTGTTCAGTTGACGCAGAATTTTTATTAAACATATTTTTCATACTTTTTTCATTATTTTGTATCAGTTACATCAAAATAAGTAAAAACTATTATATTTAAAATTTTAATAATTTGTGGTTATGATATACAGTATAAAACACAGGCATCTTTTTCTGTGTTAACTCTTTAAAGCAGAATTATTATTAAACATATTTTTTTACACGTTTTCCATTTTTTTGCATTAATTTAGGTCAAAATGAGTGAAAAAATATTATTTTTAGTATTTCAATAATTTACGGTTTGAATGCATCAAAAAAACACTGGTAGCTTTTTCTGCGCTAAAGGTAAAAATCTTCCAAACATGGCTCACTTCTTAACAATAAAATTTGCATTTAGTTACAATATTTAGGTCTAAAAGAAATAGTTATTCATCATTTAAATTTCTTTAATTTAAAAAATCATTTGCTAATTTTTCAACATGAATGAAAAAAAAAATTTCCTTCCAACTACTTTTTTTGCATTTTATATTTCTGTACAGTTATAATTCCGATATTCTAAGAGTAATTATTAGACTGTTTTTTATAAATAAAAAGTACTAAAATATATTTTTACTTTTAATCAAATCAGAAAAAAAAAATATTTATATTTATAAGGAACACCGGTGTCAAATTAGCATCAAAGGGTTTAGAATCAACTTTTTGAAATAATAATTATTGTCCTTAGCAAAAAACATTTAATGAGTTTTTACAGTAACCAAAAATTAAATGTACATTTTAAAAACAAGTATGTGTGGATGAATGGTAACAAAAAAAAAATGATCACGCTCAAATTAGATCCCAACGGAATCGAATACTTAATCTATGAAACACAATTTGTGTTAATACAATAAAAAAAATTGAAAATCTTTTATTTAATTAATTTTTAATTTTGATGTAATAATTCGAATCTTTTTATTGTCAAGAAATAAATAAATGATTTCGAATCAATCGTTGGGGTTCGCGAGCGAAGCAAGTAGGGTGCAGAGCTCCCTAGTTTTAGGAAATTATATTAATATACTATAGAAACTGTGCTTTTAATTTCTTCAAAAAATATACATAAATAAACAAAGGAGAACGCAGACAAATTCACACGAAACTTGCAACAGGAAAGCAAACAAAGAGTAATTTAATAAAGAGTAAGAATAATTTTTAATTTTTATGTAACAATTTGAATCTTTTTATTGTCAAGAAATAAATAAATAAGTTCGAATCAATCGTTGGGGTTCGCGAGCGAAGTAAGTAGGGTGCAGAACTCCCAAGTTTTAGGAAATTATATTAATATACTATAAAAACTGTGTTTTTAATTTCTTCAACAAAAAAAATACATAAATAAACAAAGGAGAACGCAGACAAATTCACACGAAACTTGTAACAGGAAAGCAAACAAAGAGTTCTGCTGGGACGGACAATCAATGGGAGGAAGTTCCGCACGGATTCGACTCTTACAGCCCTCTGAGTGCGAGGTTTCGTTCCGAGAAGGTGTCGCCCCTGAGAGACTGAAATCGGATTCGCCCACGAATGCAGCAACCAATCGATAGGATGCGAGGCGAGTCCCGTGTGAAGGTGAACCGCAGTGTAGATGAAACCGGATCGAACACTAGGGTTCAACTCTTTTAAAATCGGTCGAATAATTCATATAATTATACGAATTCGGAACAACGCAAGAAGGAAACTTCTCAAACTGATAAAGATAAAAAGAATTTCGATGACTAAGTTTAGTTCTTGTTTCGAAATGTAAAATAATGTTCCATTGCGCGCCTCGAAAATGAGCTCCTCTGCGCTGACAATCGCGGCAGCTGATCGAGGGTTTACTTGGTCCGACGAGGAAACGTCAATTCTTCTTCAGCTATGGAGTAATGTTCATGCGCAGACGAATGTTTCAAATGGTAATAAAAAAGGCATTAACATATTTGAAAAAGTCTCTGAAGGAATGAACAGTATGGGTTTTTTACGAACGACTTCTCAATGTAAGGAAAAAATTAAAAGAATGAAAAGAGAGTACACGGTGTCGAAACAGAGGAATCAAAGTGGTCGGAATAAAAAGGCAATGAGATTTTTTGAATTATTCGAACAAATTCTCGAAACAATTCAATTGAAAAATTCCGAAAGTACAATAGAAAAGTCAACTTGTCCCGATAAAGAGTTAGAGGTTAAAAATAGGAACATTTATCTAAAAAAAACCACTTTAAAAAATGATAAACCACAACCACAGCCAAGGAGTTTGCGGAAAAGAAGTCTACCTGTTGAAGTGGGTAGGTTTGAAACTTTTATTAATTTAAATTTCTAGAATTAGAAAAATTTGAATTATGAACTTTTTTAAACAAATTATGAGTTTTCTTTTATACATATTGTTTCAAAAAAAAAAATTTTTTTTTGAAGAATACTGTTTCGTGATGATATTTGAGAATAAATAAATGAATAATTTTAAGAAACCATCTCTCTCATGTATTCGAGAAAGTATTTTAAAATATGTTTAGTTTCTTTCTGTGTTGACAATGTTATTTTTAAATAATTTCATTTTCTTGCAGTGCATTCACTTGATTTTCAATGGATTTAGACGTAAAAATTAATTAAGAATTTCAATGTTAAAAATATACATATTTATTAATTACAAATTTATGTGTAATCGTTTATTATTAAATTTATAAAAATAGCAAACAATTAAATTTTTAACCTAAATTTTCCTCAACTGTTCAAGTTTTCAAAAAGTTTTGTCTCGTGTGATCTTAAATCCTTCTAAAAAAACTTAATATTTTTACAACTTTCTTAAAATTATTAATGTTATTTCATAAAGTTTTTAAAAATACTTAAAAACTTAAGATTTAAAATTAGGTAACTAGGTTCTAAAGAATACTTTTTAAGAAATTACATAAAGCATAAAAAATGCAAAGAATATCAATGAGTTACTTAAGAAATTGCGTTTTTATAATTTTCAATATTTTAACATGGGGGAAATATATCATGCTTATATCTGTCTGAAAAACAAGTAGCTTCTGTGATTAAAAATTATTATTATTATTATTATTATTTTTTTTTTTTTTTGAATTTACAATTACTTTCAAATTGGAATGTAGCCACAAGACGACATTCAATCTAGAAATGTCGGAACTTCGCTTACGGTAATATTACTTCAACTTTTTTTTTTCGTTTTGAATTGTTTCTTTAAATTGTGCGCAAATTCTAAATGTTCTTAAAGACAATTGAGAAACACCATCCATCTATATATATATGTATATATATATATATTTTTTTTATCCAAATGAAGCTTTTTAATTAAGTTTATTTTTTTGCTTCAGTTGCTTGGAATTAATGTTCTAATGATGAAACTCGTTTGTAGAAAGTTGATTTCACACAAAAAGGAATTAATCTTATTGTTCACTTATAACACAATGTTATTGTTTGATTTCATGTAGTCCCAAAAGAAAATCTTTTATTTTATCGGAATTATGGTATGGCTGATTAATGTATATTACAGTCTGAAACTGTTTCTCATTGTTGCCTGTGCATACTTTTTGAAAAGAAAAATCACACGGCACGATCGTTAAATTAACAAAAATAATTCCAATATCTTTGAGTGCTATTAACATAAAATTTATCAAAGTTACAATGGTGTTTACTTCTAATTTAATTCATTATTATTAAACATTAATTTATTAATTATTCTGTTCTTTCTTTTCATATTTTTATTAGAATGGAAAGTAGCAATAGTGGCATTCTTATTCAGAGTATAATAATCTGATACAAAATTATAGGTTTAAAACTTAACTTGGAGTTTTGTGAAGCAATTCTATGATTACCTTACTACGCAATATTTTATGATAAGCATATTAAATTATATTTTTGCAGCTATTAAACGATCAATAAGCTTTATTTAGTTATAAAATATGGACCAATAAGTTATACTTGTTTTCAAAATAAATTTCAAACAATACTGTGATCCGTTAACATATGCCTTTAATATAGTTATTGCAAAATAATTATTTAAAATTGCAACAACAAAAAAATTCACTGTAGCTAAATAATTTTCTGGGTGAAAGACAAGTTTTTATGGTAACCAAAAATTAAATTAGAATTTAGGAAACAAGTTTGTGGATGAAGTTGAAATGGTAAAAGAAAAATATTATAAGGTTTAAATTTTCTACCAATAGAATCAGGAACCAAATATTTGTTAATAGAATCAGACATATTGAAAACTTTTAAATGAATAAGTTTTCTATCAATAGAATCGGGAACCAAATCTTTGTTAATGGAATCAAACATATTGAAAACTTTTAAATGAATAAATTTTAATATTGACGTAGTAATCTGTTTCTCGTCAAGAAATAACATTGATTATGAAGCAATCTTGGGGGTCAAAAAACGGCAGGGACTATTGGGAGAAAAAACCCCAAATTCCGTATAAAGAGTGGCTTTTTTTTTTAGTTACGGGTTTAGTTTAGTTTTTATTTAAAAAAATTATGTTTTTTCTTTTCATTACAAAACTTATTTTAAAGCCTTTTATTTTGAAGCGCTATAAATCAGTGGTTCCCAAAAGATGTTTCGCGGAAACTTAAGGTTCCGTGAAAGGGTCACAAGGGTTTCCGAGAGTAAGAACTTCTTTTTTTTTTTTACCAGTTAAGATTCTTGAAAACCTATATTATTCATATTATATCAATAATCCATTATTCATTTCATATTTCCGTTATGTTTTATAAAATATTTAAGTAACGGGTAGTGAAAAAAAAGAAAACAAGAACAATAAATTGTACTAATTATGAAAAGGATATGAAAAAATTGTATTAGTATTTTACGTTCTGCTTTTCAATTTAAAATTTTTGTTTCACTGAACTTTTCAATGCATATTTTCATGGTAGCGGTAACCATTCTTAATGTTCATAACAGTTCTTTAACTTTTTCATTTCAACGGAAACCACAATTCAGCTGCAAATTCAGTATACACCAGAAACTAATTCAGAACTAGAAAACTAATTCAGAACTGCTGCTCCATCCCCACGAAAGCAACTGTCTTCCGTAAAATATAATTTTAAAAGTTATTATTAATAACAACAAGAAAAAGTTTTATTCTTCACATTAAATAGTTTTAAAATAAATTATTTTCCTTCTTTGGTTAATTTGTCCAAAAATGCTAATCAACTTAATTTATGATTATTCCGATTTTAAAAAAAATAGGACGATCTCCATAGGCGGGGAAAAAATATGAAACAGCTGTATTCAAATTTATTGCAACCAAAGCCAAATTGAATCATATAATAGTACAAATTAATATTTCTATCTAGAGTTTGATTAATCTAAATTTGTGCGAAAAACTGGTTCGATTTTGTATTAAGGTTGTAGAAATTATACATAAAATATTTTGGTAAAAACACCCAATGTTATGTTTCAACATTTAAAAATTTTTTTACGAATAGTTTTTTTTTTCTTTCTAAATGCTGTAAAAAAAATAATAAAAAATTAGAAGGCTAAAAGGTGGTCTGTTGAAATTTTTGATTTAAGAAAATAATTAATGAATTTTTAATAAAGTTGAAATTTATTTATAACTGAATAATCTTTCTAATATCAAGTATAAACATTATTAATACTTCAAGGAATCAGTAAATCAAATCGTTTTGATAACAAATATTACTTTTGTTACAGAAAAAGAAGCTCAAAACGGTATTTAAAGTCACCGACGCTTCAGTAACTTTGAAATTTAAATTTTACGGCAAGGTAATGTAACTTTAAATGGAAAAATGCGAAATTTGAGCGCAATCAGTCGAATAGGCCGATTAGTAGAACAAAAGTTTTTAAATGTTATATTCTTTTTTATTTTGCGCACTTTACATTAAAAAAGTCGGATTCTTTTTCGTCAAAGCGTTTTTCCTTTCTAGTTTGTTTTATTTTAAACTTTTAATAATAATTCAGAGAACTTTTAATAATAATTTAATTATACAGTCAAACGTTAGTGAACCTTCAAGGGACCGACATTTTGGTTCACTATATCCGTTACGCATGCAATTTAACTAATGATTCCCAAACTCCTCCCTTTTATTACACATCATTCAAATAAATTACTTAAAAATATTATGTAGTAGTAAAAGATGTGTTATTTTTCATTACTCTTCATCTTGCGTGCAAAAAAAAAGTAGTATTTTTTAGGTGATGAGCAATCCTCGAAATCAGATATGAAAACACTTCCTGACTCTCAGATAATTTTTCCTGAATTTCTGTTATTCCGCTATTTAAACCTGTCTAATCTGCCATTCGAGCACATAAAAGTTGCCTCATAAAATCGCTTAGCAAATTCATGGACATTTGTCCAGATACTGGAAGATTGCGGCTTCTTCGAATGGTGAACCACTTCAGTAATGCTTCTTCAACATCCTTTTCTCAACTTTTTTCTGCCATCGAAATTTTTTTCATGAGCAGAAATAATTAATTGCCTATTTTTCCATTTGTTACAAACTACAGATTTGGATAGTTTATATTCCCTGCAAATATCAACTTGATTGCATCCATTTTCAATTTTTCTGGATTATGTCCATTTTATCATCAATGGAGAACGTTTTACGTTTGCTGGTCGCCATAGTTAAATTTGAGACACTTGTTTGCAGTTTTTTTTAACTGAACTGAGAGCAAAGAGGAGTTGAAATGAGGGCCTTATCAACACATATTAGTGTCCAACCTTTTGACCAATTATGAATAATTACTCATTCCCTCTGACAGAAAAGGCATATTGATCCCACTGACACCTTATAGGTGCATCATCTGCCTGGGTTGGAAACATCTGCTTGGTTTCTTCAGGGATTGGAAAGTGAAATAAAAGAAGCAAACAAGAAAAAATGCTTATCGCTTCATTCCCCTCTATGAATGGTTGTAAACACTGGTATATGTATTTATTTTGAAGTAGAAATCTCAAACTTATTACAAGAAAATGAAGAAAAAAATCAGTCAAAGGCAGAAAAAAAGTTCATTATATCCAACTTCCTCACAATTTTGGTTCACTATATCCACAAAAAATATCATTATACATGTATAGCAAGGCACGGGACCGAACATTTCGTTCACTATATCCGGGAGTTCACTATAAACCGTGTTCACTATAGCGGGGTTTGACTGTACTAAGAGTTTCTAACCAAACTTTATTGACCGTATAAATCGATGTAATTTAATGCTGTATTGTAAGCAAAGAACACTAAATCTGCGAAAGGGAGAGAAAGATCTCGGTCAAACTGTGTGATCCCAAAACAACGAATGACGTATTAGAATTCTCGAAATCCATAGAACAAGACCAGAATGGACAAACGAAAGACATTCCTAAATAGCGTCATAGAAGTTGCAGTTTTGAGCCCCAAGAAAATGAAAAACTGTGTATATTTAGAAAGAAAAAAATTCTAGTCATTTAGAGAAACTTGACATACGTACTTTGATGGTACTCTTAAAAAGGTTCTGTCGGAAAATAAAAATCCTAAAATTACATGAAAGGATATTTTTTTAAAAATTATTTCAACTCAATTTAGTTTTTTTTTTGCGCGCGAAGAACTATTTTTTATACAGTGAAACTTTTTAAGTTGAACACCTGTCTAAGTTGATTTATTAAATGATTAAGAGGCCCTTCCTCTCCGGATCTAACTCTATGCCTAACACAAGTATCTAAGCTAAGGGGAAGGAAAATTTTAAATATGCTTTTTTAATTTTCACAAATAAAATATTGATGAACATTCACTCAATTTGGTTGTATCTTTCGCTACATATAAAATACGAGACCGTCACCCAATCACGATTTAATATATTAAGCAAGGTTTATTAAATCCTCTACTAATTTGTGACAAAATTATGCAAATACAATTCTGCTATCAAAAGTATTTTATAAGTAGTTGAATAGTACACAGTTGCCTGTTTTTATACTTTTGATAAGTATGCTTGCTTTTATGCAATTAATGTTAAAATAATTTATTAGCCTCATTCAAACCTATTTTCATCATTTTTATCTGCAATGAAATTGGATTTTAAAAAAACATACAAATTGAAAAACGTGTTTTAAATTGCTTTCTCAAAGCCATAAATAACATCATTTCATTGCTTTAAAGTTTCGAGGAAAAATTCATAGAAGTTTTAAAAGTTATCAAGCCCTATTTCTCTTCTAATCTAATAACTCGACCCTTTAATTTCTACTTTTTTTTAGTAATTGTGCTGGCTAATAATACTATATCATCAAACGTTTGAGAGGCACGAAAAAAATCCAAGAAAAAACAAGTTAAAAATTAAACCTAAACTCCAAGAGGGCGAGGCTTCTCAAGTATCAAACTAGCAAATCTTTTTTTATTAAGTTAATCACTTGACTAAATCGACCATCAAATTTTCGCCCCACTAATAGTCAGCAAACAAAAGTTTCACGATGTTTATAATATGAATGCTAAAGTAATTTTAAGATTTGAACATAATCGCTATGTACTAAAGCACATAAAATGCTACTTACATGAAATTATTTATATTTTATAGAAGACATTCCTAATCCTTGGTCACCTGATGTAGTTATAATCGAAGAAATTCCTCCCGTGTCATCAACTTCGAAATCAGAATCATTCAAGTTTGAAAATGGTAAGTTCAATATGCTTAATGGCTTTCTTGATGATGGTCACTGACAGACACAAGATGTTGTCATAGCCACCGATTATATATTGGTCTGACAAGAAAGGAACATTGGTATTTTTTGTATAAAATAAAACTCAATTTCTTCTATACAAAATTGTCAAACATCTTCCATTCTGTTTGCCATTTTTCTGATAACTTGCTCATAGAAGTACTTGTTCTTCACAGTAAAAAAAATCATTCAAGTATGATGAGGTTTTCGTTTTTATTGAAATTTTTACCATTTGTTAACTTTGAAATAAATTATAATCAGATGGTGCAAGATCGGGGCTATATGAGAAAAGTGACACCATATCCCAAACCTCGAATAATTTCGAACGTGATGCTAAAGACTAATGAGGCTTTGCATTGTTGTCCCATATAGCTCCTACTTTGCACCGTTGGATAATCTAAGTTTACAAAACTTTTAAAATCGTAAAAATATCAGTAATAACGGTGACGTCAAATAAATTAGTTTTTTATAAATAAGGGCAAGTAGTTCTATTATTACGGTATCCTGAAGTTACCAGAAAGATAACAGGTCATTGAACAGAATGATAGATATTTGATTGATTAAAGTTCATTTATTGTACAGAAAAAATTTAGTTTTATTTTACAGTAGGAATCCGTAGTAACTTTATTGGCAAGCCATTACAAATTTAAAATCTTTGTAAAGGAAAAGATTTAAATTAGTCATCGCGAATCGATATTTATGCCCGAAAAAAAAAGCCTATTGAAATCTACACATTAGTCGTGAGAAAAGCAGAACTTAGTCAGATTGATGGAGAAAACAAAAAGGATTTGAAAGGCAAACATTAGGAACACCTCCAAGTTTCATCAGGTAATCAAACCAGTTTGCATGTTCTTTCAGTACAACTTTCTTCATTAATGATTCGTCATTTCTTCTTTCCATAAATATTAATATGCATTTTTTTTACTGCCCTTTTGATAAGAATTCTAAAAATACACATTAAGGGTGAGTATTACGAAACATCCCGTATATGGTTAAATTATTTCACTTATAACCTAATGACAAACCAAAATCCTTTCTATTTTGTTCTATTATTGTTTCAAAATGAAATTTATATATCAATCTCGCCACCTTAGATGGAATGATTAAATTCATGACACTATTGATAAATTATCTATGTATTCAATGTCACTGAAGACAGTTTTAATTTTCTATACAGGATAACCTAATTTATCACCTTGTTTAAAATTTTAGCTAGAATAGGCATTTGATGTCAGCCAGTTTTAAAACCATACTACTTCGAATTATTTTGTACTGAACGCATCCTTCTTTTCACTACTTTACATTCACTTTAAATGTTCTTATTTCAATCAGTTAGGTGCAAACTATGGTGCATTAATATTACCTTTTTTTATAACCCTAAATGGTGGCACTGTTATCTGAACTATATTTTTAACACTATCACACAAACATATCCATCTTTTCTTTGAGAAACCCTTTCAATTGCAATCTCATGTTTAAGTAATAAAAATATAAAATTACTCATTGAAGTTAACAATGTCACTTGACAATTAATTGATAATAGTAGTTTAACATAAATGGCAGTTTTATTTTCCCTTCGTTTTTTAATTAATTTCTTGTGAATTAATGATTATTTTTTCTTTTTTCAATTTCAGGTGAACCATCTAAGAAAAAGCAAACCCTAGATAGTTCCTGCTCAAGCTTATCTTTTTTTAAAACTATGATGAACTCTCTTTCTTTAAAATTCATGAAATATCAAACAGAATCAGAAGAAAAAATGTTGAGGGAACTAGAAGAGCTTGAAAATGAGCGGGCAGCTATGGATGAACGCATCCAAAAAATGTGGGTGGACTTTGAAGAGAGAAGAAAGATTGATGAAAGAGAACATGAGCTTAAAATAACGTCATCATTACAAGAAATCATGAACCCAAAAAATTTAGAAACAGAACAAAAATAATGTGTATAACCCTTTATAAAAATATTTTATTGTAAAAATGTAAATAACTTATATTTAAAAAAAATTTTGTGCAAATTTTATAATAAAGTTAACAAAAGTATTTGTTGTTAAATTTAACTTTTCAAAAATTTTGGTTTTCTTAAACTGCAGTGACAAACTGATCCTAAGTTACTTACAATGTGTAATATACATGCACTTCTATCAATATACTTTTAATGGAATGCGATGCTCCATAATCAGGTCTTCTAATGTACATTTTTATATTCTTGTCTTGTCAAAAAGAAAGTAAAAAATGTGTATACATGATGTCAAAAGTATTTTGGAGAGGAAAAAAACACCATTAAAGTATGTAACAACAGCAGTGTAAAAAGCTGAATGAAAAATATCGAAACTAATTTGATTACCTGATGCAACAGGAAAATGTTTTTAATAATCTTCATCAAACAGGTTTTGGTTGCACCTTAGTCAATAGTAATTTGCCAGATTTTGATTATATTCAAGATTTTTCCCTTGACTAAATATTAATTTGCTGCTCCTAATGTGCATATTTTTTTACTTTATTTTTTGACAAAGATTCTAAATACATATATAAAAAGCAGCCGTAACGGAAAACACTGCATTTCTGTTGAAAAGGGAACAAAACTGTTCCAACATCTAAATTTTCTTCATTTTTTAAAAAAAAAAAAAAAATTAGTTATCAATTTTTATTTATTTTCTTATTTTCTGAAACCTGATAAGGCATAAAATATTTCATAATTGTTCTCTGAAATTCCTAACATTGAGAGGATTAATTTTTTATAAAAATGAATTTGCTTAATGATGGATTGATATTGATAAATTTTTAACTTTAATACATCACACATATTTCAGCTTTTACAAAGTGTTTGTATTGTAATTAATAATAATAAAACAAAAATTAACAAAAGAAATTTTTTATTGTTCTTCAGTGTAAAGTAAAACATTCAAATTCAACCAGAAAATTTCTAAAAAAAAACATTTAGTTTTCCTTATTAATTTCAGCAAACATAATATCTCTACCTGAGAAAGCAATTTAAAAAGTGATAAGGCTTGTAAAAAAATTACCAACAGCTGATCATAAACCCCATTCCGATAATTCTTTCATAAATTTTTGTGAAAAATAAATTTTAACAAAATGAAATGGTTATTTTTTCGAGAATTCTTCTTCAAGGTCATGCAAAAATTGAACCAAAGTTCTTGTAGGACGACCTGAAAAAAATAATACAGTTAAACTTAGTGAGCATTTGTTGATTTTATAAAGTGTCAGAATCAATAAACTTATATCTCCACTCATTCACACAAATACTTTTTATTAATTATAGATAAATATGTGCATAGCCCACAAGTTAATAGCTTTAGTCTAAAAATGAAAAAAAAAAAACATGATGTATGAACTTATTACAAAGCATGCTTGCAAATAATTTTTCGGTTAACAAAATTGAAATAACTAATGCACATCGAAAAAAAGTTATTCCTAGATTATAACAAGTTTATTAAAATTCTCCACAAGTTCATTAAAATTCTCCACAAGTTTATTAAAATTCTCATACTAAAAAAGTGATTTACATTAATTATAGTTTTTTCAAAAAAAAAAAAAAAAAAATACAGTTATCAAATTCCACATATGGGCGATGCATATTTATAAACCACAAAATATAAAACAAAATGGAATAACTTGATCTAAAATCACACATTATACTTAAATATGCTAATTAATTAGTGAAAAAAACTAATTTAAAAATTATACACAAACATATAATTAAATAAACTGGCACCCACACCAGTTTTTCTGAAATAATTTACAAATATATGGCATATATGGATATTTATCATTAACACTAAAGAGATTGAAAATTGTAGTATACCTAAAAATGCAGAAATGGCAAATGTGACCCTTCATAGATTTGAGTGTGGGTCAAAAATATGTAAAATTTAAGAATGAGACAAAAATAATTCATTAAAGTTATAGTAAAGTAGAAATTTGAGCTGCGGTGGCTCAGTGGTTAAGGCACTGAGCTGTCATTCTGAAGAGCTGGGGTTCAATCCCCAGTGGCAGCTTTATATCCACCCAGCTTCAGATTGATGGGTACCAGCTGGTCTGGGAAATAAAGGCGGCCTATGCGCAACGTCGTCATGAAATTGTGGATACTGCTGTTGGTCACGAAATTGTGAAGGCTTATCCTCCATGACCCTCTAGGCCCACAACGGGCTGTTGTGGGAATGCTTTTTTTAAGAGTAGAAATTTATTAAATAGAATAATAAAGTAGAAATTTGTTATTTATATAGTAAAAATTTAGTAAAGATGTAATAGAACATTAGAATACCACGGGATTTTTTCTTTCGTATTTGGATAACAAAAACGTCTGATTAAGTAAACAGGGTTCTTGCTCAATTATTTCAAAAAAAATTAGGACTTTTTTAGGACTAAGAAAAAAAAAATTAGCACTTGATGTAAAGTAAAAATAACATACTTAATCTATACNATGTAATAGAACATTAGAATTCCAAGGGATTTTTTCTTCCCTATTTGGATAACAAAAACGTCTGATTAAGTGAAATATAATGGCTTTTTCAACCATACTAAAACTTTTGTTTAGATAATTCAGTTTCTACTCTTTATAAATTATAATTACAGATTATAAAAATACTCCTACTAAAAATATTAATGAAATACTCCTTTCCAATTAATGCAAGTTAAAATTTATGATACCAACATATGTTATCATTTTCAAAAAAAAATCAACACCCCATACTTGTTTTGATACATATTTACTGCAATAGGATCATGTTTACCATGTACAATTTTCTTGAACAATAATTTGATTCCCTTCTTAAGTTCTAGAGGTATTAGAAAATACGAAGAAAGTAAAATTAATATTAAGGGGTTTAATCTCCAGACAAAACTATAGGGTATGTATTTTGCTGATTGGTTGCTACCTCCAACTCATATTTTGAAGTTTCAAAGATCCAAATCTGTCGGGAATAAAGGTATGACAATTTAGAAAAATTACATCTTCATGTCTGAGTGTGCAACTTAAAACATCACTTGCAGTAATTTATTGTTATGTCTTTGAACAATTAAGAGTATGTGAAAATCTCAGCATTAGATCAAAAGTTATACAGGGTGTTTCCCCTTTTTTTGTGCATTATACATTCACATATAAAACATACGAACCAACAAGTACAACAGATAGCTTAAAAGAAGATTAAGTTTATAAAATAGAATGAAGTAAAAATGATTAGAGAAAAAAAAATTACCCGACATTCCACTTGTTAGATAAGGCACAACTGACATACTTTCCATGACACCAGCAATATCTAAATGCATCCATCTCATTCCGGGTTCAACAAACTCCTAAAACAATAAAAAGCATTATTTAAGTTATAATAATTGCATAGGAGAAAGAAAAAAACTATTCCAAATGACTTTATTTCCAAATTACTTTTAAAAATGCTGCAGCAGTGCATGACCCTGCTTTTGTTTTAGGATTGCCAATGTTGTTCAGATCAGCTAAATCACTTGAAGTTACAGATTCTGTGTAAAGCTTAAATAATGGCATCCTCCAAACTCTATCGCCTGTTACGTGTCCTGCCTAGAAATAAAAAGTAAAAGAATAGTTCAATCAAATGCTAATACAGAAAATTGGAAATCCTACAAGCTTTAATTCAGATTTTAGAAATATAATAATTTTAATAAAATTGAAAATTATTTTAATAGAACTTAAGAAATTTTTTTAAAACAATTTAAAGAAAATTTTAACAATCAGAGAAGAGAAGAAAATTTAGCATAAAACTTTTACTTAAGATTTTACTGATAACTCAACATACAATGAATCTAATTGTATATGTAGTGTAAAAAACACTTACAGTTATAGCCTTGATTCAATTTAAGAAAAGTTTTAACAACAAGATTTTGTTCAATGATAAAAATTTCTGTTATTTCGAACATAACTTAGATTTAACACGGAATTTTTTTCTTAAACTCACTGTACGTTATTATTCAGGAATATACACAAGTTAGAAAATATCTTAATAATCACTCTTTTTAATTATACTTAGTAACTGAAATAGAAACAAAACTTATTTTTATAGCAATATTAAATTTATTATTAATAATTAAATTTTATAGTTTCCTTAATATTTTAAAAGTTTTGTTACTCTCTATAACAAAACTTCAATAAATTTAATAATTTTAAAACCACACTATCAGTTAGAAAATACAACAAAATGATTGCCTTGAATTAATTTACCAACTAATTAGTTAGCCAAAATAAAAATAAGAGTTTGATACCAGAGTCTAAAATAGTAACTGAAAATAAAAGATAATTCACAAGTTGAAAATGTGTCAGAAAATATTGATCTCTTTGGTTTCAAAAGCTTTCCCCAACTTTGCAGTTAGAACTAAACTTTGTAATAATTACAAAAATTAGCATTTCCAGTGAATTATAATGTTTTCTCTTTTGACATGAAAATTTACATTAGCATAACATAATATAAAAAATTATAATAAATTCCTAAAAAATATTTTTGAAAACTTCATAATTTTTTCTTTCAATTTGTGGTAGACTAGAAACTATTTGTTCACATTAGAAACATTTTACAACACTGTTTTATTATACACATTTCATTCATATAATTTTTTTTAATGAAGGACCAAAATTTTTTTATTTTCAAAGAGATTCTTAAACATGTTGCCATTGTTTAAACAAAGTTTTAAGGAACGTTACCTTGTGGAGTGCTTCCCACAAGTTATTGTCATTGCTAAATACACCAGTAGCACCAGCTCCTAAGGCGATTTGCATGGCTCCTAAAAAAAACAAAATTTTGTATAGTTTTGCAGAAATTTAAGAAAGTTTTTGGAAATAAAATTTATAAGAGAAGACAAAATCAAATTAAGTGATTCAAAAATTTATTACTTAGAATTTGCTATTTGCAATAATATTGTACATAAAATTAATACAAAAATTTTATTTTTTATTACATTTTATGTATGAAATGTAATAACATGTATTAGATTTACATATTGTATGTAACACATATATTATATGTAACAACATATTCTACTGCATGTAACATATATTATCTTTCCATTTCTCTCAAGGTGAAGTTATAATTGCAGCTGTCAAACTTATGATGCAGAAAAGAATTTTCAATTTAACAGCATTTTAAAAATAAGCTGTTTCAGTATCTACAAAAACTGTATTCAAATCAAATATTCACAGAAAATTTCAGTTAAGATAAAACTTTTTCTGAAGACAAATAATTAAGAAAGGTAAAAATGAAATTGCAATTTTATAGCAAGATCAACAAAAACTACTTTTTTAAACACGCATTTATTTGAGAACTTTAGTGTTTATGTTATGAAGATGAATCTTACCAAATATGCTGTTCATAAAATTCATATTAACTCCTTAACTTGTGCGCTCCAGTTAATTTGAGCGCTCAACAGGCCAAACTGTGCACACTCGAGATAATTCGAGCAGCATTGTATTTTATGCTGCTATAATTTTTCACACTCGAATATAATCGAGAATTGAAAATAACAATGTGAAAGCTAAGAAGAAAAAAAAACGTTTTATTGATATTTATCATTTACATAGGATTGTAAGCTATAACACTTATTTATTCAAGAATAAAATATAGCCCTTCAATGAGTAAATGATGTTAAAAATAGTTGCTTAACTGTATAAGGAATTATATAAGGAGAGAGAAAATTTCTTGACAATGTCTGAAGTTCTTTACAGACAATTAATATCTAAATGAACTTCCTTTTAATGAAAATTACAATACAATGAAAATAACGCAATAAAATTTTAAGCCAAAATTGTTTTAGTATAAATATATTAAAATTCCATTTTATCCAGACCTGTTAAAGTTGCAATATCAACAACAGCAGCAGGTTTAAATTGTTGAGCATAAATTAGGCCATCAGCCAGAACAAGCCTACCTTCAGCATCTGTGTTGTCAACCTAAAAATCATACTTTTATAAGTCAAATTATTTTAATGGAAAAATATTTAGAGCAACACATTTATAATTTATTTATTTATTACTACAATAATTTTATAATTGATGTTTGTTAAAGTTTTGTTCCGGAAAAATTGGAACTATTCTATTTAATTCGTGCACCACAAGAATTGTCCATATATATTTATTCAAATAATGAATCAACAAAATTCACATCAGTAATTAAATAATTTAAAAAATCTTTTTTTTAAAAGATAATCAGAATACACTATGTACATAAAAAATGTTCTACATATTTAAATAATAAAAATTATTCTAGATATGTTTTTTACAAAATTTTAGAAGAGTAAATTAATATTGTATAAGGCAAAACACTTATTTATCTTTAAAGATCAATAAAAATTTTCTTATTAACATTCTGATTGGCTTTTTAAACCTTCTTTGATAGTAAGAACTTGTTAAGATTCAACATAAAAAATTAATAATTTTTAAAAAAATTAATTTTAAAAATCTTTTTACGTAAAAACAAGTAATAAATTTGATTTTCTGTCTAAGTACATCATGATCTGTAAAACAACGTAAAATAAAGTAGAAAGGGGAAAAAAAGATTTTGAAAAAATTTAAGCACAAATATTCTACATAGAACCTAAATCAATATATAAATATAGTGAAACCTCTTGGGAGCAGCAAGCAGCCACTCTCTGTTTCACAATATAATGGTCAATAATGGAGGTTGGTCGTGTTTTTTGTTTGTCTTTGTGCTTGCATTTAATTTTTATTATTAAAAGATGAGAAGCAGTTTGTTTGTTAGAGATACTTAGTTATTTTTTTAAAAAATCTTTTTTCTTTAACTTTCAACTCTAAAATCATTGTCTTTAGTGCACTTTGACTGCAAGATGAGGGTGTAGATATCTATCAGAGATCGTCAAAAAGAGCTCTCAAAATGAGAGCCTCACACAAATATTTTAAATACATTTTAATCAACTTCTTTGTTAATATTTTTTGCTTAAATATTTTCTTGTGTTGTGTTTTATCTTTTTTGAATTTGGAGTAGAGGTTTGACCGGTCATTGGAGAGATTTTAATGGTCTCTCCTACAGATTTTCTTCAACACAACTCAAAGGAAAAAATTACGTGCCTCTGAAAAATGGTCGTAAATAGAGGTTGCTAACATAGATGTGGTTTTTACGGGGAGTTTCACTGTGTATATATATATTACACAAACACACATATAAACCAACTGTCAATGCTGGATATAACGACTAAACAAAACTGAACATCATAACATGAGGTCACTATATTATAAAGATACTAAACTAAAGGAAATATTTACTTATTATTCATAAATATTGGACTTATTTTGAGAAAAACATGGTATACATTAAAAAGAATTATGAAACTGACAAAATGACTTTTCAAATAACATCTTTTAATATTATAATGTCTATACAGCAAAAGAAATAGTGATTTCAATAATTTCCTTTGTTGTTCCTTAATTGGCCATTGACTCACTTACAATAAAAAATTTATAGCTTTCATAGAGCAAAAATGAGTAATCACCTTTTTATTATGATTTTCTAGGAACTACAAAAAATAATAAAATTTAGGTCGCTATATCAGAATAAAGTTTCAGTTCAGACATTCTAATGGGTGTTAAAATAACATTGTGGCTAAGGAACAGCAAACGCGGTATCACGTATGGGTTAATATAATATATGGGTGTTGCGATAATGGGGGTATAAATAAATAATAAATCATCACAATAAATAATAAATCATTTATCATGTCAATAAACGCTACGAAGAATAAACTGAAAATAACTTTAATAAAACACTAAATTTTATTTTCTATTAAGAGTCCAAAAAAGAAGAAACTGCTGAACAGAAGAAACTGAATGCACTTTATAATAAAATATAGCTCCATAAATTACGGGATTTTATTTTTGAAATAATTACTATTCCTCTTGTTTGCCTTATTAGTTAATTATTATTTTATTTGCAACTCTAGCTGATAAATGTATGAACCTTAATATTAATTCATATATTTGCATTGTTAAAGATTATTATATTAAAAATAAGTTAGAAAATTTTTATTTTTGCTTACCTGTATTGTTTTACCATTCATAGTTCGAACTACATCTCCCGGTTTTGTTGCATGACCACTTGGGAGGTTTTCACACAGTGGTAAGAAACCTTTAAAATATTTTATATTTCAGAATTGTATAAAAAATTTACATACAAATTCAGAATTAATAAAAATGACAATACATTTAAACAAAAACATATAACAAATGAATGATATTTCTCATACAGCACAACTGATTTATGTTATTAGTTTTATGCAGATTCCAAAAACATGAGAAAGTTACAGATGTAACTATGAGTATTGAATTAATATAACAATCTTCTTCAGAATGCAAAATGTCCACTTGCCAGCTCACAATTGATCAAACGTTTAAGATTGATAAGTAAATTTAATCTTTTAAAATGTTGAGTTTCAAATTAAACTATATACACTTAGGTTATCTTGCCTCAATGAAGCAGAGAATCGAATTGTTTTTAAATCAGCTGACAACATTTTTCTTCTATTTATGGCGAAAAATTTTGATCACCCACATTTTACATATGAAATCATTGTCTATGAAAACAATAAAAACATAATTAAACTGATTTTGTTTTAATTTAATATTCTTACAACAAATGTTTTGATTTTTAAGTTTCTACATTATCATATGATTTTGCTCACTAAATATTCCTTTATTCTATAATAACATGTGTGAAGAAAAAAGAATCGAAAAACTTTAGTTTGGCTGGTAAATTAACTGATTTTTTGACAAAATGGTAATACAGTTTGGAGATTGTCTACATAATTCTTTTGAATAAAATCACTACCAATTCCATTATGCATTAAAAAATAACTGCCAAAAGTTTTTAGGGTTTTACCGAAATAAACCATCTGAAATAATGATATGAAAAATATTGATACTTTACAAAGAAAAAAAGCATCTGAAGGGAAGTACATGGATGCAAGTCATACATAATAAATCAATATTTTATAATTAGGATGCTAAATTTGGATTTATGACAAAAGTCATAATAGATTTGAATTTTAACAAATCTAATTTTAATCTTAATTACATTAAAACTTTTCACACATGGTTTATTACTAATTACTTTACTAACATCAATATTAAGCATTAGTTACAAATTCAAAGATATTTTTGCAAAAGTACTTGTTTTGGTACAAATCATTGCAATTTGAAACTTGTTTTTTATTTATAAAAATCGAAAAAAAAAATGAAAATGACAATTTTTAAAGATTCTTTATTCTTCTGTAAATACTCAATGTCTTTGAAATTTTTAAAATAACGTCTTCAATAAACACAAACAAAGCTTGAATTCGATAAGATCTGTTTATTTAAATAAAAGTTCGTGTACCAACTATAATTTTTCTATTTTGTCAATCATTTGTCAAGCAAAATAAAGCTGAATTGTGAAAAACTTACTTCCTTTCAAAAGATGTAAAATGCCGAGTATTTTAAATAACTGAACATAAAATGTGAATATTAAACTAAAGAAAATATTTTATTTTGCAAATTGTGTAGGTTATGACAAAAGTATGTATAATAATGAGAAAAATGATGACTGATAGGACTGTTTCAAGAGAGGGAAAAATTAAAGATATATATATATTTTTTTAAATTTGCATTCTAAGGTTAAAATTTAAACAACTTATGTTATTAATTTTCATTACAAATTTTTATTAAAATTATGTTATCAACAGCTATTATGTTATCAATGACAATTATGTTATCAACTGAAAAAATTTATAAACATTCAAATTTATTAAAATCCCAAGAACAACAACTACAAATAGTGTTTCATTTTATTATAATCAATGTTAAAATCAAATAAATTTAATCAGATTTGAAAATTACCTTTCACATTAATTTTAAGACCTAAAGCACTTGCAGCTAATATAGTTCCAGCAACACATGCCGCTCCACCCATATCAGCTCTCATCTTGTCCATATTAGGAGATGGTTTTATTGAAATTCCACCACTATAAAGAGAATACAAAATGCATTATTAATAGTTTTCACTAAAAATAAGACATTTTTCTTTAAGTGTGCTTTAAATTTGACAAATAACTATATAATGAATTAAGAAATTTACAAAATTCATATTTTTCAGAGATATATTTCAACAAAAATGTGTATGTGAGACATTCAAGTTGTTAAAACATTGTAAATGCAAATAAAATAAAATTAGTTTATGTAGTGAATAAAAGGATTGTGACTGACACTTAAAAAAAATTAATAAATAAATAAAACAAAAAATTTTAAAAAAAAACAACAACACTAAAAAAAATTATTAAAAATTAAAGTTAGCAAACAGCTACCATTTAATTATTTGGTGTTTACATTGAATTTTAAACTATCATTGGCAAGCGTTCGACACATAACATGTATACCTTCCAACTGTTACGGATTTTTCGAAAGATTGTATTTTTACTATAATTATTGATAGTCAGATTTATACATTGAAACTTAATTAACAACTGTCGCATTTAAATAATAGTGAGCTTAATTTAAATGAAAATTCTAATTAAAATATCAATTTAAATTTTCTTTCACCACCACTAAGTAAAAGTTTTTTTAAGAACATATAAGTTGGCAGGAAATGCATTTTTACTGATATCGATTAATTTTAAATATATTCTATCGTTAGATAATATATTGGTGGTAATTTATTATTTTTTCTATCAGACTTGTGTTTTGCTTAAGCCTAGAGTATGCATACTGACATATTAGCAGCAGTAAGAGATAACTGAAAATGTACAATTTATGGCTGACACTTATAAATTATCAGATAAATTATTAGATTAATCTGTTGTGTTTAATTTAGGTTGAAAAAAGTAATAAGTGACAAAATAAGCAAGTAAGTTTACTCTACTTAAAGAGGTATACTTTTATAAGATTGTGCTTTCATGTAAGATGTTTTGAAGCTACAAACCTGCAACATAGTTACATGAAACAAGGCTTCAAAGAGACTCCATGTGACAAAAAAAGTTCTACTATAAATTTTAAATGAGCTACTTATTTCATGCTTATTGTCTTTAAATGTGTGCATAATCACAAGTCCTGATAGTAATAAAAAATGTGCGACTATTTTCAAGAAAAATGGCACACTAAAATAAGGTAGTTTTTCATGATTGCAAAGAGAACATAGTAGTATGAAAGGATATAAACTAGTTCAAAATTTCCATGATTCTAAAAATTTGCACTTATAAAACACGAAAAATAAAAATAAAAAATTTCAACCTATAACTGACCTGTCAAATGTTATTCCTTTGCCCACAAAAGCAATGTTCTTCTCAACACCAGGAAGTCCTTCGTAATGAAGTTCTACAAATTTTGGCTCTTCATTTGAACCTCGTGTTACACTTAAGAATGATCCCATTTTCATAGATTCTATCCAAGGTCGATCCCTGTTTTTTTAAAAATTATTTTAGCATTAATAATTTTTAATTCTCCTAAAAAACTTTTTTGAAAAAGCTTTATTACATTTTTAAAAAAATTCAAAAATTACACTGACTAGTTACAATACTATGCAAAGATATAATTGATTATTATTCAGAAGTCAAGCTAAAAAAAATATATATAAAACCAGGGGTCTGTACAGGCCGAATTTACTACCGTTTAGCGGCACCTTCACAAATTCAACTTTAGGAAAAATGGTAGTTTCACAAATTCAACTTTAGGGAAAACGGTAGTTTCACAAAATACTTTTTCTTAAAATTTTATTTTTGTATCGCTTAAGAAACGATAAATCCATATTTTTGTGTTGATTTTTTAATATAATTTTTAATTTTTCTCAAATTATGTCTAAATTTTCACAAAATAGGTACCTCTCAGAAAAACCTAGACAGACCCCTGAAAACTGGTAAATGCCATCATTACTATTTTATTCTTAACATTTACTTTACATAGAAGTTTAATAGCAGTTTCATAATTTTTTAAAAAATGGCTAATTCATAAAAATGTGATAAAATACAAAAGAAATAAATAAATGTCAGGAAAAACACAGATTAAGTTATACGAAAGATAAATGAATAAAATAATAAATGAGAAGCTGCTTTAAAATATAAATTAAATTCTGTTAATACTAATATTTGCAATGTGTAAAACTGTATGTTAGAACTTTGTCTTCATAGAATCATATCCACTATCAAAGAATTTTTAAAAAAATTTCTCATTCCTGTTGAGTTTTTTAAACCATTTCAGCAATAAACAATTCAGCTCTACAGTAAAAAGTCTTTTCTTTCATTGTAAAATCATTAAATAAGTTTGTTTTGATGGTAATCGAGAGTCTACCTGAAATCAAATGTGTGTCAAAATTGTATCATCTGAAAAGAGTCAATATAAACCCTCTCTCATATATTGGTATTTAAAATGAGTAATCTTTCAAAATAAATTAAATATATTTCTATTTTAGGAGCAAAGAATCTCAGCTAAGTCAAGTTTGTTATTTTTACAAAAACTTACCAATTCAAACACATACAATAAGAAAATTTAATCTTTATATATTTTATTTTATAGTTTAAATGAAATACAATTCGAAAAAATTAAATATTGATGCATTATAAATAAAGGAGATAGATATGAATAATTCAGTATCATTTTACCCCTTTCAGAACTTATTTTAATATGTTAAATACAGTTAATTTTAAATTTTCTGTCACCACATTTTCATTAAAATAAAGTTTTTATTTTTTTACTTTCACTATTTGTTAGTGCATCCTTATTCAAGAGCAAATTTATTCTATCCAGAGAGAACAATATGAAATATTTTTAACTTGAAAAAATATCGGAGATTTAACAATTTTGTTTTCCTGTTTTATAATTTTAGAAATTTTCATATTTGGATTCTTCAGCAGTCAACTTATATATCCAATATACCACAAATTTGTCAGGGTAGCCACAAAAAAAAAGGAACAAAATAGTTGCTTATAATAGCCTAAAGCATGAAAATAGTCGCCAAAATTATGAAAATAGTTGCCTAATTAAGAACAAAATTTTTCAATAATATGACTAAAATTTTATTAGATGACTTCATTGTAATATATCATGATCCATTTAGTCAAGTTGACGGCCAATATGATAATTTTTAAATAAACCTTAGTGTTCTAGCACTAGCAATTTTTATACAAAAAAATTTGTATATTTGCAGAACATTAAATATTTTTAAATGCTAGAATTAATACAGAATAATAATTTTTTGTTAAAAAAAAACATATTCTTTCTATGAATTTTTTCTTTTATCAATAATTGATTTAGCAAACATATATATATATATTTATTGAAAAAGTGATTACTAAAATTCGAAATTCACACATCACAGTATCGTATAAAAAATTGGGTTCTTCAAAATCATGCAGAGTTTCGTAGCAATAACTGTTGAAAAGGTGATTGAAAAACAAAATAGATTCACAATGGAATCTGTGCAAATTGAGTGCATTAAAAAGTGATGACTCAAATTTGCAATATTTTTTTTATTTTTCAGAAAGAAAAAAATTCATTATGTTCAGAAGCTACCGCGGGCCGCAGGTTGTCAACCCAATTTATGCTAAAAAAAACATTGCTAAGAGCACAGAAAAGTCTCCTTTTCCAGAAAATAGTTGCTTTTATAGCCTTTTCAGGCAAAAAAAGTAGCCATAGTTGCTTCAGGTCGAAAATAGTTGCAAATAGTCGCATTTTAGTCACCTGTGGCAACCCTGTTTGTCATCTCTTAATAAAATACAAGGAGTCGACTTATATCACAGGGATATAAGATAATTTATAAAGTAATCAAAAAAGTTGAAAAGAAAAAATTTAAATATATACCTTACAATGATATTCACATTTGTACCCTTAAACCTTTCTTGGACAGTAGAAGCAAAAATAGAAGGAGTCATAAAATTGGCAGGTGTCTGCATTAATGTTCGAGCAAAATTTTGACACTCAGCTAATAGTCTTCCATTTTCATATTTTTGTAATGTATCAGGACAGATGCTATAAAAGAATGTCGAAACTTTCTTTAAAAATAATTCTTAGTATTACAAGATAAGAAGTTTTAAATATAAAAAAAAACACCCTTTAGCTTTAATTTGCAAACAAAATTCAATAAAAAGCACATTAGGAGAACAACAGGTATTGATATGTGTGTTGGTGTAATTTTGTATATTATATATTAGAGAATCATTTATAAAAAAGTAACATTTTCCATAATTTATTTTAAACTCACACCAAATTTTTAAGGTTTTCACCATAGTTATGCTATGTGTAAAATTATTTTATTAAATATTCTTTAATGCTACAAGATGTTTTAGCTTTTTAGCACAGCAAAGTTTAACAGATTATTTTCGACAGGCAACAGATTAGCATCTGCAAACATGGGTGCTGCATTTTAAGTAAAAAGATATACTTGAACTATGTTTAAAAATTGGTGGTTGCTAAAAAACAGTGGACATTAATAAGCAAATAATTTTACATTTTTAGTAATTTGCAATATTTTTGAATTGCATTCAATATAAATAATGTTTAACATTTTGAAACAGGCTTTATTTATTTAATTTTAAACGGTGAGGCACCAACACTCAAAAACCTGCAAATTTCTTTAGCATGTTATCCAGAACAGAACATCCAAAAAAGATCTGTAGAGTTTACATTTTAAAACACAGTATTTTACTAAAAGCTAAGCATTGTTTTTGTTTTTTACACTTTGATGGTGATACAAAATTAATAAACATCATTGTTGATGGATTAAACCTGTATGGTTTCCTGCTATACAAACTGTTTAATTATGTTATTCAATGCAGGAAAGAAAAGTCTGTATTAAGCATATTTTTTCAGGAAATCTACAGTAAAATAGGGAAATTAATCATGCTCAAGTCGGTTATTTTTCAAAAATGTGGAATAACTGAAAATTTTAAAGATATGTAATAAGAAATAATCCTTTTGATTTGCATAAAAGCAAAATTTATATATTTCTAAGGTAAGAATAATCTTTAGTAAAAATACATCTTGTACTTAATAACTCTAAGAGTTTGTTACAAAGTTATTTTGCCTAAACTAAAGCAAGTTCAACAAATATATATTTGTGACTGTTCGTTAAAAACATAAGTTGATTGACAAAATGTAGAACTTGAACGCACAAGAGTCAGCCTGTTTAGCCTATAAATATGTCCTAAAGATTTTTAAACACATGTATAGAATTTTTTACCCAAAACATTTTTCAATCAGAAAGTAAATTATTAATAATTATGTACTAATTAATATATACTTTATAATATGTTCTAACAGATCTATAATATGTTATCAATATGTTCTAACAAATACACAATTAGCACATACTAAGAGAGATGAAAACTTATATAAATGAAACAAAGAAAATTTAGAAATTAAACTTAATGAGTAGTAAGGAAAAATACTTACTTAGGATATTTATATATATGCAAATTACTCTTGTGTTTATTAGCAGCTTTTGCCTTCAGCTCATCATAGCTGTAAAGAGCTAACCCAGCAGCCTCTGAAACACCTATGCAAGAAGTTAGAAAAAAATTTTATATTATATTTAAAAAAAAAGCAGAAATAATATAACTATATGTTAAAACTAGCTAACACATTTCGTACAGCAAGATAAAATTAAGGAGATCGGTGCAAATACAAGATAAGTCAAGATTCACTAATTGATGGTGCAAAAAGACAGACAACAGATTTATGTAGTTTTCCCTCAAACTATTTACTACATCAGAAAAAACTGAATTAAGAAATTAGACAAAAAGAAGTTGATTTTCAGTTTATTTGGAATTTACGAAATTTTATGCCATTATGAAATAAGTCTTTTACAGTGTCTCCAAAGAATCCTGCATTGTTATTTTCCATTACTATGGCCCCGAGTCTGGAATAGGTGATTTGCGTGCCCGCTGTTTTTAATTACATTAAAAACATTTAAAGCATAAATCATCTCCTTGTAATTATAAATATGTAACAATGTTACTTACTGTAGGAACCCAAAGAAGCTTTTGTTTTGATGATTTATATAAAGGTCCATGATCATGAGTGCCATTTTTTTTCTTCACACTTGTGGAAACCGATATATTGAAGAATGTATTAACAAAAATTTTACGAATTTTGGGACTTTATTGACATTTTTGTACGATGCCCCTCAATAACAGTCTATTTTATAGTTCAAAAGTATGGTAACATATTTAATTGAAAGTGTCAAACTAAGATTAATTCTAAGATGGAATTTTATTTTAATTGCTTGCTCAAAATGATTTTTTTGTATTTTAAGTATTTTTCTTTCAAATACATAACACAAAATCCTTTTTCGTTACTTTGCTTAAACTAAAACAAAATATGTTTCTAAAAAATTTAAAAACATCCTTAATTTATTAAATCTAATCCCAGTGCAGAATTTACAAATTTAACAATCATAAATGTCAATACCTTTCTGACAACACTGAGAAAATATTTGGGATATCAATTAATAATATAATTATAAAACATTTCTTTCAAGAATTTATTTTAAAGCAAATAATAGATTTAGAATAACTAAATAGGCAATGAATAAAATAATTAAGGTTAAGAAAGATAAATAATTAACAGCAACATACTCTGAGGAATGCCACACGAATCTAAATATATATCATCGAAATTGGAACATTTATCAAGAGCAACCACTCCACCTGAAAACAAAATTCATATGTTTTTAATAGTCATCAGAGTATATTTAAAAAATATACATTTTATATAGAAGTCAATTATTCATAGTTTTAGTGAAAATCATGCATTTATAAGCTCTTGCAAAGAAATTCTACTAAAATAACTTTATTAACTAAACAAATCAGTGTTATATGTATCCATATTATTTGCTAGCAAGTAATTTATTAAATAAATAAGAGTAATATTTAAAGAAGAAAACGGCAAAAAGATAAAAATAAAATGAATAGGAGAAACTTATATTGTATTGAAACACTTGTTACTTAGGTTAGAAGCTAACGACAAGACAAGCAAAAATACACATGCAAAAAACTAAGACAAAAAAATCCTAAATTTCAACAACAAAAAAAAACCATGGAGTTTAATCAATTTCAAACAGTTATAAAAATGAACAAGTTTAAAGCTCATAAGAAAAAAAGATTGCAATATGACAATTTTAAAGCAGAAAAAATGTATAATAATATTACTCATAAAATAAGTACACAAAAATACAAATCTGTGGAAAAGTCTTAGTCTCACAATAGCAATCAGACAACTTATATTAAGTAAAATATACAGTCGAATTTATAGTAGTCAGAAAGTCTACAGAAGTTATTGCTCCTCAAAGGATTCGAATCATTATATAAATACTAGTGATGAACCACATATTTTTTTTAAAAAAAGTCAATAAATAATTAAGTAAATAACAATTTACCAGAAATTGCACAGCGAACATTTTCAGCTTTTTGGTCTACTTCTTCTAAAGGATCATCTTTTACATCTTTACTACCCAAATCAACAACAGATACACAATCATATTCAAAAGCATTACTTTTCAGCTAAAAAAATAATAATAATAAGTACAGAACACTACAATTTGAATTTTTGAAGAGGGAGATATATGTCTATTAGAACGGGAAAGGAATGGTTTAATGATTATAAGGAGTGAAATGATTATATATAAACAAACTGAAAGAAAAACTATCTGCATTTGAGTGCTTAATTTTTTTTAAAAAAGTAAGTTAAAAATAAGTTTTTACGTAATTAAAAAAGTGACCAAAGTGATTTATCTCAAATAAAAATACCTTAATTTAAAAAAAAAAAATTATTTTACAAATCTGTTACACAAAAACTATGATTTATGACGAATTGTTAGTACTCCTGTCAAATACTTTGTCTTTGAAACTACAATGTTGAGAAAAATTTAATATTCAGATTAAAACTGTATGGTTAAAGATTGATTTTGAATTAATGAAGTGATTTGTCTCATACAAAGATACAAAAGTTATTCAATGCCAATATGTGAAATAAATACAACTCAAATGCTAAGAATATGATTTCATTCTGAAGATGGATTTGGATATAAACTATTTATCTTATAAAATTAAAAGTTCTAAGATAAACTTTTAAGCGATAGTTAAAAACTTAGATGCTCTAACTATGAAGAAAAAAGATAATAGCTTTGAAGAATAGAATTCCCTCATATACTTTTTTAACAAATACTAAGAGAAAGAGAAAATATCTTTAAACAATGTGAATCAATAAACATGATGTCCAAAAATATATATAATATATTTTTCTTAAATTTTACAAAAGTTATGAATCTTAACTTTAGTTCTTAAATTTTACATAAGTAAAAGTAAATAATAAGTATTTATTTAAATAAAAGACAATGGTTATTTTAAAGTCAAAAATCAACCTTTCAATAAGTCATATCTTTTTTTTATCTGTTCCATCATATTCTAGTATATTGTGAATTAACTGTCTTTAAATGATGATTGCAATTTTTAAATTGAACACTTTAACAATTTATATTTAAGTAGCAAAAATATTAATTGAACTGATTTCTTTTTTAATGTCATAGTAATGAAATTGTATATTTTTAACTCAAACTGATTGATTTACAATTTGAATGAAATAAAAAAATGAAATTTTGTGTATCAAAAAACTTTAAAATTCAAACTTTAAAATAATCAATATACAGCTTTTACCTCAAATTAGATTACTTATTATTAGAAAATATGGAAAGAATTGAATTTAATACTAATTGAATGTATTTAATTAAATCTCTGGGTTAATTAGAACAGTATTTTTTATCTTCTTTTCCTCATAACAAATTCTCCTTTAAGAGCTACTAAAGATAATTTTTATTAATTACAAATTCCAAGATCACTATGTAATCTAACTAATGCTCAAAATAAAATAGAACAAAATTAAACTAGCAAAGAAAGTATACATCAATTAATAAAATTTCATACCTTAATATAAAGTTGCATTTAAAACAAAAATTAAGAAATTAGACGAAAAAGATGTCGATTTTCAGTTTATTTGGAATTTACAGAAATTAATGCCATTATGAAATAAGACTTTTACAGTGCTTCATAAGAATCCTGCATTGTTATTTACCATTATCATCACCCTAAGCCAGGAATAGGTGATTTGAGTGACTGCTGTTTTTAATTACATTAAAAACATAAATCATCACCTAGTAATTATAAACATGTAACAACGTTACTTACTGTAGGAACCCAAAGAAGCTTTTGTTTGGATGATTTATAAAAAGGTCCAGTTCTGAAATATAGAAAGCATTGATATCATTATCTCAAACAATATACCATCTATATAATGAGAAACATGAAGTAGAAACATTATTTGACATTACATTATTATCACAATCTTCTTTTTTTTCAAATTTACTTTAACAGAAAAAGCCTTTAACTTGGAAGCATTACTACTGACAGTGGTTAAGAGGGATAAGAGCCTTTTCATACAAAAAATTTGTATAAAAAATTAGCTCAAAATATTTGTATTAAAATGTCTTTCTTATTAAATGGATATTCTGTTAAAAGTTTAATGATGTAACAAGCTCATATTCTCATAAACGACAATTAGTAGGAAGAACATATTTTGCTTTTAGAATGAGATGCCAAACAGCCAATAAAAAAATTCAACTGAATTTTCTTCATTTAATACATTTCATATTCAAAGTAATTTCAAACTTTTATAAAAAGTGAAGAATAAAAATGATAAAAGTCACCAAAGTCAAGCATTACAGGCAGCAGTCAGTGAGCGAGGGAGTGACCACTTTGATCAGCCTGCCGACATAGGCAAAGCTTGAGAGGGAGCACTGTTGTTTTTTTAGAAAACCGCTTATTTAAAGTTTTATGCATATATGCATAGTTATATTTTATATGTATGTATATTTATATATGCATAAAACTTAAATGAACAGTTTTCTACAAACAAAAAGTGTGCCCCATTACACTATGCCTGCTAAGGGACTGCGTGTGTGCAGTACATGTTCATGTTGGAAGTTAGCAGCAGCGGGGGACAAAGTGAGGTAGCAGTCTCCTCTTCAGCTGAGAATAAAAATTGCGATGATTTGTCTTAGGATCATCCTCAGCGATGTTACCCCAGACCAACACCAATAGCTGATTGCGCAGCTCTAGTGGGACATAAATAATGTACTACTACTAATAATAATAATAAGTATTTTATAATTTACCTCAACTAAATTCTTTCAGTACGCTTAAAGTATTATATTATACTCACAATTTTAACAGATCAGATAATTTTCCATCACTTTTTTCATCCACATCTTTAAAGGCATTAGTCACACCAGAGACCACCCTGTAAGGTTTAGTTTCATCTGAATTCTTTTCAGTATAAACACCTAGTACAAGACCTTTCATCTGAAAAAAATTTTCTTAGTAAATTATCAAACATTCTTTATTTATTATATATTTAAAAATAAATTAAATAAATAAAATTACATTAGTTTAAAAGTTAAAGCTTATGATATAAACACACAAAAATCAAAGCTGTCATTGTAACAAATATATTTCAGATTTTAATATATACATACAATACTTCAAATCTTATCTGGCAGAAGGAGAAAAAAAAAGAGATAAGCTATATTATCTATAATTATTTATTTAAACTTTAACCTGACAGATAAGAAGCATAGAACTTGATAAGTTTTAGAAAAAGAACAATTAAAGATAAAAAAAGGTTATAATTTAAAATTGCAATGCAGAAAAATTTTACAATACTGAAGATATCACAAAAAAAATTTGACATTATCTAATCAAATATTTGTCGTATCAATAAGAAAAATGAAATTAAATATCATGGTAAGTTACATACTACGTAAAAAGGTAAGGAAATACAAAATAAAAAAAATAATAGACTTACTTTTATGAACCAAATTGAAAAAAATGCTTAACATAATAATAGATTTTGCAACACCAAGCAACCAAATTATGAATTTACACATGCATAACTATAAGAGCATGAATTGATTTTATAACCAATTAACAGGTAGATTTTGATTCACACTGTCGAGCTATCAATTAAGAGGATTTTTCTCTTGCATGTATTATATACTTCATTTTGTAAACCAATAAACGCAATATAAAAAGAGGTTATTTACTGCTTTATTTTATAATTTATCATAATTATTTACTAAAACAATTAAATTTTATTTCATTTTCAAACAAGCTCCTTCTCATCACATTAAAGTTTATGACATAAAATTTTTTTATAATTTATTCAATGCCTTAATTAAATTATCATTGCATAATTATTAATCAATTCTAAACATTTAATGCATTAAGTATAACTTTTGATTTTATATATTTTACATATATGTAAAGAAGAAAAAAAATCTTTAATCCTACTGGAGTTTTATCATGTTCCGAAGATTATATTCAGCACACATATAATTAAAACTTAATGTTTTAAAAATATATAATACACTATTATTATTTGATAAATAAACTATTATTTAATAATATACAGTATTTAAATCTAAAGTTATTTTTAAATGATAAACAGCCAACTATTTTAGAGCATCAGAGATTCTGTAGACAATCAACACAAGTACAAGGTTTAATAGCTAAACAAGAAAAAGTTAATTTAAATTTTTTAATTTAGCTTATGTGCCTAAATTTTAGAGGGGGGAACTAATATTGCAATTAATTGCAAATTTAATTGTCAACAATTGGTAATTATGTGATAATCTGAATAACACAAAATGGAAAATTTAAAAATAAATGTTTATTATTATTAACAAGCTAAAATAATAAGAAATGTTAATCAACAAAGTCACAAGATTTATAATTTACAATTCATGCAGACAACATGACACTTACTAATAGTACACATAATACATTGAATAAGAAAACATAAATAAAAATAAAATTAGCTTGCAAGTAAATAAACTGTTCAGGTAATACTAATAAATAACAAATATGTGTCACCACTATTTTAATTTGGATTATTATTAAAAGCCAAGTAACGATCAGTTGATTTGCGAATTCAAAAGCATCTTTCTCTTAATGTTACTCCATCACTTGAAGTTACTTATGGAAATTTGGGCCTTTTGTTTACAACTTCTTTAGGTGGTTGCATGATGATTCACCAAGGGGCAGAATTTCCACAATGTTCGCCATAAGCAGGCAATTGGGATGTATTTTCAAATATGGTTAGGTGTGAATCTCTCTCTTTGAAATTAAGCAAAAGTACTTCACTTATCAATCAACAACTTTGAGCAGATGGACTATTGAAGTTATGGAATGTTGGAATTCTTTCAGCTTTGCTTCCTTCCTGTGCGATTTAAAACTGGAATTCTCATGCCAAAGTAGATAAATGCTGAGAAACGAGCTTTGTATTTTCATGACGGTTAGAATGCCGATAGATACACGGTAGACATGATGAATAGTACTCGTGAATGGAGCTTTTAATGAAAACCCAGAGTTGCAGAACTTCATTGAACTCTGAGATCACATGGACTGCTAGCTCCTTCTGATAAACGAACTGTTCCGCCCTGTATGTGCCCATAGTAATGAGAGTGCAGCTGTACATTTAGGTCAATTTGTAGTCCTTGTTTCTACTAATACATTGTGGATATTGAACTAAATTGTTTTTACAAGCTCCTGTTTCTCATTCATGCATAATGTGTCACTGGCATACAAGACAAAATTACTAATGCATTATGTTCTCATTTAACAAACTTTTTCATTTTCTTTACCTTGTATTTTTCTTTACAAGAATCAAAGACAGTAAAGTTTAAGTAACTATAGTCTTTTTTACAAAACTAAAGTAGGAAACTTTTATTAAATGACAAAAATTTAATTTTTAATTTTTATCCAGCGACAAATGCATATATGATCTTAAAGTCATATTAATTACAAAAAATGAACATATAAAACTATCAGAATGAACAAAAACCATATTAAAATTTTAATGGGAGTGCCATGAAAAATTGTTTTGTAACACAAGAATGTCACATAAAAAAATCCTTCTTTGTTACAGTGAAAGCACAAAATAATACCTTCCTATTATCAAATTCTTCAGGTTCAGTCTTAATGCCAACTGACAAGGCAGTATAATAAATATTTTCTGTATCATAAAGATGACAAGATTTCTGATGAACCTCTGAAGTATCGTGTTTTTTAACCTAAAAAAGATATTGATTCTTTAAAAAAGTTCAAAATTTATAAACAAAGTATCTTATTTAATTACTGTAATTCTATAAAATATTATATAAATGACTAAGTAAAATCTAATTTATAATTATATAAATAAATGTTAAAATATAATCAAATTTTATTAATACTAAATTAACAAATTACATACTTAACATATACACTACAAAAACACTTATTGATTCACGATTGCAAATATCATAGTAATCTTAACCAAATACTGTTAAGTATGAATACTGAAACTGATCACGTGCAAATCCAATTCGAGTGAATTCTTGGCTAAAAATCTGCGCAAAACAGGCAAATCATGTTTCTTTTTTTTAAATAAATGTTATTTTTCTAAAATCATTAAAATTGTATAATTAAATATCAACCTTATTAATTACAAACTTTAAATTATCCAATATAATATTATCTTGTTCACTTTCATTTTTGAGCCTATCCATGGTAACTAACAAATCAAACACACTTCAGTACTGCAGTAAGAACGCAACATAAAAGATCCCTCTATTTATGCTTCTAACTCTATTTTGCAATCTGACAATCTTATTATGAAAATATTTAAAATCATTCTTGAAAGATTTCGTTTTGTGTTTTGTTCTACATTTTCTGCTTGATATTTTTATTCTTTTTGCTTGATATTTCATATATACTTTTTACTAAATGTGTTCTATTTTCATTTTAATTTTTTTTAGTGCTCCTCGCACGATTGTATTGATATATATTTTGCTTTGACTACATTGATATAATATTAGAAAGCACCCCTTTTTGTGTTTATAATCGTGTGAGCTGATGAAGAGATAGCTTTTCATTATTTTGTTTTACAGCTTTTAGATAATTTTTTTAAAAATAATTCTTTCTTTTTCTTTTCTTCTCATTTATCTTTATTTTACATGTTTTCTTGATATTTATAATGTACATATATATATCTATATAAAATTAATTAATTTCAGAAAATCTTTAAAAATAAGAAAGCATAAAAATAAAAAAAAAATACTCACAGCTTCAAGCTTGAAGGTTTGACATCCTTTAACAAAACTTGTGCTGATTGCTTTCTCGTTTAGTCGACAAATAGTACAAATCAAGTTTCCATCTTCCTCTTGTAGCCATTTATATTGTTGTTGCCACTTCAAAAATGTCTCTGTGTTGAATTTTCTAACTTTTTTTCGTGTTGAGTCAAGAGAGTCATCATTAGTAGAAGATTCCTCTTTTATAGAAAGTAACTCAACAGGATATACATCAGGAGTAATAATTAAATTACTATCATCAGTGTTTGCAACAATTATTTCTTTGCAGAGTTTTTTTCTTTTGTTACTGGTAACATTGGAATCATAAAAGTTTTCAGACATACTATTTAAACAACTTTGAAAAGTAAAATTTGATGATTAAACCTAATATATATGATGAAAAAAATACATAAAATAACACTCAAAATATTTATGACGAGTTATAATTGCTTTAAACATAAAATATGATAACTAGTACAATACAAGATGAAACTACACATTCACAAAAAATATAAATAAATAAATTTAATAGAGAAAATAATAAACAGCTAAAAAAAGGAAATAAACAATTAAACATTTAACAATATGAAATGGATCATTCTCTATAAATAGGCTATTTTCATGTAGTAACAAGAACAAGAAAAATTGTGTCAGAATTTTCAATTTTTTTATTTCATTAAATATATGGGAGAAGTTATTAAACAAGAAAAACATAGAAGTCATCCTTAATGTTTAAAAAAAAAAAAAACATAGGTTTTTAAAATGAGGGAATCACAACATTGTGCAATAATAGTTTTAGATATTAACATGTTTAAAATAATAATTTTAATGAATATATTTTTAAGTATATGTCATTTCTTAACTGCTTAAAAAATAACAAAGAGAAATAAAAATAACAAAATTGTCATTTTCACATAGTGAGGGAATGAGAAAATGTTTGCTTTCAAATAAATACCAATAAATAATATATATTCTTAAACTATCCCACAAGAGGAAACGAGAATACTAAAAATACATTTTTAGAAAATAAATTAACTTTATAAATTACAAAAGTGCCATTCGCTCACAATGAGGGAGTCATAAGTGAAGGAATGTGCTAATAAGCATTAATCACATTTGAAGTTTAGAATTCTTTCTCATAAATAAAATTAAAATAATATTATATATTCTTTAACTATCACAACTGGAATTAACTAAAACACTTATTAATACATTTTTGGAAAATAAATTAACTTCAAGAATTTAAATGAGGGAATGAGAATGTCATCTTAACACTTATCGAATTTGCTTATTCAATTTCTTTTCACACACTAATGAACTTCTCTCAAATTAATTAAATATGTTTTGCAGTTTTATCAGAACAAGTTCTTAAAACATGTTATCTGTTTCTACCCAATGCCATCCATCAGAAACAGTCAGAATCCCTATGAGTGAGTGAATGATATTAATTATAAGTATGATATTAATTATATATTATAAATAGGACCTACTCTTCAGAAACATTGTCTCATAATAAAAATGCAGATAAAAAGGAAAGTCAATAAAAAAGCACAAGTGAAACAAAAAAAAAAGGGTTTTTAGCTCTGAAATGTAGCTTTAATGATGACTTACTGTACCTACAGGAAAAAAGTGACAATAAAAGAATTAAGACTATAAGAAACACCTGGCACCATAGCTAAAACAGAAAAACGGTAAAAACGAAATAAACAAAAAAGTTCTCAATTCTAAACAAAATGGGTTGAAATACTGAGGAAATAGACTTGCCTGGATACAATAAAAAAGAATCAGCAGTACAAAAATTATCATTCAGTATAAGGTAATCAAGTTACAAGTTTCACTTTACCATTTGTCTTTCAGTACATAAATTATCAAGTTCTAGAGTTTAACAAATATGTGTAAAAATTATTTCAAATAATGTATAGTAAAAAATGAGATTTTAGAATATTCTTTATTAAATTTGTCCTAATTCCTCCTGAAAAAAATTTGGTAAAATATATTGCCTTATATTCGGTAGAACATTCCGCAAAACGGCCGAACATTCATAACATCCCTAGTTTAGAATATTCTACAATTTTGGTAAAAGAATTCTTTCCATTTATTGCATTTTAATAAAAATGTAAACCAACAAACGGTCTAAATTCTAGCAATTAATCCAAACCTGAAACTATTCATTAATTTTTTTATCAAGCTAAATTTTTTGATAGAGTAAAATTGATTCCGCATGTTTATATTAAATATTAGCCTGCCTATTTTGGCTATTTATTAGTCGTGTGATGTGATGTTTTTATAAGATAAATACAAATTCGAACAACTCTCAAGATAGCTTTAATCAAACATATTTATCTCTAAACAACTTCTAATTTTTTAAAAAAAATCAGACATTATGTATGCATATACTTTTTCTAAATACATAAATCGTGAAGTACAAATTTTTTTTCATAACATATAGCGAGGTATAAATTATAATAAAATAAACAATTGTGATTGCCTTGGTGCGCAAAATAAAATAGTTATTTTATTCAGATTTTACCTTATAATTCAACGTAGAGTAAACTCTGTGTAATATATTTAAGTGCAAGCAAGAACTTTTAGACACTCCTAATGTTAAGATAGACGTCAACAGTACATGAGCCATATAAATAAAATAAAAAAAAAACCGGAATTTAGGATAGCGTAATCATCCGGTACTGATGATCGCTTAAGGCAAGATTGTTACTTCTACTTACTTCAAGATGCAACACGATACTTAAAACGTCTCTATGGATGCTTAAGAACAAAGAAACTTCTAAAATTATCTTCTAAAACAAACAAATGTTCAATGAAAAAAATATTACTTGAAAATCGTGATAATCATATCAAAATTACTGAAAACATTTTAATTTTAGTAACAGGTGTGATCACATGAGCGAATCGCCTGCAATGAAAATGATCCCAAAAAGCACTAAATTCACGAAACGCACGAACAACTCACCAATCTGGTTCTCACTCACCTCGCCAAATTCGCAAGCAATTTTTTGTAAGTTAAGTAGTGAGAATGGCCCTGTTAGATTTAGGGACAATAAAGGGACATTCTCACTTGATTTATTTGACGCACTTGCAATTATTGTCAAAGGAGAATAATTATTTGATTGTTGAAAAATACTTTTCGGGAAAAAACCTTCCAGTCAGGTACTCCGTTTTCTTTTCTGCGGTGATACGTGAGGGTTACTTTATTTACGTCACACTAGAGCTGCACTATGGGCTATCGACGATGGTCTGGATAACAACTCCGAGAATGATCCGAGTCCTGCAGTGAACTAGTCGTTAAGACACGGTTCCCAACAGATCACCGAAGTCAAGCATCACTTGCTGCGGTCATTGTGCGGGTGGGTGACCACTTGGATCAATCTGCGTAGGGACCGAGGGTGTGCGGTATTTGTCCTCGTTAAACTGTGCTACCGTAAAGTGCTCGACTTCGCTTGCAGGTCATTGGGCTACCGAAGCAGGGGTGCCATCCCCTCTGCTGAGGATCAAAATTGTGATGGCATGTCTTCGGATCATNGTGAGAAATTCTCGCCAATTTTTTTTCGTAATGAAAACACTGAGAAATAACAAGACAACTGTTTATTTTAAAAGGGCAAAGTTTAACAAGTAAAGTATATGTATTGCAATGAGAAATAATACTTTCTGGTATTTGTAGGTGGTAAGATTTGTGAGTGAGAGAATGTGATTTCATAAAAATATTTATTTCAAACAATGCTTCAAACTTATGAGATAATGTAGTGACAAATAACTTATTAATTTTTCTGTAAAAAAAACTGAAATATTCTTCATTTACGAGATTTTGGCCTATTTGCAGAGAGTTATCAGAACAGAGAAAAACTGAACCATTTTTTTACCATTTGCCTTTCAGAACATAAATTAACAAGTTTTAGAGTTTAACAAATATGTGAAAAAATTATTTCAAATAATGAATAGTAAAAAATGCAATTTTAGATTATTCTTTATTAAGTTTGTCCAAATTCCGCCTGAAAAAAACTTGGTCGAAAAACATTAAGCCAACCGAACATTCCGCAAAACGGCCGAACATTCGTAACATCCCTAGTTTAGAATATTGTACAATTTTAGTAAAAGAATTCTTTACATTTATTGCATTTTAATAAAAATGTAAACCAACAAACGGTCTAAATTCTAGCAATTAATCCAAACCTGAAACTATTTACAAATTTTTTTATCACGCTAAATTTTTTGATAGAATAAAATTGATGCCGCATAGTTATTTTAAATATTAGCCTTCCTATTTCGGCTATTTATTAGACGTGTGGTGTGATGTTTATATAAGATAAATACAAATTCGAACAACTCTCATCAAACATATTGAACTTTAAACAACTTTTAATTTAAAAAATAAAAAAATCAGACAATATGCATACATATACTTTTTCTAAATACATAAATCATGAAGTACTAATTTTTTTTTCATAACATTTAGCGAGGTATAAATTATAATAAAATAAACAATTGTGATTGCTTTGGTGCGCAAAATAATTATTTTATTCAGATTTTACCTTATAATTCAACGTAGAGTAAACTCTGTGTAATATATTTAAGTGCAAGCAAGAACTTTTAGACACTCCTAATGTTAAGATAGACGTCAACAGTACATGAGCCATATAAATAAAATAAAAAAACCGGAATTTAGGATAGCGTAATCATCCGGTACTGATGATCGCTTAAGGCCAGATTGTTACTTCTACTTTCTTCAAGATGCAACACGATACTTAAATCGTCTCTATGGATGCTTATGAACAAAGAAACTTCTAAAATTATCTTCTAAAACAAACAAATGTTCATTGAAGAAAATATTACTTGAAAATCGTGATAATCATATCAAAATTACTGAAAACATTTTAATTTTATTCACAGGTGTGATCACACGAGCGAATCGCCTGCAGTGAAAATGGTCCCCAAAAGCACTGAAACGCACGAACAACTCACCAATCAGGTTTTCACTCGCCTCGCCGAATTCGCAAGCAATTTTTTGTAACTTGGGTAGTGAGAATGACCCGTTAGCTTTGGGGCGGTTTTGATTTGATATTTATGAACAATGAAGGGACATTTTCACTTGATTTATTTCACGCACTTGCGATTACTGTCAAAGGAGAATATTTTTCCGGAAAAAACCTTCCAATCAGGTACTCCGTTTTCTTTTCTTCGGCGATACGTGAGGGAGGTAGATATTTTATTTACGTCACACTAGAGCTGTACTATGGGCTATCGACGATGGTCTAGATAACAACTACGAGAATGATCCGAAGACATGGCATTGCAATTTTGATCCTCTGCAGAGAGGATAGCTCCTCTGCTTTGATCCCCACTGCTGCTACCTACCGAGAATTTATACCACACACTCTCGGTCTTTGCACGCGAAGTCGGATGCTTTAAGGTAGAACATTTTAACGAAGACAAGTACCACGCACCCTCGGTGCCTACGCAGACTGATCAAATACCCGCTTACTGACCACAGTCAGTGATACCTGACTTTGGTGTTCTACTAGGATCCGTGTCTTTACGATCAGTCCACTGCGGGACTCTAAGTTTGTAAACGGCATTTAACGATAATCAAATGCCAGCAAATCTAGTAGAATCTAAAAATGATAATGAAATAGATAATTTATGGAAAATACGGAATCTCTACCAATATAATTACCAATTTTTGGTGGAAAAAAACCAGTACTACATGATGCAAGAAAGAAAAAGATATCACAGGAACGGATTGATTTGAAAAGTATAACTCATAGCCAACTTCAACTAGGCCATACATACATATCTTTTTTTTAATTTCTTGCTAAAATGAAATCTTATTTGAATGTCTTTTCCATTGTAGGTGGTGTGAAGGGAAACCAATTTAGAAATTTAGGAGTAGGACAGATTTAATTTTTCAAAAGAAAAGGATAAAAAATTTCAACCAGACCGCAAATTATTCTTAGTCAACTCTGTTGGAAACTAAAAAAGTAAATAATTCCCACTGCATTATTTGATAAAATTAGATTTAAGAGCAAAAAACATTAAGAAGCCTTTCCCAAGTCTCAACTTGCTCCATTGGGTCAAGCAACCTGTGAACCGGACTATTACATTTTACTGCTTAAAGGATGAGCTCAATTGATTAATAAATCTTTATCCTTATCTGATAATATGAGTCAGTCCAAAGTAGAGTGTGCTGTCTTCTATTATGCTCCAAGATAACCGATTCTAATTTACAAAATAAACACTAAAATTTAGGATACCCCACCATGCACTATTTTTAATGTATAATAGGTTAAGGCTGAAACGTACTAAAATTTTCATGCAACTTTATTTTTATCTAAAACGCTTGTTGAAATAAAATGTTCCACATTTTTAATTGCCTGTACACAATTTTTTAATGCAATATTTTTTCAATTACATGTCATCAATTAATTATAAATCAAGCTTCACAGTTCAGTGAAAGAACCTATTCCTATATGCAGGGCCGGATTTACGTATAAGCTAAATAAGCTGTAGCTTGGGGCCCCGAGATGACAAGGGCCCCCAGATCCCACTTTTTTTAAAGTTTTATTCGGAGCCGGGGCCCTATGAAGCCCATTATAATTTTTTTTTTCTTNGGAGAAAACCAGTTTCAGGTCTAGAACATCCTCCCTCCTCCTCTGCTTAGTTGTACCTGACTGAAGCTTCAGTTCACCTAATTTTTCTAACCTAACTCCAGAATAGAAATTGTTGTACAAAATTCATCAAAACCTGTACTCAATCTACTCTTTTTTATCTTAATTCCTCCTCTTCTTAAAAAAAAAAAAAAAAAGTTTACAAAAATGCCAATGTTATACTTTCCTTAAAATTAACACTTTTCCAGTTTCCTTTAAAGGTTTTCCTCTTCATATTCAATGAGGACTAAGTTGTTTTTTTCCCCTTCAATTTTAATCCCTACTTAAAAAGTAATTAAAGCACCTTAGTAAACGCTAAAAAGATTACTAAGTTTATACTTGTGTGATAATATTTTCTTTCTTATTTAAAAGTAATAAATAATAATTACATTTTATGCAATTTTAATTTTTTGCACAGAATTTCCTACATGTCCATAGATATAAAGTTTAATTCCTGCATGTTATTTTAGATATACGAAACCGAAGAGTAATGAAATAAATAAAAAAAAATTGTGAAGTAAATAATTTTAAATTTAAGAATATAATAATAAAAGAAAACATAGAAAAATATACAAAAAATTTATTTCAAAAATATTAATATTCACAATAATATACAAATCAAAAATATACATCTATAGCTTTAATCAAATTTAGTAACACCTAATTGTTTGAGTGTTACTTATATTAGGTAGTTAATTAGAATACTTTATTTTAACGAAGTTAAGATTTAACACCAATTACATATATTGGTTAGATTGTGACAAATTACTTGAAATTGTAAATAAAGGATTAAAAAATTTACAAATGTTATTATAAGTCATGATTACGAATACATTAATTATGCTTTACAATACTAACACTTCCATTTGGAAAAAAATTATTCCAGCATATAAATATATTTCATATTACATTGAAAAATACACAAAAAAAAACAAAAAAAATCCTTAATCTTAGGTATTGCAATAAATGAATTGTAATCTTGGATTACTTATAACAGATACTACAATTGTAATCAAAATTATGATTCCTTGCAACCAATCACATTTTTTCTACAGGAAAATAGAAAATGTATTTTAAAATAGAAAAGTTATAATTGTAATAGAAAAGTTATTATTGTAATAGAAAAGTTATTATTATAATGAAAAAGAAGTTACAACTGCATAGGAAAATTAAAAATTCCTATTTTTACAATAGAATTTATTTTATTTTTTTATGTTTCAATAAAAGGAATACAAAATATAAAATTTCATTTAACTAAACTTGGATATTGCAATAACTAGTAATAAATGTATAGAAACTTGTATTACTTATAACAATGCAACGATTGTAACCAAAGAAGTTATGTTAATTTGTAATCACGTTTTCTCGTTTGCGCAACTCTGATTTCTATACGATAAAATACTGCTTTATATTCTTTGACTTATATCATAGATAAATGAGAAATATAAAATAAATCAAATATGCATTTAAAATTTTAATTTACAATATCATACATGTTATAAATATATTATTGCATTCATTTATAAAAAACATTCACATAATAAACAAGGCATACATACTTTGAATGATTAAATTTACAAAGATTTAGAGAATTTCACTAATGTTTTGAAAATACAGTGTAATCCATGGCAAAGTTGAAATATTGTCTACAAGAATATGTACAAATGGTTTATCATTTACTAAATTAATTTTTAATAATAAATGATTGTGAGGAGGGAGGTGTATTGCAATTTTGTACTCAGGTGAAGGCAGTTTTGATACGATAAAATGCTTCCACTTCTTTTCAACAAAAGTTGAAAACTCTTCAGTTCCAATCTTTAATGCAAACACAGACTGACAGCACTTAGAACCTTCCTCACTAAAATATTTTAAATATAAATAAATGACTAAAGAAATTGCAAATAAATAATAATTCATAAAAAAGGGAGGGGAAATACATACTTTAATTTTATTTCATTTGTAAATCTTTCCCATAATGCATGAAATAAGAAAAGTCTCCATGATGAACTACATTGAAGGTAAGATTCTGAGACAGGTAGTGGCAAAAATAAATCATCCAAATTTAATGTGACAGATTGAAGATTGCAAGTGTAGCTGTAGCCATTATTGCATGTAAATTCTACCCTGTAAATAATATACATACAATTAAAAAAATTACTTGCAGTTACCAGTTTTCAATAGGGAATAAATTCATCTTTCCAAAAGTAAAAAAATATTACATGGAAGAAAAACTATTTTTTGATAAAATTTTCAAGTATTTACTCAAAATAATAACATTTGTGAACTTACTTGTGCAATAGTCATTCCTGAGAGCCATGACATTAGACATAGTTAATATTGGATATAATGTTTTTAACTAACAACAAAAAATTAATTCTTGAGTTAATTTTTGAGATTTAATTATCAATAGAATTAATTTTTAAATATATAATGCCTACAGGATAAAAAAATTCTAAATTTTAAAATATAATTATGTATCTATATAGACATATATTTATTAAGAGTAGAACGTGCTTTGATTCCTCTAACTAGTATTTAAATGCAAGGCGGTTTTAGGGACTTTTAAAGGCCTTTTTTTAAGGCCATTCAAATTTGTACATAACAAAAATTTAGTTTGAATGGTAAATTTTCAAAATCTGTATTCATTTTTTGAATTATATTCAATATATAATTAAAGATGGAGTTCAAATAACCAACTAAGATGTTTAAAAAATATCGATGTATAAATTTTCTTTAAATAAGACTTTTTGGTTTTCTCAAATTTATGTAATGTGTTATAAAGAGAAATTGTATGTAAAACTTCATAACTTATATTAAATATGACTAAAGTTTCATGAATGAGCAACATCATTAGAATTTCTTTAAATTATTTTAACACTATGTAAAAGTTTATTAAAATTACATTGTCAGGTTAATGTTGCAAAATTTAACTCATTTAACAATTTTGTTAAAAACACACACACATGCTCAAAAACATAAAACTAGAACATGAAACAAAACATTATGGCTCTTAAATAAGAATTTAAAAATTAAATATCTAGATGTTTGTTCAGTTTCAAAAAATTTAAAATTATTATAATTGCTTATTCTAAATTGAAATTGATAAATTTTAACACAAAACCAGATTTACAAGATCAAATATAAGAAAATTAATAGAATAGAAAGTCCCATTTATATAAATATACATCACCTTATTTTAGTTTATTTCACAGTTTTAGTTTTTTAATGTAAAATTGAAATCTTTCTTCATTACTTATACAATAAATAGGCAGAATTTATGAAAAATATTTTAAATTTTATTTAAATATTGCAGTAATATTATCAATGTAAAAATTTGATATAAAAATTTAAAATAAGAAAAACAAAAACATTAAATAAATTACCACAATTTGTAAACCAAGCCGTTGTAAATTTTTTTCCAGTTTAGAAGCAAATAGTAGTAATAAATTTTAAAAATTATTATGACAAAAAAAATTAGGAGATTGATTATTAGAAAAATATTTTGCAAACTGGAAAAGTTTCATTAGTTTAACCATAAATTCTTATCCATAACTCAAACAAGAAAAAAAAACTAATGACAGATTTTAAGTTTTAATTAAGATAGAAAATAGGTTTTAGACATTTAATATTTATTCATTTTGATTTTTTAATAACCGAAATGCATAATATTTTATTTGAATCATTTTTACAGCTTAGTTATACTAAGAATGGTACATGGAGTAATTATAAATACAATTTATGCATTTAAAATAAAAATTTAGGCCTTTGGAAGGGCCATATTTTGTTGCCATATTCTAATTTAAAGCAGCCTTTTTACGGACTTTTTAAAGCAGTGGCAACTCTGTAAAAATAAAAATGTAAACACTTGTGTGCTTTGAAACAATACATTGCTTTTAACAAACAATTTCATTGAAGATGTTATCTATGCCCAATTTTATTACAATTTTACTGATAGACTTTAAAAATATTACTAGGCAAAGAAATACCAGAATAAGTTTAAAAAAAGTTTTTATGTCAGTATATAATTAACAAGATATTGTTTTTGCCTTTACTTGTCATTCCTCAGGTCCATGAGCATACATAGTAAATGATTGATGTGCTTTTAAATATACAGGTATAGGACAAAATAATAGGAACACCTGTGCAAGAATGGAGTCGTCATTTGACCGTCCAATATACAGTGGACACGTGTCGCAAGAGTGTGCCACCTAGTGGTGATAAAAGGAAAAGTATCAGCATTTGACAGTGTGAGAGTTGCATGAGAAAAATCTGCTCCTAGGAAAGCGAGATTATGTCTGACCTTAAAAGAGGCATGATAATCGGAGCTCGCCTCGCTGGAGCGTCCCCGTCCTGAACAGTGAACCTTGTGGGTGTTTCAAGGACCACTGTATCAAGGACTCTGTAAGAATACACAAAGTTGGGTAAGGTGTCTTCTACGAAGCACAACAGCGGCAGGAAGTCAAAGTTTTCGGACCGTGATAGACAGTGTTGAAGAGAGTTCGAAAACGCAAGACTACACTGCCGGTGATAACGTCCGAGATGAATACCCACCTTCAGAACCCCGTATCCATGAAAACTATTCAACGGTCATTCAGGCCAAAGGTGGCCAAACTCCTCATTAATAAAATATTTTCATTTTTTCACATGTTTCCTATTATTTTGTTCTATTATTTCCTATTACTTTGTTGTAAGCACAATTGATGCTTTCGACTTATTAGTTTATATGCTAAAAGTTTAATTGTGCTGTATTGTTTTAAAAATTAGATAGCAAAACAGAAATAATTGCATTTTGTTAAAGCTTTGAAAAAATTTTGCTTTTAACAAACATCCCTTTTGCCTTTTATTTACAGATAATGACTGTGTTTACAATTTTATTAATACAATCATTATTGCAATGTGGGGCAGTCATTGCAATGTTTAAAATTAATATTTGTATAATGTAAAAAACTCAACTTTGCGGCAGTGGTATATCTGTTTTTAATTTAATTTGATTTCAGGTCAGAAAGTAATTTTTTATGCCTTTTTCGAAAACATAAAATTAACAAAGAGTATATAAATTTTAAAAATAAAATACTCAGCATAAAAAGGTAAGTGGAAGAAATTGAGCTCCATCAGTTTTTTTTCTTCTTTTTGTCATAAAACAATGCACACATCAAATAATTAGTTTTGTAATTAAGAGAAAGAAATTTTTAGATTTAGTTGTTTTACGACAGTACATAAAGTTGAAAAGAAAAACTGTTAAATGATACTATTTTCCCCAACTTATCTTATTTGCTTATTTCGTATAATGATGTAAGGTAAACATTTTTACTTAAAGCGCAGAGTCAAAGGCTGAGGTTCTCTTGGTTTTAACTGCAGTGTAACAATTTTCTCTAAAAAAGATTAAATAAAATTAAACATCTTCAACAAAAAATATATGTCTATTCATTCAAAAATATATCATAATTTGTATAATTATAAAATATTACACACTATATAGTCACTGATTATTTTGCTAAACAATGGAAAAAATAGCTGGCCACTTTAATAAAAATATTTAAATGTTCAGTCGAGCATACATAGCATTAATCAGAAACATAATATACTAAAATGTACTGATGTTTTATATTTAAGCTTATTATCGCTTTTCACTTATGCACATTTTTCCTCTGAACCCTGCTTCTGCACATAAATGACAGGTCACTGTAGTTCATTTAATTCAAGAAAAAAAATTTGGAGTACAAATAATTAGACAGATGCAACAATTCTTCGAAAGAAATTTTAAACAAAAAAGAAGTGTTACAAAATTTAAATTGAACTGAACAAGTAGAACTATTTGTTAAAACGACTGAAAACATTAACTTACAAATTTTTGATGACATTTGATCCTTTATAAATCAAAACACATACTACAAGTTTTTATTGCTAACAAAGATACATACCTTGGTTAGAAGTTGGTGTAGACTTCAGAATAGGAATTTCTATCACTGCAATTGTAAAAAATAATTGCTCAAACATAATGTCAAATAGTTTGATAAAAATTTTAACAGATTAAATTATATGTATTAGTAAATTCTAAGATTTTTAAATATGAAACACACATGAGTTGATCAGAATATACAATCTAAGTTCCTATTTTTAAAATACCATTTACTACAGTATTTTAGTTTGTTTTTATTTTATCATAAAATTAACAATTATTACCTGAGATTTCTTTACAAGAAGGTTCAGATTCAGCAGAAATCACAATACCATACAATTCAGCAAATGAATTTTCTTCCACAGTGCCAATCTATTTTTAAAAAAAATGTGTTTGCATTTTGAAAACAGGAAAAAATGCTGAACAACAAAGATTTTGCTAGTAAAAGAAATTAAGATAATAGCAACATGATCATCCATATCGTCTTAGTTGAAAATATACAAAATCCTGGAGGAAATAGAAAAGTCACAAAATGAATAAAGAAAATGTATGCTTCAAAAATATACCAAATGAATACTTGAGAATAAAATGAAAAATATACAAAAAATGATGTTCAAACAACTTGTGTGAGCAAAATGCAATCTACAAAAAGTGCAAAACGATAAGTTTTAGTGACTCACAAAAAGTGTTAAATTTGATTGCCCAGTGTGTTAATGTTGGCAGAACTATATCCTTTATGAACTATTCACCTTAAAGTTATAGAACAGCAGTGGTATTATGAATAAATTACTAAGTATTTGACGTTAAAATATCTGAATATCTGAAAAGGAGTTAGCAAGTTTCTTCGATTTCGGTAAAAATAATCATGAAAGTTTTGTTTGAGTATAGAAATACACATTTTTGCATTTTTATTTAAAGTCTTAAAACAATAACAATTTAAAAACTAGCTATATTAAAAGTCTCAAATTTAGGAAACTTAGATAATAAAAGGTGCCAAACAGTTGCAAGCAATACCTTTTACCTAAAACATTATCAATTATCAAATGCATATGCATATAAACAGTGTGTGTATAAAATTCACACATATTTTATACATAAATGGTAAAAAGGATTTATTATGCAAAAGTTTACAATGAATACACAATAGGAATATTTGCTACAATGAATTGAAGAAAAATTACATCTTAACTCACGTTAAAGAAAAATTAAATAAAGCCATTCAATCATGCAAGCTTGTAAGTTTATGTTAGAATGCATGAATAATTTAAATGTTGATTTAGAGTTTTTTAAGTCATATCATTGATAATATAAAACAAGCAATGGGTATAGCATTAGCATATATGAAGGTAATAACTACCATAATTGATTTTTAACAATTTTAATTTTCTCATGGAACTTTTTGTTTTATACGAATAAGTAAAAATACGTACATGTTTTAAAATGAAAGGCAACTGAAGAAATGATTCTTGTGAAGTAAGATGTTGCTGATATAATTCTAAAATACCTAAAAATGATATAGAGTTTGAGAACAATTCAAAATAAAGTCATATATATACCGCTACATTCAATTCAAAATTATTTCCAGCATTATGCATCTAGCAATATAAACTTAAGCACTCTTTTAACCATGTACGAGCATTAGTTACAGCTTCTCCATTTTAAATTTAATCTGATTTTCCTGCCATTGGGAATTTCATCAGAAAGTACAGCATATGCAGAGAATATTCAGTGTAAATTTTCCTGCAATTGAAACACTTCAAGCGTTTGAAAAAAATTTACTTAATTAATTAAATCTTTAAATTTATTTTTTTCAGACTCCTTAAAAAAACTGAGTTTGAGATCCAGTTGAGATGAAAGACAGAAACTGATTCAGATTTGGTTTATTATTGACTTTAAAAAAACTTTGAATATAATTTGCAGTAACATTTAGTTTGTAGTATAATCTTGTCTTTAACATTATTAACTGTAAAATTTAGTGCAAAAAGTTACAGTGTAGTTTACTTCCAAAGCTACATAGACTTGACTTTCAAAATATTTTAGAAAAGAGCAATTTATTTCTTTTATTTAAAAAAAAAATTCTGGTTATAAGCAATATCTCTTTTTTTATAAATTCTAATTAAGTAGAGAAATTAGTAAATATATACAAGTATTAATGTGGTTAGTTAAATTTAAAAGTAGGAATAAAATTTTAGTACCTAATGGGATATCACATTTAGCTATCACAATAACCATCATTTTGATGAAAAATTCTTAAATATTTTTTCATTACTNAGTTACAGCTTCTCAATTTTAAAATTTTAATCTGATTTTCCTGCCATTGGGAATTTTATCCAAAAGTACAGCATATGCAGAGAATATTCAGAGTAAATTTTCCTACAATTGAAATGCTACAAGCATTTGAAAAAAATTTACTTTTTTTAAATCCTTAAAGTTACTTTTTTTCAGACTCTTTAAAAAAACTGAGTTTGAGATCCAGTTGAGATGAAAGACAAAAATTTATTCAGATTTGGTTTATTATTCACTTAAAAAAAACTCTGAATCTAATTTGCAGTAACATTTGGTTCGTAGTATACTCTTGTCCTTAACATTATTAACTGTAAAATTCAGTACACAAAGTTACAGTGTTGTTTACTACCAAAGCTACATAGACTCGACTTTGAGAACATTTTACAAAAGAGCAATTTATTTCTATTATCTAAAAAAATATTATGTTCAGATGCAATATCTTCTTTTTTTTAATTCTAATTAAGTAGATAAATTAGTAAATATATGCAAGTATTTCTGTGGTTAGCTAAATTTAAAAATAGGAATAAAATTTTAGTACTTAATCTGATAACAAATTAAGATGGCAATAACCATCATTTCGATGAAAAATTAAATCCAAATAAGTATATTTTGTAATAATACATCCAACTAAAAGAGCTAAGTTACCAGATATCGGCTCTTCTATAAAATTATCATCAGTGTTTAGGCTATGAATTTCACTGTCAAGCCTGTAAACAAATAAATCATTAAATTAAAATAATTTCTATTCAACCATTTCAAGGAACTTTAAAATAAAATACAAAGTTTTATAAAATGCAGTGAAAACAATAAAGTGATATATAAAAAAAGTTATAAAATCTTGAAAAGACTGAAAGACTTCGTCACTTTAAAGATTTCCATTTAAGCTATTTAAATTTTTAATATTAGCTGCTTTAAACTTATAATTATTCATGAAAAAATTATTCAAAACACCTAATATTTATAAATAATCAATGCAAATGTTTCAGTTAATTTTCATATGGCTATTTTTCCAATTCAACATAAAACTATGTCTCAAAATTAAGAGGGTTGTTGCGATCCTTTTCTTCAATTGTAATATTATTCCGTTCATGATCCTTTAATAATTAATCCATTCAATTCAAAAGTAAAATACAAAGTTCAATAAAATGTATTGAAAACAATCAAGTGATACATAAAAAAAGCCATAAAATCTTGAAAAGACCAAAAAATCTCTGGCAACTTTAAAGATTTCCATTTAAGCAGTCTAAATTTTTAATATTTAAATAACAGCTGTCTTAAATTTATAATTAAAAAATAATGCAAAACATCTAATATTCATAATTAATCATTGCAAATATTTAAGTTAATTTTTATATGGGTGTTTTTCTAATTCAACATAAAAATTTTGTATCAAAATTATGAGAGTTGTTGCGAGATATCCATTACCTTGAGTGTAACATTAATCCCTTCATACAGGGCCCCCCACCAGGGGGGAAGGTGGGCGCAGGATGCGCCCACTTAAAGCTTGGAGGGGGGGGGGATTTTTACACTAATTAAAACGAATAGTTTGGGGGGGGGATTTAGAATTTTCCCAAGAGCTTGGGGGGGGGATGGGGGCCACTGTCTTCATAGTAATCTTATGCTATCTAAAAGTTAAAAAAAGGTTTCAAGGTTTTTGTAAAAGATATGAGTATCCTGCCCTAAAGAGGTTCTCATTTTCTTGGTTAGTTCATACTAATACAAAGTTGGGTTTTCAGCTGTTGTTCTGAAAAGAGCAAATACCTCTCAAAAATAAATATCAGAAAAGAAATGTGAGTAGCTACATAAAGTTTTATTTCAAGATAAGTACAGTTATGTAATGAGCAACCAACTAAATTATAACATGAAATGTATTACATGAAATACATGATTTCTTCAAGGGTGGACAATAAAATCTCCTTACATATGTCTTCTTTTATATTAATATAATGCCATATATTATTACAAATATCGTTTTATAATTTAAAGTGTGGATGTATTTCAAGCATGAGGTACATTGACTATATTCCTAATATTCTAATAAAAGACTAACTAAACTAAATAAAAAAAAGGAAGACATCAAATTGACACTTCTCACTTTTTATCCAGAAGATATAATAAATAATTTTGACTAATTTTAAAAGGCAAACGATTAAAACTTGGATCAACAGGAAACAAGTCTAATTTATTGAACTTAAAAATGAATGGTTGGGTAAGTAGACTCTAACTAGAAAACAAAACCGTAATTGGTAATTTTGCAGTTGCATTAATATTGTTTCATTGGTAATTTTGCAGACACACAACTGTCATTTCATATTAATTGGGTGAAAAATATTTTAATATCAATTACGTTTGTAATAAGCAAACAAACAGGTGTAGATAGGAAGAAGCATGTTTAATGCATTCTAAATGTGTAAAAATTAAGTAAATATTACAAACCTTAGCATCTGTAATATTGGATTGTTTAGTTTCTGAATACAAGATGCAAACTGCAATGATTCCCCACCTGCAATATCATACATCAAATAACAAAAATAATTATCATTGACTAATATACAGAATTAGCACCAATTAATGGAAAATAGTTTTTGGAACTATTATACATATAACATTACATATTCATTAAATTAAAGAAATATACTTGTAATTAATGTACAGTGTGCAAAACAACAACACAGCACCTTAAATAATTTTTGGTGGAATTTCATACACTGACGATTTTCACATGCAATCTTATTCAAACTTAATGTCTTATCTTAAATATGTTAATTATAGGTCAGGCTTTGAAGTGGGCACAAATAAAAAAATCAGAATATTTTTAGAAACAATATGCATATATACCAGACTACAATTATAAAAGGCAAACAGCAAACAAAAGAAACTATAATTTGCACTTCTACAAATTTTATGGCAGAGTAATAAAAAAATTTTTTGTTTTGGACAGAAAGTTGTAATAGTTTTCAATATAATTTTATTAATACTGACTCATAGTAATAGTTTAAAATCAATATATGAAAAGTTTTTACAGTACTGTTGCTTTAAAAAAAATTGCCAGTATAAATTAAATATTTCCTCATACCAATATAAAATAAAATTTTCAATTAATAATCTCAAAATGCAAACACAATGAATACGCGGCAATACATTTTTTTCTAATTTTAGAAGATGATCTCTAAATTCACAATTTAAAAACTCTAATGTGTTCAGAAAATGTTTCTATTCACTTAAAAAGTTCTAGAAAGAGGGCAAAATATGCAAAAAGTAAAAATGCCATTAAAGTGTCCAAACTTTCAAAAGAACTTGGTATATTTTAATTTTATACATTACTTATTGCAACATGAGTAATATTTTTGAAAATCTAAGTATTTAACAACTGATCATTTATTTGCACCAACTTCACATGACACAATGAATGTTTTTTTTTTTTTTTTTTTACAATATTGCTTACTTTTTTATTTATACAATAACAAATAATTGAACATATAATCACCATTTAAATATAGATTGAAGTAAATGACAACTTCTCTAATAAATAAATGTATGAATGTTTCATTTATCTATTTTTTTTATTTATTATAAAAAATAAAAAAATAACAGTTTAAATTCCAACAAAGCTAGCCATAATAAACTAAGAATGTGGTACTTTTTTTAAAAACAAATTTTGTGATATTAAAATTTCACTGTTCTTTGCATGCCTTTTTTAAATACTCTTAAAGTATTCATAAAATTAAGCGGATTCTATTTTAGAACGATAAATAAATATACCTGTAACAAAAGAATTCAGGGTATTCTTTCCCTCTTTTTCAGATGGATTCCAAGCAAAAATGGTTTGTACCTTTACAGAAATTAGAAAAGAAAAGAAAAGTTTGGTTTGAACATAAACTGAATAATTTATTGGGAATAAAACCTATCAAACTAAAGTTGTTACTACCAAACAACAGAGAGTTAAATCATTCTAGATATCTAGGTAATTGGCACAAATTATGAACTAAAAAAATACAACTATTTATTATTCAAAAAGGATCTGGAGGTCCATTATTTTATACCATTTTATATTTCTTACCAAAATTTTTTTTAGTAGAGTATTATTAAGTATTAGCAATTTAAGATACAAATTGGGCTACAAATTTCTGTACAGTCAGATATCTTAAGTTTTGCTTATTTTGGAAATTTGTAAATGTAACTAACACTTTAATTATCTTGATTAACAATATTTTCAAAAAATTAATATAGAACTTTTCTTTACTTAGGCCTTAGATGATTTAAAAAATATTCTAGTAAATTAAAATCTAAATTATACAATTTGGTTTCGAAATGGTAAACTTGATAAAATAACTCACTTTTAATTTCGATAAAGAGGTTAACATGCAGTAGTAGATTTTAGCTCTATCTTTCACATCTGTATCTTGAAACTGCTGAATGATAAGGCAAAGTACTTCTGCTAAATCTGATATTTGAATAACATGTTAAATTCAATATAAAAATCACATTAATGGCGCGAAAATAAATACATTATTGGCATTAAGCAAATCCTTACAGAATTTAATTTATAATTATTGTATAAAGATGAATTACCATAATAAAATATCTGAACATCATGATATTTCATCAAAGTCCGACAAAGAGATAAGATTCTGTTGCCAATACACCAGGTATTTTGAAGATTCAAATTACCCTCATTTAACATTTTCTGCAATAACCTTAAAACAGCCTAAAAATGTAAGATATACTTAGTAAAATCAATAAGTTTATTGGATAAAATAAAGAATTATACTGATAAATTATCAATGATATAAATAAAATGCTATGCATAAACAACAAATGAATCACTTGAAGCAAAAACGATGAAAACCATACAAAAATAGTGATATCTTTTATTCAATTATCCTAGGTTCAAACATTGTGTTTGAATATATAAGGAGATCAAACACCCAAACCACTAAAACAGTGGTTCATAAGCTTTTTCAATTGTGAATCAGTAAAATTAAGTTAAACAGTACACAGAGTGGCTGAACTTAAAAATAAGTACTAGTGTAGACAGATTTTAATTTCATCACTTTAACTGTAGAGGTATAAACATTTCATTTGTATGTAATTTCTTGAGAATAAGCCATACCTTCAACAGAACCAACTGCTTTTAAGAATAAGATTTCTAAATCATTGTTAGTAACAAATAAACAAAGCAGTTATATTTCAAAAACATTTTATGTTTTAAAAATGACAAAAACTCTGTTATAAAGATTATAAATACTTTAAAATGAAACAATTTTTTATTTAAAAAATTATCTAATCAATATAAAGCTACAGTAAACTCTGTCTAAGGCAAATAATGTATGGAACAGAATACCGGCTGAAATGGAAAATTTAGAAAACCTTGCAAAAGTTGCAGCAAATAACAGTAGATTGTCTACAGCTCCGCCTTTCATAATTAGCTGTTGAGGTACTGTAATTTTTGGTAGGTTATCCTTTGGTTTATAATAATTTGTACTGTTTCCAGTAGCTGAAATCTGTTTAATGCATAAATAAAAGTTAAAGCAGACAGAAAAAGACTTATCAAGCAAGGAAAAGAATTTCCTTAATTTTTTGCAATGATATTTATTCCTTTTTTCTTACAAAAATGTTTACTTATTAAGTTGGAACATTGATGACAAAAATTTGTATTGCTTAAATGAAAATTTTAGCGAGTTCCTAAATTCAACAATAATAAAGGTGCGGAAGAATGAAAACTTACAATGGACAACAGAAAAATGTGTTCCAAATAGGAAACAAAAAGAAACAAATCAAAATTTTCCCTATTGAATTAAAATAACATATATCTAGGGCAAATGTTTGATAAACAAACAAAAACAAAAAATTAGAAAAAAAAGATAAATTGGCAAAAATAAAATTGGTAAAAATAACAATAATCATAAAACAATTTAAACTAATCAAGAAATGTATCTTACCCGAGGTCTACATATAGATGCCGGTTCTTGAGAAGCACTTTCTAGTATGGCCAAATAATATTCAAGATTAGAATGAAATTGTTTTAAAGGAATGTTTAAAATATGTTCAACCATATGATCAAGAGCTTTTTCATGAAATTTTCTGGAGAAAAAAAAAGGAAAACATAAAAAAATTAACAACAGTGCTCAGTATGTTCTGCAACAGTTAGATACATTAAAAAAAGGATTAAATGAAATTTGGACATAACTAAAAAAATTTCACTACATAAACGATAATAAATTTGAAAATAAAAAAATTCATAACTATTCTGATAGCTACTAAGTGACATTTTGAAATTTAACTTAAAAAAGCAAAAACATTAAAAAAAATTAATAACAGTGCTTGATATATTCAGCAAAAGTTAGATACATTAAAAAAATTCATATAAATTTTGAATGTCGCTAAAAATATTTTACTAATAAATGAACTACAATAAATATAAAAATAAAGAAATCTAAAGCTATTCTGATTGTTACAAATATTAATATAATAGTATAAATCAAGTACTAATCTTAGATTCAACTTGATTTTTTAGCAAAGGGAAAATATTGCAAATATTTTTCCCACAGTAGAAGAGTTGATTTGTCAGGTATCTGGCTGTAGTTTATTTCCATCATATTTTAAATTTTACAACAGGAATGAATCTTACAAAATTATAAATCTTAAGATATAACTCATACATAAAGAAATTGAACACTCATAATTATTGATATGGAATCTGCCCTTAAAGATATAGACTAAGATGACAGATATTTCATTAAAACTACAGTATATTTTAACGAAGAGCCAACTAGTGGTCGAATGAGTAAAAATTATTCAAACTGTCTTAGGGGCCGTTCAAAAAGTACGTACACAAAAATGGAGAAATTTTAACCCCCTCCCTCCTTCGTACATTACCATACATAAGGTCTTACCCCCCCCTTAGAGTACGTACATTTTATAAGTCTGCTCCCCTTTTTCATAAAAATTATGTGACATTTTGCGAGACAGCTTTTTTTGAGAATTGATTTACGCATTCTAACAAGTGGTCGCCGTGTGAAAAAAGATACAAGAACAAACATATGTATAATACATGTGTAGGAAAAAGACAAATTTAAATTTGGTGTATGCTTATAATGTACATACTTTGTATAATACCTCCCCCCCTCCCCACCGTACAAAATAGCAAATCCCCTCCCATACCCCTTCGGGATGTACATATTTTTTGAACAGCCCCTTACCAGCAGAACATAAAAAAGACTTAAAATGTCAAAAAAATTATGAAAAATTATTAGTATTTTTAAATTTGGGGACAAATGATCACCTAACTAAAAAAAAAAATAACTGAAATAAAAGGGGAAAAAACGGAGACCTTTTAATTAAAAATTCAATGCAACTACACTTTAATTTAAATGACTAGTTGCAATTTTTAATTTTTCTAGAACTCAGTGTAAATAATATGTAATTCAATAAAATAAAGAAAGGTTTTACTGGTATAAAAAATATTAGTATTGTTTTAGGCACATTCTTTACAGATTATCTACTGAAAAAGTGATAAATTAAATTACGTGACAGAGAGTTTGGCCCAATGACGATAAAGTGATGGATATTTTTCAAAATGTACAAAAGTCATTGTTTTGTCAATAATTAATTCAACTTTACAATTTTAATTAATCATAGATGTTTTAAAAGAAACAACAATATTTAGAAATGAATTATTTTTATAAAAAAAGAAGAATTTGCAGATAATCAGTATTAAGAAATAAAAAAATCTTGTAGGAAGCTCATAAACATACAATCTTTAAATATTTCACTAGAAAAGTGAAATATAATGTTATTGATCATTGATGGCATGACAGTTGTGAGTGGGCTATGGCCTTTTTTTAAAATAAATTTTGCCAGGCCACTCTTACACAAGAAGCTGCTTTTGAATTAAAGACAACAATTATCCAATCCATTTTAATGTTTATTTTTCTTAAAAGCCCCTTGCCATTTGTGGGGATAAATAATCACTCATATTTTTTAAATCATTCAAAGCAAGAGAAAACTTGTTCTTAATTGAAATGTTATGTGCCCCACCCAATTTTATTAACCCAATTTAATGAATCCTACCCAATTTAATTAACCAGATTTAATTAACCCCACCTAATTAAATAAACTTGCTTTTATTTTAAATGTAATGTCCCACATGATTAAGCAATGTGCTATCATATTCATATCACAATTCAATTCAACTGCTGCAAAAATTAAATCATATTAAACAAAATTATTGAATTCAAAAAAGTAACAATCAATTTAAAGACCTTTGTCATTTTATTTAATATCTCATTTTTAAATGCATGCTATTTTCTTTTAATACCTATTTATACCTAATTTTTATTTTACAAAATAATATATTTGCATCTAGCCTACACTGATGTAAATAATTGGCAACATTTTTTTGCATTTCCTAAAAATTAGGAATCTGTTAATTTATCAGAAATGAGAATGCATAAAAATTTTCTTAACAATAAAGGAAATAAATTTTTATACAGTAGGCATAAAGAAGTGATGAACATTGTTTTACCTTTCATTATATTTAGTTCTTGCAGCATCCAAAAAACTTAAGGCATATGGTGTTAAATGTAGAGATGTTTTTAACATACCAGTAATCAACCTGAAATTAGTCAATTATATGTAAAAACAAAACTTTAAAAAAAGTTTTGTATAGTAACATTTTTAATTTACAAATGAACTTTACTGAATTTTCTCACTTATAAATAGAATTGGAAATGGTGTCTGACGTCTGTGTAGAGAAATATATAAATAATGTTCTGAATAAAGAAGGTGCTGCTTTTGTACCACCAGATAACATTGAACATTTTACTAGGCCATTTACTATCTCATTTAAGAATTCACCACTAGCTCCTATAAAAAAAGAAAATATTTGTAAATGCACTAAGTTTTCTATTTATAATAAAATTAAGAGCTATGTCAAAATTTTTAAGGGAAATAATTTTCAAAGGACTTAAAGACTGAAGTTATACATCACACATTAACTATAAAATTACATATGTAAAATAACTATGAAATATATTAATTTTTAATAATCATTTACTTAATTAAATGTAATTCAAATTCTAGTATGATTGAAATTATGCCCAACACATTCACTTTTTTTTTATCAGACCTGTTACTTATCTGTAAAAGATTTAAAAAATCTCATGGTAAGAATATCACTTTTCAACCACTTTTTGAGAAAAATAAACAATCTGTAACTATCACTACTTATTATAAAACATAACATATATTTCTCTGTTTAAGTTCAAAAATATTATATATGTCACTGTTAATGAAGTAGTCGTAGCTACAAATAGTTTATTCATTCAAAAAAAGGTAGCATTAAAACATACTTATATCTTTTCCCGATAATTAGTACCCATTTTATATTGATGTGACTATTGCAATTAAATTATGTCAATCGTACAAGTCCTTCTTTATACTTTGTAAACAAAATTTTATTTCCTTCCTTTAGACCAACAAAAGACAATTTGAAAAGATCATAATGACAAAGATAAAATGGCTGCCTTGTGTTTTGAATTTAAAAAAAAATATTGAAATTTGATAAATCCAAGATTTGAGAATATAGTTAGTACAACTAAAGGTTTTGATATTTATCATAAGTTAATACATATATGTATATATATATATGGGGTCGAAAATTATATTGCCCGAAATGTGTGGCACACATGCATTTTTTACGTCTACATCCCCAACTGGGAATATAAATATTCAGCCAGGAGTACTGTAAAATATCTATTATTAAGCACAATTTAATATAAAAAAAGAAAATTAATTTTGTTTAATAAAACTTAAATAGTATTAACCTTAATATTTCATAAATAAGAATTTATTAAATAAAATAAGCTTATTATTTCTCGTCTAGCCATGCTTATTTTTGTTTTAAGAAAATAATTAAAATAAAAGTTTGTAATGCTATAGTAAAGTAGTATGTCGAAGGTAAGTAATATGCTTGCCAATAGTACTTAATTTTGATTATATTACTTCTTTGTAAATAATAATGCTCTGCATTTATTTCATTAACACTAAATGCTTTCTTTATAATAATACTTAATACTTATAATTAATATTTTTTTAAAAAATGTTGAAGTAGACATAATGTTGCTTTTATCATTTTTTCTTGACAGATTAATAACAGAAACACTCATGTGTTCTCATTAATATGTTATTGAGTAAGATGCCAGAAAATGAAAAAAGTTAATCTGAAAATGTATTTTGAGACTAACCCGCCCAATTTTACTACCAAGCAATATTACTTTTCCGATACGCAAGTAAAAATTATGAGATTTTTAGAGTCCAGATATACATATATGTAAGAACATAATAGAATTATAATACAACCAATAGAATTATATAACAATCCAAAGATGAGGTTTCATTGGTATTATGAGGTATTTAATAAAAAAATAATAACTACCTATTTATATAAGGGTCATACAACAGTTTTTTTTTTAAATTTTCAACTATTATAAAATTATTAATGATTTGATTTTTAACAAAATTAATTAGATTGATTTATTAAAAAAGTTACTAAGTTTTATTAATTATTAATTTACAAATCTTAGATAATTCTTACTTTCTTCAGAATTTGGAGGAAGGGACAAAGCCAGAATGTGAGCCTTCTTCTCTACAGTAAGAGGACCATCAAATGGACTTGGTAAAAGTGTTTCAAGATCAGAAAATGATAGACATGAAAAAGCCTTCTAAAATTAAATGCATGCATAACCAATTTACTTAAAACATACAAATATTAAAATAATAGGTAGCATAAAAAAAAGTTGAAAAAATTCAACTTATATTGGACATAAAAAATTTCAAACACTCATATAACAGTCAGTTGTTGAGAAAGATGATGGTAGTTTAAATCATGGAGGTGACTGCATGATTTATGGCAATGTGATCAGCATTGGGTATGCTCATTGGGTAAGTTCAGTTATAATGATAAATAATGAAATTCAGACCATCTTTAAAGGTTTAAAAAAAATGTCATTACTTTAAATGCATGTTTAGGGTGGCTACTCTCCAGATAACACCAATTTCCTTGAGATTTTCAGAGTAAAATATTAAAAAATGTACCAGATTCATGTGGTTTAAATTAGTGAAATTTTAAAAAATTGCATATATTTATATAAAAAAGAACTTTTTTTGAAAAAAATTTATTCTTAAAATTTGTTCTTTTTTGCATTTTAAAAGCATGTCTATTAGTTTTTGCAGTACAAAATATAAATAAAAATTATATGATCAGTCAACCAACTTATTATCACAATAGATAAATATCAGTTGTGATCAACAGATTTCACAATAAATAAATATGATTTTCAAGAATAAAACATGTAATGTTTCAATCATTCATATAGTTTTACTTTAATGCAAGAAAACTCTGTTTGGAAGAAAGTCGAAACAATTATTAGAATTATTTATTCAACAGAACTGAATTTTGCATCAAAATAGCAATGATGGCAAGGAATTAAATGATAATACCACTAGATAAGTTTTTATAAGCTTACAAACAATTAAAGATTGTGTAAGAATAGATTAAAACACACTAGCAGTGAGTTTATATGTGATTCACAGATTATAGGTATGAAACTGCTGATTGCCAATACTTAACTTCCAGAGAAAATTGCAAATTTCTTAAAGAATTTCAGCTTTCAGTTACACTTAGCCTTCAAATAGTGGTACTTTAAAATTCCCTGAAAATTCTAGTTTTCCTGATTCTAGCACCAATGGCCCTCCTGCAATTGTAGAGCAGGCCGTCATGGACTTTAAAGCTCCATAATTACGAGACCTATAGTATAATGGTGGTAATAACGTTAGCACTGCCCATAGCTGATTTTTCTTCTTCAACAGCTGGAACCTATCAATCTGAAGCTGGGTGGCCTTCAAGTCGAAGAAAAAGGGATAAAAATTAGCTTCCACAAACATGAAAACTGACCTCCCAAGAGTTGGTGCAGGGTGTATAAAGAAAAAAGCAATATTTAGGGGCACAACAGCAAAGGATCTCTTTGAAATAAATTTATACCTACCTCTCCCCCCAACCATTCTGCTAGGATTGGTTAAGAAAAGGAATGTTTTCTCTATTTATTTATGGTTGACAAGTTATTGCATTTTCGTACTATTTATTAATAAAGTACTATTATGATATTTTCTAAAGAATTCATTTATACTATCGATGTTGATTATATCTGCTAGCACATTTTGAGAAAGAATAAAATGGCGATTGTAAGGCGCAAGGTACGCAGCCAACAACCAATTCAGGTAACATAGCTTCTGATAAACACTTTGCGTCTAATATGCTGAATCTTTATACACATATTGCTCTGCTAAATCTCAGTATGCTGCTCTCTCTGTAAGTTGTTTTCTAGTATGTCATTTCGTATTTAACAATTCCCCGAGTTACTAAACTATTCTTAAGAGCTGGACTTTTTCTTTCTATGTTTCGTTAAGGTTTCACAATTATAAGACTAACAGTATAACAGCGGCAATGTGATTGCTGCTTCGTGCAAGCTGCTTTTTCTATCTTGAGAAGCTGTTACCCATCAATCAAAACTAACCAAAGATAGATAACTGATTCATTACACTAACAATTTGGTGCCTTAACTAAACTGAACTATTGCAATGCCTAAAATCATCCTTTTACCTTTTTTTTTCTTTTGTGGAAAAAAACAGCTATCTACTTGTTTTTTAATGAGAAAGTTGTGTATTAAGGAGAAATCTCCATTCCAACCAGACCCGAACACTAAATGTTCAAAATGGGTAATAACTGTATATAAGGTAATAATAATCTAAACTAGAAAAGTAACAACTATCTGACACTAATCACCAGACTTTCTTGATAAAATTATCAAGATAGTCTGAATCAATTATCTGAATATAAATTAACAAAAAATAAAGACTAATAATGACTACAAAGATGTAATAAAAACACTACAATTGGATCTAGATTTAATTAATACATTAGAGCCTAAAATTTTGTTTGTCAAATTACGGTTATTCATAATATCAAAGTCTAAACTAAAAAGTTTCTTCACTTTACTTAAAAGCCATAATACGTAACTATACTAAAATATCCATAGCTAGAAATTGTACATTTTTTATTCAGCAACTAAAAATACAGTGAAGATCAGAAATATTTGTTCATTTCACTTATGTACATGAAAATTCTACTTTTTGAAAGCATTTTTCAATTTCATTTCTGGACCAAAAATTATAGCACAAAATATAGAAAACCCAAAAAGTTGACTTACCAGGGATACTAGGGAAGTGTGACTCGCCAATTTTGAAATAAACTAGTGGGATGTATGCCTTATGAGGAATAATTTTAGGGGGCAACATTCGTTTCAGCCCATAGAAGGTCCTATGAGAGATAAAAAATAATTCAATACCGTAAACCGGGGCGAGTCTACCCATTTTTTCAGTTTGTCAACTTTCAAGTGGTCAAACTTTTGTNTTCTGGACCAAAAATTATAGCACAAAATATAGAAAACCCAAAAAGTTGACTTACAAGGGATACTAGGGAAGTGTGACTCGCCAATTTTGAAATAAACTAGTGGGATGTATGCCTTATGAGGAATAATTTTAGGGGGCAACATTCGTTTCAGCCCATAGAAGGTCCTATGAGAGATAAAAAATTATTCAATACATAGAAAAATCGGTATTTTATTACTNAAACCTTTTTTCTTTAATATTTACAAAAGTTTGACCACTTGAAAGTTGACAAACTGAAAAAATGGGTAGACTCACCCCGGTTTACGGTACATAGAAAACTCGGTATTTTATTACTTCAATGCAAACTATTAGTTACTGTAATTATCTTAATACTCCAATTAATTTTGTGGGACTTTCACGTACTATATAATGCATATTTATTGTCAATATTGATTTCAAAATTTTATATATCTGTAGTTTTTCAGAAAAACCTGTTAGGTTAATTTAAAAACAAAAAAAAATTGGCATCAAATTTTTTAAATTTTCTTTTTCGAAAAATTTTTTAATATAAAAACAAGGGAACAGTAATAAGTTTTCTTTATATCATAGTCGAAATATAAGTCGAAATAAAATACGCATTTTCCCAACTGATGGAATTTCTTGTGGGTATAGCTTATGTAACATCCAAAAATGTGATTTATAAAAAATTAATTTTTTTCATATTTTTAGATCTTGTAAAAAAATCTGAAATAATTTATGTGATTGCAGAAAATTAAATTGCATTTTTAAAAATATGCTCAAATTTTTTCGGCGGGAAATTTGAACTTAAAAAATTTTTAATATTTCAATTCCATTTTTTTCATAAAAGATCAATTGTACTGTATACGCAAAATTTGAGGTGATTTGTCACTTTAAGGTAGAAAATCCGTTGATACCTATGTCCTGTGAATTGTTCATTATTTTGCGAAAACATTGCTATTTTTCTAATATTATTCATAGAATTATTTTTACATCTCATATCCTAGCTAATTTTTGAAATATTTAACTTTAAAAGTTGGCATCCTCCTATCTTGAAACATAGGTTAGAGTAGCGCCGCCATATAAAAAGAGACTACACGCTTTTGGTCCGTGCTATTCTATATGGCGGTGCTATTTTAACCTATTCGTCAAGATTGGAGAATGGATTGGAAGTATATTAAGCATTAATTTCTGGAAAATACATTTTTTTTAGGACTTTGATTTTTTCAAAAATGTTTTCTTACATTTTGGCTCTGATATAAATGAAATTTATTACTGTTCATTTGTTTTTATATTAGAAAATTTTTTGAAGAAAAATTTTTAAAAATTTGATGCCAATTTTTTTTTGTTTTTAAACTAACCTAACAGGTTTTTTTGAAAAACTACAGATATATAAAATTTTGAAATCAATTTTGACAATAAATATGCATTATATAGTACGTGAAAGTCCCACAAAATTAATTGGAGTGTTACAGTAACTAATAGTTTGCATTGAAGTAATAAAATACCGAGTTTTCTATGTATTGAATTATTTTTTATCTCTCATAGGACCTTCTACGGACCGAAACGAATGTCGCCCCCTAAAATTATTCCTCATAAGGCATTCATCCCACTAGTTAATTTCAAAATTGGCGAGCCACACTTCCCTAGTTTCCCTTGTTAGTATCTTTTCATAACATTTTTATACAATGATGCTATAATTCTTATTATAAGCACCTTTTCATTATTCATTTTTATAGAATGAATGATATCAAAGTCTAGTAACTGGAACACATTTTTACAATTTGAAACAAAAAAACATAACGTTCATGTTTTTTAATTTGCAAATTAGAGGGAGGATGGACATTGATGAATAAACATAAAAATCTTCCACTTTTATATCTTAATAAATTTACTAAAGGTTCCAAAATGTTTAAAATAATTTTTTCATAAAAAAAAATCACATTTTAACAAAAGAAACAAAAAAAAAATTTGGCCTGCTAAAATAATTTGCTTATTTGGGATTTATTGATTGTTAAATGGTGGGTTTTACCTTCCTTTAAATCTAATTTAAAGAAGGAGCACAGAGTGGGACATTGATAAACAAATAAATCTTTCTCTTATGTATCTTAAAGAATTCATTTAAAAGTGCCAAAATGTCAAATTTTTTTTTTTGCTATCCATTAAATATCCCTTACATTTTGACAAAAGAGGCAATTTTTTTTTTTCTGTCTGTTGAAATGAATTTGAGGTTTATTGTTTCAGAAAGGGAGGTTTCTTACCTTTCTTTAAATCTAAAATAAGGAAAAATGTGTTAAACTTCAAAATTTCAATAAATATTGATCTGTTAAATCAAAGTCCGACCGTACATGCAAATAAAATGAATTTAAGACATGAAATACTCACCTCATTATGCATAATAAAGGATTTTAACCAATCTAAGAACAATAATTTGTGAGATGAAGTAAGGCTAGGGTGAGTTGATAGATTCACAAGTTGCTTTAAAAGTTGTTTTTCTTCTTGGGTTGAAAGGAGATCAGAACCAAATGTTTCCTTAAATATTCAAAATACTTTATTATGATTAATAAATAAAATGGAAAATTAGTTTAATGATTTACTTAATTTAAAGAGACTCGAAATACATTCGATTTTTTATTCTAAAATTTTTTTTTTAAAAATTGTTTTATAGGAAAAGTTTTTTTTTTTTGGATTATTGTTTAAGTTTTCTAAATTTGATATCAATCAAAAGATTTTTTTTACTTATTTTTAGTCATATAAAAAAATTCAGAGGGTCTAAAATGTTTCAACTTTTGTTTTGATACTTTTTTTATAATATGTTCAATCAAATTAATTTATGTGATTTTCCGAAACAACACTATGTTATCACTAGCTAAAACAAATATGGTTAAATATTTTTAAAATTTCAACTATTAACTCAAGAAATGTAAGTAAATAATTCAGTTTATTTACAGTAAAATAATAGATTTTTATAACAGGCTCAATTAAAAATTTTATGAGATATAGTTTTAATTTTTTTGTAACAACTTCTTTAAAATTATTAGGATTCTATTATGTTTTTAAAATATGTAATTTTTATAAAGCATTGAAAAAAGTGGTACAAAACAAAGAAAATTTTGATCATTTTGCTTAGAATCATAGTATTTTCTGAGAATACAAACTTACATTTGACATTTTTTGATTTGATGATTTAAGTATCTGTTATAAGATTTTTTTCACCACCATTTTTGAAAATTGTGTTACTTATAATAAAACAAATTATTTTTAGCGCTGATCAGGAATTTTTTTAAAAACTATATTTGAAACTTATATAACATTTAAACGCACCACAAATAAAATAATTAATATAATTTTATTCTCTTTTACAAGAAAATAAAATATTAAATAAAGAAAGTGAGGAAATAAAATTCCATGTGCAATAAAACTTCCTTGTTATTAGTAACCCATATTCTATGTCATGCAAAAAAAAAAAAAAAAAATATTGAAACATTAAATATATTTCTAGACATAAAAACTTCAAAATACCTGTAAATCAAAAGCAAGATGTATGAGAGGTACTTCGGAAGATAGTGTTAAACCATTAAAATATAGCTTAAAAGTCTGAAAAAGAAAAACTTGCTCAATGCATGTTAACAAGCTGAACATTATAAAACTGACTAACTTATAAGTTTAATATTAAAACTTAAGAGTTATTAAACTCTTATTAAGAGTTATTAAACTCTTTAACTAATTAAAAGTTATAAGTGTACATTTAAAAGATTAGATAAGAAAACTTATAAGTACACACTTAAAAATTTCAAGTATGCATTATATTAAAATAGAATACAAATTTTTATGCCACATTTTATCGTCGTTTTCAGTGCAAAGTACACTACAGAAAAATAACAATAAAAAATATCTATATAAAATCTGAAAGTTTTTATTTATTTTTTAATGACCAAAAGGCAGCATTAGTTAAACTAAGCATGCACAGAATTTCATACTCAAAGAGCATGCATCAAAAAATTAATCATTCATTTATTGACAAACATTGATGGTCCAAGAACTATAAATACTTCTACTATTATTCAAAAGTATTTTTCTTTTATAGACTTGAACTACTGAAAAGTCTATCACATCATCAAAAACACTACAAACAATATATAAATTCACTTTTCTGGCTAAGCATTTTTTTCACCATTGAAACTTATATGTAACTGTTTGTGCTGTATGAAACTTGTATGTGATGTGTTTGAGAATTTTAACCTTGCTTTTGATCTTTTACTATCATCATCACAAAAGAAGAATGTTTCATTAGTTTGGAATTAATAAAGAAATTACACAAGCTTGTATCATTTACAAAATACTTCATAATATTTCTTTGGATTTTGGTCAGAAAAACTAAACCAATTCAATATCTTAAGCAAATATACTACATGTAATGTCTTTAATAAATATACACTAAAAGTTTTCTGTCTTTCCCTTCTGTTACAATAAAAAAAATTGACTTATTATTTTTCAAGACTGCTGAAAGTTTGACTGATTTAAGTTAAACGATGTGAGATTTTAATTTCGTTTTATAAAATAAAAATCTACTCTTTTAAATGTCACAAAGTTACAGTTAGAGAGAGAAATTCAAGTGTTACAAAAGCTGGAAAGTGTTCACTAAATATAACACATATTTGTATGATGCCATTAAAATATTGCATAAGCACCGTTTTTAGATTTTGAACAAAATATTAAAAAAAATAACAAATTGCAACCCTCCTCTTACAATAAAATTTCTTTCAAATTTAATTACTTTTTCCATTCATATGAACTTTTTAACAATAACAGTTGCTTACTTTCATGCATGTAGGCAATGGTCACACCCCTACTCCCTAGTCATCAAAAATAAACAAACTGCAATCCCTTCTATACATATACCAACCACAGCAAGGATAATGATTAACTAATGATTGCAAAATTCACAACTTAAGCTTTATCTTAGTCTTTTTGGAGATTAAATCTTTTATGTTGTCTTTTAGTTAAAATTGTTCTAAAATAAGTGTTTTATCAATACAAATATCATTTTAAAAAATATATACTATAAATAAATTAGATAAATGAATAAAAGAAAAGAAAAAAATCCCAAGCCAAAGAAGTAAAACACTTTAAATAAACAAACAAATAAAAAAAAAAGAATTTAAATATCAATGCTTCACAATGCCTAAGAAATCAAATAATTTAAATGATGGAATACCAATTTTTTCAATCCCTATTAATTTATCAAAGCAGTTTTTAAAATCATTAGTATTTATCATGCATTAAATATTGTAATAATAAAACCAAGAAAACTTACTTTAGGAGAAAATTGTGATGTATTTTTCACTACAGATATTAAGTTTTTCAGAACTCTATATTGAGCAGTGTGGGTCAAGAGAGGATACAGCTCTAAAATATTTGACATAATAGTCGAGATTAATGACTTGTTATTTAAAACCTGTAAATAAACAAGAAACAAACAAAAAAATTAAAGAGTATTTCTTAATAAAATGTATTCTCTCACAAACAATACTGATCTAATTCTTATAGTTGTGAGAAATTTATTACGATCAAAATGCATCAGCAAAAAAAATTTCACAGTCAATCAATATTTTTTAATAAATGGTTTTTAATATATTTAGAATAACAGCACCTCTGATGGCAATATCCTACCTAAAAACATTTTGCTGTTGCCTGATCAAACTTAATTATAACAATATTTGCATTTAGTAAATCAATTCATTGTATAAAATGTATGTTGCTCGCAATTACATCTCATTTATTTTGTATCAACCTGTACTATAATGCAGCACGGGCATTGCAATTTTTGAGGTGGAAAAAAATTGCTCTGATAAAATATGTAGTTCTCAATATTTTACAAATAAGAAAAAAATTCCTAAATGTGCTAAATACTTAAAAAAAGATTAATTATTTTTAACTCTTTCTTGTTGTTAACTTTAAAGAGTTTAAATCGATGATAGTTGACTAAATTTTCTTTATTTACAGATTTCTAATTATTGAGGGGGACATATACTCAGCGCCACTAACTCCACCAACAACGCCCATGTAAGGAAGGCTTTATAGTGGCTTTATAGTTATATAATAAAAATTAAGATGAATTTTACAACGAAAAAACAGGACATTTTTTTAGTACAATATACACACACTAAACTATTTTTAAGAAGGAGAAATGTAGAGCTAAAAAAATATTGTAATTTACTGTTTTGAAAACTTGGTTCTTTGCGGCATATTACTTTAATTGTCCACAATCTTAAGAATTAAGAGAAAAAACTTAAGCAGACACTTAACGCTTTGAAATAAAAAATTAAGATATGGGCAAGTTGTTTAGAAATGGATATAAGAAATGGTGCAATTTTGCGCATTAGTACACATAAAAAAGTTTGGAACCTGAGTCTTCTTGCCTTTGCAAATAGATTCATCAGTATAAAAATAGATTGAAATAAGTTTTAAAAAATTGATAATTATAGATATTTTTATGCAACAATAAATTATTTCAAACACTAAATTGTATATAATCTGCATACTAAATGATAAATGTGCACAAAAATAAACAAACAATAAGGAAACGTAATATACAGTTATCTGGAAACAAATGAAAGATTAATGAAAGAAGACACAATAAAAATTAAAAAAACTAAGAAACTAAACCATAAATTAAAGTGAATGGATATTTAAAATTGCTTTCCATTTTACAATAAATAAAATGAAAAGTTTAAGAAATTAAAAACAATCACTCAATTTGACGAACAAGAGAAACAAATTTCTACTGAAAAATTTCAAAGTTTACTTTTGGCAGCAAAAATGCCATGTTTCTTTCTCATAAGAAGTCAAAGAGTGTGAAACAAGATTAACAACTGGAACAATTAAATTTTGCAACTTTTACTAGTATTTTGACCACAAAAAAAAATAAATAAATAAAAAATTATATTGAAAATCAAAATCTTTTGATTCTTATAATCTATCATTTGTAAACACAAGCAAAAGGAGATAATTTAATTAAATACATCATTGCTCATTGCCTGAGATAACAAAATAGAAATAACACATCAATGTACATCCGCCACTAAAAATAAGTAATAGTGTTATAATGGAATTTTGAGTATTGTCATCCATAAGAAGGATAATCAATCAATTTTGAATAAGTATAAGAAACAGCAAGGCTGAAAATAGATTAGAAGGAAATTAATGAAAATTAGGGAAGGACGATCCTCAAGTGATTAGCACAATACAAATAGCAACACAGTAACCAAATAGGCAAATATATTATAAAAACATAAAAAGAAATTCACTTTTAAAAAAAAACCTACTTTGAAATGATTGGCAAATAAAGGAAATTTAAAACAATTAAATAGATTTAATAAGCGAATATCTTTAACATTACACAAAGAGTGGCAGTTACACTTACCATATCTTTACTTTCTTTGCCAGCCACATCAGTTCTGAAAAAACATTAATGTAAATCATAAAATATAAAAAAATATTGAATAGCTAAATTATTTCAAAGGTTAAAAAATATTTTAATTTATTATTACTGTCATGATTCTTTTAATTGATTAAAGATTAAAATATCTCAAAATGCATGAAATTTTTTTTATAAATGTTCAAGAAAAAAGTGGAATGCCTTAGTTAAAATAAAGAACAGTTATAGTTTGAGAAAAAAAACAGTTCTTAAATTACAAATCACCTTCGGTGTTTCTGATTTTTTTCTGAACTCTAAGCTGGTTGTTTTCCTGCAACAAAAACTTTTTCGTTTCTCACGTTTTACTTACCATCTTGGCCAGACTTGCCATATGTTATGGGCAAAAAAATAAGAATAAAGTTAGTTCAATAAAAGAGAAGTGATTACCTTAATATTATTGTGATATTTAACAAAGATTTTTGATGAGGAAATAAAACTATAATAATAGTAGCACTAGATAGTTATTTATTTATTTTGACACCCAGTAAACCAAAAATAATAGACAATTTAAAAAAATAATGATGGGAAAACTGTAGGAGATAGAATTAGTGATAGCTGTACTTTGCTGAGGAAACCAGAAAATTTATACCCACTCAGTCAACAATTTTGTAATTTTTGTAACAAAGCTCATTAACAGATGGCACTGCCATTAAAAAAAATACAAAATATTATTTTCTAAATAGTTACTATTTGCAGCAAAAATTTACAACAAAATTAAAAAAGGTCCATGCAATTATTTCAGTTAAGATGCTTGGACAAACAGCAGCAAAAACAGAAACATAGTTTTATATTTATTCTAGATTTTATAGATTCTAGGTTAGATGGGCATTCTTGGTTTTTCTTAACTTAATTTTTATCATTGGTCGTATCTGGGCCACCCATTAAATATTTTAATAAAATTATTTTTTTTATTTAACTGCTTGAGAAAGATTTGATTGCTTTTCCACACACGAAACCAATATTTCTCTAACTTATTTTTAAAAAAAATTTTAAAAACTTCATTTAGCACTAAGTTGAGAAACCATGTTCAAATAGTTTTTGTTACACACACCTTAATAAAGCGTTAACATAAACCTGCTCAGGTAAAGAAAAAAAAAAGATTACGTATTTTTCGGATTTCTAAAAATAATTTCATGAATTATGTGACTATGATGAAACTGAGGAATAAAAATTTGAAGGTAAGTAACCTAAATTAAATAAAAATAATAATAAATAATATTAAAGCTGTTGACTCACTTTTTCATGGATAATAGAGTTTCAGCACAAGTATTAAGCAATAAGACATAACTTTGGAAGGCAGCAGAAGTTTCTTGATCACAGGCTAGCAAAATATTTTCTATTTCTGCATGAAGCATACCCTATAAATATATATATCAGATCAGATAGATGATTTCACTAAGGTCTGGATAGCATTATATAGACCGGTGCAAAATTTTTCAGTTAAAATCATAAGAAACAATTGGAAGTAAAATCTATTCAATGGTTTCTGTCACAATATTTTCAGTTATTCCTTATAATAAACACCTTCAAAGCATTAATAATTTTTTGTTACACACGCCTTGATAACTAAATTGGTGATGCTGGTTTAAGACTAACTGACAGAACTATCGCTAGAATTTGCAGGGCCATTAATAAAATGGATCACTCAAGTAATCATCAGCAAAATCAACGAAATAAACTGATGGAAAAAATTTATTTCTCAAAAACAAACAACTAACACACATGCAAGTTCATTCAAGAATCCTGTAAAAACAAATGAATTTTTTACTTTGTTAAAGAAAAATTATCAGAAAATTTTAATAATATAGAAACTTAGCTTTTCAAAAATATTTTGAAAAGCTATTACAACTAAAAAAAAAGCATAATTTTGAAGGAAACTTTAAGGTAAAAAAAAAATTGTGTTCTGGAGAAATATTTAACTCTGAGAATTTTCAGTTACCCTGGATAATAATAGACCTCACAATGTAAGTCTTTATTACTTATCTACATACATTTTCTTTCTTTTTTTGATTACAGGGCTTTTAAAAAAATTGAATTTCCAGTAATTGAATACATTACCTTTCATCAAAAAACAAAAATTTAAAATTCATTAGAATTATTTCATAAGCATGCAATGATGAAAATTTTTTGCTTATGTATGTTTTTTCTCTAAATTTAACATACTACTTAACAAAAATTAGACAAATTAAAAAACTTTTTGTGTAACATGTTATTTTAAATTAAGTTCGTCAGTTGTGCGTAATTCAAAAACTACTTTATAAATTACTTTATAACTTACTTATAAAAGTTATATTTCTTGCAGTGATATGACTATATATTAAATGTAAACCTTTTGATTTAAGGTTTGCAAATAAACAATAATTTTTCAGCTGAACAAATTTTAAAAACTTCTCTCAACATGTTTCTTACAAAAAATGTGACAGTACATTCAAAGATCAAAATTTGTTTTAATAACCCCAAAAGGGCAATCCCACGGTCTTGGACATAAAAAATGAGCATAAATTTTTTTTTTTAAAAATTTCAAAAAATAATTCAAGTTTATAATCATAAAATTTCGTTAAGTTTATAATAATAAAATAATTAGTACATCATAACTTATCAAAAAGATATTTGATTCATAAAAACTGATTATAATAAGTTCGAATTAAATGGATTAAATTGTGGGTGTCGCATGTAAATCATATGAAAACAAAAAATAATTTCTCATTTACAAATTGTCTAAATTCTGAAAATTCATTTGTAATTTAAATGTAAACTTGACTGAATTTTGAAGCTGACACTTAAATAAAGAATTTTATGCTGTTATTAACTTGTAAAATGTGACGCATAATTAATTAGAAATTTTCCACTTTGGTGTTGGATACGGAATTTTTGGTGTCGGATGTAAATTCTTCAAGTTGCATATAAATTCAAGTTAGTGATAACAATTATAAATATTGAAAATTACTTTAATTTTTATTTAATTACTATAAATATTATTTTTCGATTAAATAGCTTTAATAGATTAAATAGTTGGTTTTTTTTTAATTATCTTCTATTTCCTGTTGAAATAGATGGATCAATGTGTTTTATAATTTTTTTCATCTTGTAAAAGTTAGTTGAAAAATCACTAATTTTAATTTTATATATCCAGTGTATACTAACAACAATACAAATAGAACTCACATTTAAGCATGTTTTAGGGAATATATCATTTAAATTCTTTCCAAATAACATGTGGAAAAAATAGGAAAAAAATGCAGAAAAGTTTCACAATTTACACATAAAATTAAAAAAATCTATTGAAAAATATGTTACTGTACATTAAAAAAGGAAGAAAAAAAATTACTGAATAATTAGTTTATAACAATTTTTTCCTGAAACAGAAAAATATATTTTGGCATAGGAAAAATGATAATTTAATAGCTTTATTTATTGCGTGGATAAAATTAAATAATCATTTTGTACAGTTTTTACAATTTATTGTTTTTGATGTTTCTAAGCAGACGATATTAATAGATAGACCTTTTACCTGTATTGAGTGGCATAGCTAGCAGGAGACAAGAAAGAACATTTGTCCCATTTGTAGCCCTAGATATGAGCTGATTTTATGAAAAATAATTAAAAATGAATTCCAGAATAAATTTTTATCTCTTTTAAATACCACTCCCCCAGTTTCTTTAGTCAAATACAGGCCTAAAACTACTAACCCAATAACAATTTTTATCCCATTTGCCTAAAACTTGAATAGGAGACGTATTATTATTAAACTTAGCTATACAAGTAGACTTATTATTTTTTTAAATCACTTTCTGCAAATTGGTGAAATAATAAGAAACAATTAACACTTATCCTTTAATCAAAAACAATAAATATCTAAGTGAAATCGAAACTACATACATTAGAAACGTGTACTGTTAAATTTTAAACTAAATCAAATTAATGTTTTTACGTTGATGAGTTATGTTGATTTAAAGTTGTAAATTTTTGTTGAATGTAAAATTTAATTAATGAATTTAGTTTTACAGAATCTAAACTTATAACTGTCCCAAATAGTTCCCTTAACTCTGACATAGACACATCTATATTCATATTAGAGGGTGCAAAAAATGAGTTTGTCCCCAGTGCTGTAAGTCCTAACTATGCCTTTATTTGTATTAGTAAGTTTGGCACTTAATATCTGAATGAATATGGCAACCAATTAGCAAGCCTTTATTTAACCTAAATATACGCATGTGCTTAAACTCGAAAACGGTTTTCTGAATATGGGCCTGAGTTTTGTTCTCAAAAAAATAAATAACTGCAGAACGTTCTAAAAAAGTTTTGCTCCAAATACAAACACTTTTCAAGCTTCGAAGCTAAATGATTAATTTAAAATGTTCTAGATAAAGTTAAATTGTTTCACAAAAAATTTTAACTAATTTGCTTACTTCAAAAAAAGGAAGAAAAAAAAGAAATAAAATAATAATATATAAGAAAAGAAATATATAAACAAACCTTATTGATCAATTTTAAATTCTAATATAAATACTTTTAACCAAAAGCAGAGTTAAGGGGATTTTATTAGATTACTGAGGTGAAATACATTATTCTAAATTAACCTATTAAACAGCCTTTATTCATATTTCACTATTTAGACAGTTTTTATTCATATTTCACTTCATTTTATAAAGAAAAAGCGAAATAATGAATGGAAATAGGTAAAATAAATATAATGAGAGAAAAGCAGTGGTGTTGGATTTGAAAATAATTAATTATTAGTTTTCAATAAAAATATTTAATATTTTCAAAATCAAAATAAACTATACAAATGAGACTTAGAATCTTGCTTTAAAAGAAGAAAAATAATTATTATGTAAAATCCTACTGGCACAGTTCAATTAAACATGTATTTTGGTTAAGACGTAAAATATCAAAAGTGCATAGTGGGATTTTTTTTTTGTAATTTTTAAATCAAAATCTGAAATGTTTCTACACATTTGTGCAAGATAATCAGTTTTATTATAGTTTACGTAATTATTTATTTCATGCAGATAAATTTTTCGAAAAAACTCTGTACTTGTTTGAGATTCAATTACCATAGTCAAAAATTTCAAATTATGTAGCCCCTCATTTAACAGCCTATAACTTAATGAACACTGCTTGTATTAAGTTAAAAGTCATTGTTTTAGAATCTTCAGTTTTTCACTTTGAAAATACTTTGTCAGCTTAAAAATATTAAGCTATAAATATAGCCATCTGGTTGACCTTACTGTAGAGTTGCCCAAAAGTGTTTTTTCCTATAAAACAATAAGTATAAAAAGACCATTTACATAAAAATATGTTTTATCATAAAGCTTAAAAGCATATTTTCTAATTCACAAATGGCTTTTAGCTAAATGATATAATTTCAACCTCTATATAAAAGTGTAAATATAAATTTTGAAACCATCAAAAAGTTTGATATTATTCACTTGAATTAGTAACATAATTAAAAAAGAACGAAATCAAATAACTTACTGGATAAAATATCTCTAGCTCTTCCAAACAACTACATGCACTTGATGTTACTATAGGATCTTCTGAAATACTATAAATAATTTCTAGCAAAAATATCTTTATTTTCTGTATGAAGGATGACAAATCTTGATCCTAAAATAATTATTTGGAAAATAATTAATACCAAATATAAATTATTATCGAATATATAATGAAATGAAGTTAATAAACTTTACTTAGGAATTTCTTACCAAATCAAGTGTTAGTAAAATTGTCACTACAGCTATAAGTACTTGACTTTTCAAAAGCCTTTTTTCAGTTTTTCTTCCTAAGGTTTTGAATAGATTTGTCAGAGATTCAATGCATTGTTCCAACCTAACAATTAATAAAACAAGAAAAAAAAATTTACAGTAAATAAAAAGGCTAAATGGCAAAATGCAAAAGTAAGTGTATATTAGAACTAATTCTACAAATAAAAAAAAACTAACATTATAATTTTAATGACCTAAATTTGTATTTTTTGTAACTGTTTAAAATTTAATAATTAACCCATAATAGGATAAACCAAGACGATAGGAATACAATTCATTTTAGTATGAGAAAATATTATGTTTTTTTTCCCATCAATTTCATACCATTATGAATGCAAATTTTTTAATTCATATCAGAACTGCTTTATCTTAATTTATGGTGAAGAAGATTAGTTCAATAAGACCACATCCACATGGGTACACTTATCCACAAAGGTATAGTTCCACTATTATCTAACTTTGACAACAAAATTAATAAAAGACAAAATTGTCAGAAACTTTGACACTTTTCCTCAACCTTTTGCCTATAATGACCCTTAGCATGCTAAAGCAAGTCATTCAGCTCCATTGCATACCTGCCAACTCTTCCGGATTTTCCGGAAGATTTTATTTTCATATTTAAAGTGGTAGTAAATATATACTATTTTTTCTTTTATAAACATAATTTTTAAATGATTTTGATCACCACTATTCTTTCAAAAACTAAGCACATATATTAATATGCAGTACTATCATGGTTGTCAACTTAAGTTTTTTCAAATGCAACATATTTGTTTGCTTAAAATTTTAATTAATAAGTTTGCTAAATAAGTTTTAATTCCATTTTAATACCACTGGGAAAAATGATAATGGAAGGGATTAAAAGTTGGCAGGTATGCCGTTGGTTGAATCAGCAATAAGCAAAAGATTAATAATGCCAACTGCAAAATTTATTTGTAGCATAATAAATACACATCTTATTATTACTAATACATTATAAAAAAATTTGTATTTTAATAAGTAATCAGAAAAATAAGTTAAGCATTCTTAATAAACAATTCTCAAAAATGAGAATACAAATCAACATTCATATCACATGCATGAATATGACAAATTGTCATATTCGTCACATCATTGTCATTGGCAATCAAATTGACATTGTCTAAATCATTGTCATTGACAATGATTTAGAATGTTTACAAATTACTTTACTAACCTTGTATTCTCTGAATTACTAGAATCAAAATTGAACTCTTCACAAAATTTCAATATCTGAACAACAAAAGAAAATTTCTTAATTATTTTGATGATGATAAATTAACAAGAGTTCATATAAGGTGTTTATTCCTGAATTACTTTCAGGAACCATTAATTAGGTTCAAAAATTTTACCTTGTGCATTTTTGATTATCTTTTTTTTAAAATCGAGTTTTTAAAGAAATCTTATTTACAAAGATAAACTCTTTGCATCTTTAAAAACTCAGAAATTTACCAAAGCAGGGTCCTTATATATGAAGGAATATGAAAGTCTCGAATTTGCCAGAGCAAAAAGATGTGTTAATCAGAGAATTTAAATGAGCAAAATTACAAAAAAAGAGCAAATCGTGAAATTAGTTTTAATCTGAATTTGTTTCATCATAAGAAATTAACTACATAAAATAGTAAGTTATACAAAAGAAGCCAAAACAGGTAAATGTAATATCAATAATGTTGGCAAAAAATAATTTAATTTTAAAGCATTGTACTTACACATTTACATCAGTAATCAACAGAGAAGAATATTCTTGTAACAAAAGTAATATATGGACCTTGCATTGAGTTTCAATATGATCAGAGTATAAATCCTGAAATCCAAAATATATAGTTACATATATTTTTATTTAGTGTATTTGGGTTAATTTAATTAAAATCAATTAAGATATTGTTGTTAATAACTCATGTAAAGCATCCCCTTAATAACAACAAAAGCTATTTCAATGTCCCTTCCCCCTTTAAGGGAATATTTTCGGAATAATTTCCAAACTCTAATAAATGTAGAGTAAAATAATAGAAAATTTTTATTCAAAGATATAAGTATCATGAAACACATTTTTTTCATAGTCCGCTTATAAAGCAAATATTTTTACAAACTTTAATGTTTTTAAAAGCTGTTGCTTCTGCAGTAAAATATATCATAACTATATTCTGTGCAAAACATACATTATTTCAATAAGCAATCTAATCTTCCCAAATTTTAAAACCTAAAAATAAGAAATCTTAAAGAACTAATTATTTTCAGGAGTGAAAAACATTTATGCATTAATTTCCCAATAACTTTTATAAAATGTGAATTTATGAAAGCTGTTTTAAAGTAATTATAAATTTAACCTTTAAAGCATCTAAACAAAATGCATCTTTAGTTAATTTCCTCCTATCTAGAAAGGCTTCTGGATTAAGACGAAATGTCAAAAATGTTTCAAACCAATCCTCCCCAAGCGTTGATTTTGTAATTTTTGAAGCCATATTTAATATTAATTTAGAAAGTGCTACATTCAGCTACTGGTATATTTAACATTTAGCAATCTTGCTCATTTTGAATAGCATATGATCGATTGGTTTATTTACTTTCTTGGCGTTAGTGTTGCCACTCAAAGGTTTGCCACTTAATAAGCATATGAATAAACTACTTCAACCCATTTCACTTTATAAAACCCTAAACAGAGACTTAATTTTTACTAAAAGAATATTTGCTGAATATTTAAATATAATTTAATTAATAATAATCATTCAAATCATTTTACAAATTTTTTCCAAAACTGTAAAATTGTGGCAACATTTCAGATTAATCGACTTCAATACTGCGGCTGCGGTGCTCTGTGAGCCAATTTTTTGGTTAAAATTGGTCATTTATTAATAGTAATATTTATGTTAAGGTCCTTCTTACCAGAAATTGCTGTGGAAGCTGTCTCCTCTGTCATAATATCTATCCATTTTTGAAAAATGGCTACTTTAGGAAATGGACAAATATTGGAGGTAATGATACTAGATAAAATGTATCTCACCGCAAATTAAAATGGCTGTCACATAAATAACACAAAACAAATAAATCAAACCTACGTGGTAAATGTATGCAAAGACAAATATCTTAATTGGTGGCAATCTTATTTTATATTTGAGGGAAATTTCAATCTGATAAATATTCTAAAAACTGTTCTCGTTCTATTGAAATCTTATGATGTACAGTAAATTTTATATATATATATTTTACTAATATAATCTTCTTTCACACTAAGATACAATTTTTTAACTTATTTGTCATGATTTGCTACAATAATTTTGTTTTATTTAGCTCTAAAGAAATGGATAGGCTACTAATTATTAACATCTGAGATTGATCGAAGATAAACTTAGTAGTCTTAAGTGTTTATGATCAGTACACGCTTACATGAATTTACATTAATCAGACAAAATATTTCTTAGAAATCATTAGAAAAAGATGAGCCTAATGTTGATCGATTTTAATAATGGTAGAATCAAATTTAATTGGATAAATTTTATAATCTAAATTATCTTTCTAACTTATCATTTTGACTTTTTATATACCTATATATAATAATAGGAACTGTACTACTGGTCAGTGAATAATATTCTTATTATTAAAATGAAAACTCAAAAGGACTGTGTTTTTTATGGCAACTTTTAAAATGGTGCTAAAATTAAATTTATTCTAATTTATAGAACTGTGCATTCAAAATATACTAAAGAATTAATAAATCCTTAATATATTTTAATTTAATATAATTATGAAATAATGAATACTCTAATAAAGTAAATAATCGCGAGTTGTATTCAGTAATTATGTGTATAAATAGCATACAAAAATTATTTTTTTATTTTAAATATAACAATATCAATAACAACATCAATTGATAAATTGGTGGCATAAATATTTATGTTATAATTTAATAAGAACAATGTAATTGAATTTTTTACTGTAATGCTTAGTCACAATTAAAAAAAAATATTGCCTAATTTTGTTGGCACAAGAGGACATATAGTATTTTGAAATGAAACTTGGCCTTTAAAACCATTAACCTATTCATTTTATCACTAACTATTACAGTAGTTTTTTTTATTACGAAGAATCTTTAAACTAAATAGCTTTTTTTGACTTACAGCATTTTCTTAAAAGCATTTTCTATCTGTATTTTATATGAAGTCGTTTTTTTTTTTTTACATGGTGTTTTTGTTTTATTTGATGTTATATGTTCTGCTTAATTCCGAATGAATATTTCTTGAATCTGCAAGTAAGGAATGGAAATAAAACTGATTTCTTTTAATTTAGTTTAAAATCCTATAACTTATTATATAGCCAACAAATTTTGCTAGGTATAATTATGATTACTGTTTATATATTTTAGTTTCTGATTATTTATTTTCAAAAGGTTGATAAAATTCAGCTAATTATTATATCACACATTTTCTTTCTCATTTCCCTGAAGAATATCACTCAAATGTAGTTATTTCCTTGAAGAATATCACTCAAATGTAAACTTATATTTTTTAACAATTGAAGAGGAATTAGAAGTCTGCTGTTTTGAACATTAATTGGTGTAATAATAAAAGTTTTTTTTAAACAGCAAACTGTAGATCATTGGATTAAATTTTATTTCATCAACGTTGTTGAGCAACCAACCCAATTTTGAGCTTACGACTACCAATGTTCAACTCCGTAGCCTTCCAATTTTGAACCTAACTCAAAAGACGAGCACTCCCGGATCAAGTATTAAGAGAAATTTGCCTTCGTGTAGCATTTTTTTTTTATGGCTCTAACCTGCATATGTATCACGTAGAGAGGAAAACCTATGGTTACCCCTGGCAGTGAGGGACTCTAAGCCGTGATCCATCTACTGCATAAATTGGGTTCAATGACAGTTATATATAAAATATATTCAAAGCATTTATGCTATATGTATTATATATATTAAAAGCTCAGCTTCATAGTAGCTGTTTGCCTGTTTTTTATTTTTTTTGTGTATATATATTAGAGTTTACATCCCTTGTTGAAACCTTTAAGAATAGCATATTTCTGCCAAATAACATTATTTTATATGATGACAAAGCCTTCAAAAAGTAGCATAGTTGCGCATGACACGTCATATAAAAATCTGACAATTAATTTTAAGATNCTCCCGGTTATAGTGAACCGAAATTTCGGTACCTTGATGGTTCACTATAGCGGGGTTTGACTGTATATATTAAAAGCTCAGCTTCATAGTAGCTGTTTGCCTGTTTTTTATTTTTTTGTGTAAATATATTAGAGTTTACATCCCTTGTTGAAACCTTTAAGAATAGCACATTTCTGCTAAATAACATTATTTTATATGATGACAAAGCCTTCAAAAAGTAGCATAGTTGCGCATGACACGTCATATAAAAATCTGACAATAAATTTTAAGATCTTTCCTTTTCTTTTAGAATGGCTTGAAGTTGGGGATTATAATACCTGAAGATCCTGCTTTAAAGAAACTAAAGTTAGATGGTGAGTTATTAATCAGTAATTTATGAACTTCGTTCACTTTTGAGTACAAGGTATTAATATAATAAGAAAACTGAGCTTGACTTGAAATAAATTTTTGTCAATTTTCTATTGTGAAATATTGTTTGGTTTTATGCTATTGAACAAAAGGGTATTCATTTTTCCTATCTTTTTTTTCTTTTGTGGGTTTTTCAGGTTGTCAGAATAGGTGTCCTGGCATGAAAGTTCTGGATGTTACATCTGCTTGTTATGTACCTGTTCAACTATTTTTTTTTTTTTTTAACTGCACATTATTGTAATTTGTATTTTTACAGTTTTTAATGTTAGGAAATTTTCTTTCTAAACAAATTGTGCATATACTATATAGTTTTTTAATTCTTAAAAGAAACTAGTTAAGCCCTGTAAATTGTCATTTCTAAAATTATACGTTCTAATCAATCTTAATTTTAAGAAATAAAAATAACATTATTTTTCAATCCCATGGATTGCCCTTAATAGATCTTTGAATATTTCAAAGTAATAATCAAAGTCTCTTTCTTTTCTTATGTATTTTCCAGAAGCTGAAAATATTTGCTAAAGTTTGTTTAAGGAAAGGACCATTATAGAGGAAGGTGGATTGCTTTTACTTGATGTTCCTAAACTGGAAAATGCCCTATTTTAATTTTGAAATAATATTTCTCAATATAAATGTATTTTATTTCTATTCAATGTGATGTATATTTTCTTCCCTTTTAATTTTTTTTTTTAATTTACAGCTTTTGTTAGAAAATGATTGTTTATAATAATTTTGTTTTTTGAGTTTTCATTTCAGCTTCTGGTTACTCTGCTACAACATTCATCCTATGTATATGTGTGAAATTTGTATCGCTCATTCGCATAGTTTTCTTTAAAAATTTGATATGGAGGAAATTGTTTACCTCTTGTGCTTGAGGTTGTATATTCTATATCTCCTCTAGTTGATTTTTACAAAGCCTCTCCAACTCTTGTGAGCTTATGAAGTTGGAAGTTAGATTTCGTTTTAACCACTCCTGGTCTGATAAATCTTAGGAGCATTTAGATTATTTATTGACTAAAAGATTGATTTAAGTTCAAAAGTTGGAAACTTTAATTTATTGGATTGCAATAGTTAAGAATAGAATCAAAATTACTTTCAAAAAGGGAAATAATATTAGAGACAATCTATAAAAATTAGGTCTGTTCAAGGATACTTCACAAAAATTGCAAACCTTAAAAAAAACCTTTTAAAAATCCAAACCATGAAATACGACTCAATAGTCATTACAATGACAAACAAAGTTTTCCATATAAACTGTTCACTTAGTGGTCTTATATACATGTGGCTTTTGCTAGAATATGTATTTCATAGAGATAGAGCATTATTTTTTGAAATAGTTAATATAAAACTGTCCTTCATTGATCCTTGTAATGATGTGTAATACAGCTATTTAGCTTGTTATCTTCTATTGTTTAATTTTGAAAGATAAAAAGTAATTAATTAAAAATTAGCATAGCTAAAGACATAAAGACTGATTTCTTGACAATAAACTAAGCTATTTTTTTTCAAATTATAGCTGAACTGAAAAAAATCAACTTTGTAATGATGATTTAAAATATAATGTTAAATCAATGCTGAATATCATGTTATTAATCAATATTCCTACAAACTACTTTAAAGAGGAAAAACCATGAGAGTTAATCAATATTTTAAGAACTACAGTACAATTATTTTCCAAAATACTTGTTTCATCTTTGTTTCAAATTGTATATTTGCTCTTTTGTTGTATGTACCAGTTACTAATTTTTTGATTTTTATTTAGTATCTGAATAAGTTAAAACAAGTAAACCATTCAAATCAATATGCATTGTTGTTATTAAGTTTTATCAGAACTAGTTGCATATCTAATGTTTCAGAATTTCCTAAAGCACTTCATATATAATGTCAGATAAATTGGTTTTTGCCTTTAAGGAGAAAAAACAATTGTTGACTGCCTTTAAGGAAAAATTATTGTTTGAAATTGAGGATTTTTGAAATGCTAGTTTTTGCTTAGCATGTAATCTTTAGTATCAGATTTTCCTTAAGTTTATTAATGTGTTCTAAATCCAGAACTCTAAATTAACCAGTTTTTTTATTTATTTATTTTTTTTTTGCATAAAAAAAGTTAATTATTTGGCTATATTTTAACTAATTTAATTTTAAGAATTAATTATTTTATTAAAATAGTTTTGTGTTCCCCTTTGTATGTTAGTTATTTCTAAAAGTTTTCTTCTTTTCATTAAAAAAACTACTCAAAAATTGCTGCGTAGTTCCCTAATTTTTCATTTAGTAATTATAATTTTTTTAAATTTTTAATGTAGTTGGAAAAAATTTCTTTTGAATTTTTTTTCTAATTAATGATATAGTTTCAGCATAAGACATTTTAGACATGATGGTAAAAACTATGATTTTCACCACAGTGTTCAAAATGTTACAAATTCTGCTATCTCTTCAAGACAAGACTGAGATTTTATTATTCCATATTAATTAACATCTTGCACCATTTCAACTTTTATTGCAAATTATTGTTCCATTTAGAAAGTATTTTCTTTCATAACTTCACCTATTATTAGATAAGAATTTTTATAAATAGCAATTATTTGGGTTTATTGTATTTATTTAGACAGTTTTCATTTTTTGTTTAATATATTTTCAGTAGCCAATTGGAGTGCTGTTGCATAGTCTTTGAAGTTCTTCTTACTTAGCTATAATTTCTAATGAATTTCTGACAACATTCTTTTGGAATATCAGTTGCCTAGATTTCTTTAATAATATTTTGGTATCTTCGAAAAAGTATCTCAATCATCACATCTTAATGCTTAGATTTTTTTTTCTTCCTGGATACTGGAATTTTTAATTGTGTATAAATAACGTACTACATTTATTTAGCCTTTTATGGCTGTTTGTAGTTAATTATATTTGTTTTTTAAGTATTTTTATGCATTCTCTTATAATTAGTATTTAAGTATTTGTTTTTTATTGTAACTGGTCTAAATATAGAATCTGAATATGATAAAAATATTATATTTGCTGAAGAACTTTAATGCTTGTTCATTCTAAACGGAACCATTGAACTGAACCTCAACTTCTTTTGTTTAACAATTTTAATTTCTCTTTTTCTCCTTTTTTTTCGTTTATTTTATTTTCTCTGGATTTCTAAATGATATTAATCACTGAGTATTTCCCGAATTCATAGCAGTTATTCGTTTAAAAAATACATAAGTCATTGTTTATGTACATTCTTTATGCCATGCATCAGCATTTAACATAGATGCTACTCTTCAGTCTTGTGGACTGAAATCAGTCTTAAGAAAAGATCAGTGAACTGAATTCTATTCTCAAATCAATATTTATTACCATTTTTTTTAAAATTAAGTTTTCAAAAGAAATTCTTCAAAATAATGGAAGTGAGGTATAATTATTGCAAAATGATGGCACACTATAGTGAAAGATAAGGATTAGCTGAATTTCAGCATTTGCTTGTATGAGCAAAATTTTTATTTGCTTGAGTTTTATTTTTCCTTGACATCCTGAGATGCTGGATAGAATTAAAAAGGTTATTTTTGAAAAAATGGAAATTTATAGATCTGGGACAAAACATTAATGATGAGAAAGGAAAAATAAGTAAAGATATACTCCAAAAAAAGTTAATGGTTGTAATTCAGGGGTTGATGCAAAAAGATATATGATGTTCATTTGTTTTGTTTGCTTTAAAATATAAACTCATGAAATTTAAAATAAGTCTTTTTTTTCTGCTATGGTGCACCTATTTCATAAATTTATCATTATTCAGATTCTTTTTTTAGACATAAATATTTGAATCAAATGTGTTCTATTTTAAAAAAGAGTATTTTTAGCTTTGCGGAAAAGTAGTAAACATCCAATTATTTGTAATAAATTTAGTGTTTGTTTTGTTCCGTTTTAATACATTAAATAAAGAACTGAAAAATTAAGCATGGTATTGTCAAGTAAAAAATATTCTTGTTTCTGTGCTGTAGTTGGCTTTAAGAGGTTAACCAAATATATTGCATTGCTGTTCCTATGTAAGAAATTTTTCCCAATGCTTTAAATGCTCTTTTATGTGAATTTTCTTTTTTTAGGATAATCAAATATGTTTATGTTCAACTTTAATTTTTCTTGTTCTTTTCTCTTTTTCTTGTATTTTTATGTGGTTTACTTCGAAACTGACAGAAGACCGATGCTCTGGTCTCAGCATTTCATTTGCTCTTGTGAATCACTTGCAGCACTGTGATTAGCAAAAAGCGGTAAAGGTCATATTTCGAATGTTTCTTTTAGTTATCCTTTTATGGGGTACTATTTACATTTATTGAACAATGTGCGCAGTCTTCTTCAGAAAAGAGTATTAATTTTTTTTAAAAAACAAATTACATTATATATTTTTTCAAAATTTATAAATTATATTTTAGCTTTAAATGCTTTTAATAAGTTGCTCATTTTAAATCAGTTCAGTCCAGCTGATGAGTACAGATGTAATTTGATTTTGAAAAACTGGAGTAACAGCTAAATTCAGAAATTTTTCCATTTATTATGATGTAATTTGGAAAAACTTCTTATTGAGTTTTTTTCATTAATCTAATATATATAATTTCATGCATTTCAGATGGGTCGCCAATCCCACAACTACCGGAACTTGATCTTTTGTCCCTGGAAGCACAACTGGAGCAATCTGGGCCGGTGCTTGCGGGACCGGGTGCCTTGAAAACTCCGAGTGGCATCTTAGGTATAGGTCTTACTAAACTCACATCTGAGCAACAAGAAATGGTAACCAAAGCGAAGAAGTATGCTATGGAACAAAGCATTAAAAATGTTTTAATGAAACAGACTATTGCTCATCAACAGCAAGTAAGTAATGGGCACCAAAACTTTTTACAACTTTGCCAATAAAATAAATAACCATAGATTAAATATTTATAAATAAATTGATAAATTTAGACTGGGCAGTCTCCAATAAATTCTCAACATAAATCAAGTTATGGTAGTTACTGTTTTATATGGCTTTGCAGATCTTAACTCTCAATTAATCTTTCAAAGCTTATCTCCCTGCTCTTTGACCCTCATAGTGGTCATTCTCCCATATCCTCAAGTATCCACTTTGCTAAAACTGGACAAGTTATTTGTGTTTACTACTAAAGACACCTAATTGCTTTGGAAACTGACCAATTGAGGTTTTAGTTGTCTACTAACTTTGACTTGTTTCTTGTTCATTATTAATTTTATGCATGCTAAAAATGTCTTTGGTTTAAATAAAGAAATATTTATAATGTTTTTTTTTTATTAATTAAAAATATTTTTTTTCTTAACAGTTAAAATTTTGCTTCTACATCCATTTATAGCAACAAACCTATTTTTAAAGCATAAAATTTATTCATTATAGCATACATAAGAAAAATTAAAAAATTCTATTTTCAATGTTATTTATGTTTTTATCTTCTTCTGTTTGTCAATTATCTTCCTTTCTCTTTTCAGCAACAAAAGACTCTTCAACGACATCAAGCTCTGGTCTTAATGTGCCGGTATGACTCTTTATTTTTTATTTTTACTAAACAAATAATGGATAAGAAAATATTGAAATAATATGGATTAACATATCATTCAATCTTTTCTTTTATCATATTAACTTAATATGCTATTTAATCTAAAACAAGATACAATTCTAAGCCGGTAATGTTTTACTCTAAAAGCAGTTTACTGCAATTAGTTAAATAAAATTCAAATGATAATATGGGTATGCATATCAACTTACGAATTTGTTATTTTAAATTAAACCTAGCTTTTAACTTTTTTGATTTGGAATACATTGATTTTACTTGCGCAATAGAAAAATCTCATCAAATTCAGTTAATTCATCAAATTTCCTTTTACTATTAAACTTGTGTTTTATTTCATTTTAATTCATTGGTCTGATTCATTTGTAAATTTTTATATATCTGTTAAGAAACAAGTTTTAAAATATCAATTGTTGTTCCCATTCAGTGTATATGTTGGCAGCATCAGCTTTGAGCTAAAGGAAGATACCATACGACAAGCTTTCATTCCTTTTGGACCTATTAAGTCCATTAATATGAGCTGGGATCCAGTTACGCAGAAGCACAAAGGATTTGCATTTGTGGAATATGAACTTCCTGAAGCTGCGCAATTGGCACTCGATCAGATGAATGGAGTTATGATAGGTGGAAGGAATATTAAGGTAACTATACTTTAATATCTTTTAAACACATTCTATTGCTCCCCTCCCACTGTTTTTAAGTGACTTTCAAAATTTAAGTGTTTACTAGAATAATATGGTCTAAAAATATGAAATCTTCACTCATCTTAATTGTGGATGATTTACAAATTTTCCTCATTGTATTATAAAAGTCTTTAATGAACTTGCTCAGTTTTAGGACAGTCAACTCTGATGTGTTTTATTAACCCCTTTACCTTTCCTCATTGATTTCTTTCAATAACAAGAAATCTTACAAATTAAATATATTTTTTCATTCTGAAATTCTGTTAGATTTTATGATATATTAAATCTATTGTATCAAGGTTTTTATTTAATTGAAGTTAGTATAATCAAGGAATTCTTTTTTCCCAAAAGCAAACTGAATTTTTCTCTAAATATTTCACTCTATCTTATTTCTGTTACATGCGAATGTGTGAATTTTCTGCCTTTCAAATGTTCTTTGAATATAATATTAAAATGAATGGTAATGTAAAAAAATTGAAGGAAAAAGTCTCGTTTTTATTTGATACTTTAGTATTACTATTTGTAGGTATTTGAAATAGTTTAAATGATCTTTTGACTTATTTTGCCATAAAAAATTAAATACTTGAAAGCATATGGCACTTTTTCTCTGTATAATCCCGCAGAAATATTCTGTTGAAATTATTCCAATTTTTATTACAAAATATATAGCATAGTGGTACAAAAATACATTGAAACCTGTATGAGTTGGTTAACTTATAAAGGAAAAGTTGGTTTATTCCAGTTTGATACTTGAGCATTAAAATAAACTTAAATGCATAATAAATATACAGAGTGTTACGCTGAACAAGGTTCACTGTATTGTGTAACAAACATTAATGTCATGGATTTAGCAACAAAAAAAAAATAGTTTTTACTTTAAATTTAAAAAACTGAGTTTACTAGAAAGAAAGAAAGATATAATGATTTAATGGCAATGTTTGGGATAATATATACGTTTCATATTAAATTATTATTTTGCTTGTTTATCGAAGACATTTTTTGACATCATTTGGGCATTTTTTTGTTCTTAGTTTATTTTATTTTTCTCTATAATTTCACTTATTGTGTGGTAATAAGTTTCGTTCTGGAAATTTTAAATTAAGCTCTATCATTGCATGTTGTTAAAAGCAAAATATTATGTTCATAAGTAAAAGAAGGTCTTCTGAATAAAATGGTTTTTTGAAATTTAAGAAGAAAAAATAATTTTTTAACTACAGTTTACAGTTAAGCTGAATGTATTGTGATTTTGTTATTTTCATGTAAGCAAACCTTATGAAAGCCATTGCTAGAGGTCTATTTTATTTTTAAAATAGAAACCTGTTAAATGTGGCTTACAATGAATCTTGTACTTTTCGAGGAATTTATTTCAATTAATTCTTTCCTCAGCCCAATGCAGGATACATTTAAATGTGCAGTCACAGTTTTACTGGGGAAGTCTACTATTTTAATTTATAATGTGATACATGTTTATTTGTTGGTGAAGAGTCTTTTTTCATTTTATGGGAGATAATAAATTTTTTGTTGGTGTTGATAAATAGGACCATTTTATAATCTCAACTGAAATTTTATGTGCATTAGCATTTAAACTAAGAACTTTTAGATTTAGGATCATGACGACATTGTCATAGAATTTTACAGGGTTTTTGCAGAAAGATTTTTTTTTGGGGGGGGGATAAAAAATGTTGGTTAGCTTTTCTACAGAAATTGACACACAAAATTTGAATGGTGCATTTAAATGATCGCATTTTGAAGCGCTCTGTTTATGCCGATATAGTAAATCTGCTTTGATTGTATTTTCTCCAGTTATTGGCATTGATTTTCACATGGCTTTTAGATATACCAATATAATTCAGTTGATATGGAAAATTCGAATTGCTCATTTGATCATTTACTCTTTAAGGCAATGATTCTATCGATTTTTTTGGCAGTTATTGCCTTTGGTTTTTCACATTTTGGTTTAATTTAATTGATCACCGTATAGTTTCAAATTAGTTTCGTTAAATATGGCAAATAAATCAGTCATATAGGCTTTGTCTTTTTTTGAGTTAATTAAATTGTGTCACAAATCATTGTCTTTACTTTCCCGGAATTTGAACACTGAGTCAAAGAGAGCATAAAATCGATTTAAACATATATTTTTAGATAACCACGTAACCTCTGTGTGAAGTAGTAAATTATTATACTGCCGTGCAATTGAAAAATTAACGTAAACACCAAAAAATTTTAAGTTGTTACTTTCATACATTTGGCATCTTTGCTCGGTTAGCTACATATTGCAGAAAGAAAAAAAACTTCAAAAATATTTTTTATCAGTTTTTTAAAATTCTATTTTAGCATTCATAACATTAGCAATAGAGGAAAAATAGTTGCCAAGCCACTTTTCTAGGAATCAATCGTGAAGCACTTGTGTTGTTTTTGAATTACTCTTTTACAAATCTTATATAAGTTAAAAGTAAAGCTTCGTTTCCTGTTAAAGTGGACTTGTCAAGCTGTATAGAAAATGACAATGTTTTAAGTACTGACATAAAAAATTTCTACGCACTGAACCATTTCATCAATTTCTTTTACTCTATCATTACTCTGGAATTCGTTTTATAATCTCAAAAATTGGTTTCCTCACTTACAGCTGGTAAAATAAGTTCTATGTCAGTAGTGTGCGGCTTTCCGGGAAGAATTAAATGATGAATGAAAAAATATTGTAAGAAGCGTGCAGTTCATTGTCACTTAAATGTTGTCCCTATGAGTTGTTGCAGCGACTGTGTTTTCAAATACTTTTCTTTGGCAGTTTTAAAAAAAAAAAGAACTTAAATGCTTATCTTTCTTGTCCCTATGGATTTTTGTTAAATGTTCCTTAATCTTAGAAGGTTTCATTGAATCATTTGACATAGTTTTATTACATAGAAGATGCCTAGGTAAATTCCTGGCGAAGAAATAAAGCCATACTTCAAATATTCGACACTGTATGGTCAGTATTTTTTCTTCAGCTCACTCATACTGTTATCTGTTAAAAAGAGCACAAAAGGATAAAAAATTAAATATCAAATGTTTTGTTAGTAATAATTTTGTTAGTTATTAACTTTTTCAATGGAATGCTGCAGCAAAATCCTTTTGAATTAATTATTTGAAGTAAGGATAAAATTTCAAGCAATTTTTAAATAAAGTATAATTTTCAATAATTAACTTCTTCCAAAAAGTATCTGTGTTAAAAAAAAAAATTGCGATCTCTTCTTATATTTTCAATTAAAAAAAGGTAATCCCTTAACTCAGGATGTAAAATCCACTACTGTTTTATTTATTGTTATTTATTTTAATTTCCATTATAATAAAAATATATCAAAATTTTATTATTTTATATTGAACCTTGTGTGGACCCCCTGATGTTGTTCAGAGACCCCCAAATCAATTTTAATTTACCCCCTGAATGATACTGGGGGTCCATAGGGACCACTTTGGGAACCAGTTGCAAAAAACCAGGGTTTTTTCGGAAAAACCCAACCCAGGTGGGATTTATTGTGCTTTTATGGTTTTTTTATTTTTTTTTTATTATTATTTATTTATTTATTTATTTATTTATTTATTTTTTTCAAAATAGAGGGCAGGAATAAGTACCTTATTTTAAAAACGCTTATATTAATAATTAAGTTTAATTTTATGAATTGATTTAACATATAGGTAATTAAAGTGTATTTCATAATTATACAAATAAATTGGTGCAATAGTCGGAAAAAAGTTTCGTCTGACATCACGATATAAAATGTTATGTGTACTCACATACGTCACACATTTGTAACTTATTTTAAAACAGGATTACATTTTATATTTTAATCTTAAAAAAATATTTGACGAAATATTTTTTTTTTTTTGCATAGAAAGCCAATTAAAGGCACTGGCTAATCATAGTCAAATCTAGCCAACAAGGTAACTCTTAGTCTCCAAACACTCTCCAATGAAATACCTTTTATTGTAGTATGACTTATAGTCATATTATTCTGTTTTTTATATAAAAGCTCTAGAAAAAAAAATTTCATGATTTCCACAAATAATTTTCTTTTCAGATTATTAGTTATTTCACCATAGGTTCATTTTTTAGGCTAGACTACATATATATTTCAATAGAATAGCTCCTTAATATAACAAAGGATCAAAAAGAAATCAAATTTAGAAAAACCCACTTTAGGGTGGGTTTTACCCAGTAAAACCCGGTGGGTTTTTTGCAACCCACCACTGGTTTGCAACCCACCACTGGTTGGAACCACTGGTTTAAAGGGTTGTTTTATTTCTATCATGTCACCATACGTTCAAACCAAATTTCATTCAAACCTGTCCAGTGGTTTCTGAAGATAGTAATAATCTGATGAAGTTCCTAATTCTAAACATGATTTTATAATAGTACATTATTGAAATAGTTTTTATGAGTTTCATGACTTAAAGCAGATTAATGATTTAAACTGATCAATGCTCACTATCAGAAGCAGTTATTAATTTATAAATAGTTATAAGGTGAAATTTTTATCTGTTTTAGGTTGGGCGTCCTAGTAATATGCCTCAAGCAGCACCTATCATTGAGCAAATAATGGAAGAAGCAAAAACATATAATCGCATTTATGTTGCATCTGTTCACCAAGACCTTACTGAACAGGATATTCAAAGGTTTGCATTAACTTATATTGTTGATTCTCTTTGCTGAAATAAGGAACTGTTTTCTTGCTTGAAGTAAAATCTGTATAGATCTTTGATGTTGTTATTAAATTTAATTTCAGGTGAAGGGGTTAATTTTATGCTGTTATTTTCTTCTTGTTTTTTGCATTAAAGAATGTTTTTTTTTTTTTTTTTTACGTACGTACGTACGTTTACGGAAAATAGAATATTTAAAAGGATGACTGACTTCTTCTCAGAAACTAGGATTGCTTTGCTTTTATCAGCACATAAACATATTTTATTCCTTATATGTAAGCATCAAAGTTTAAAAATTGTATTAATATTTCTTAATTAGTGTATCCTTTTACCTGATTATAAGGTTAAAACATCCCTGCCAGCATCACCTAAAGTAAAAAAAAGAAAAGAAAAATATGAAACATCCTGTTGTACGTAATCATCAAAATTGGAAAACAGTACAAATTTTTGTGCTTTTACAACTTCATATGGTTAAAACATTCCTGTCATTATCAACGAGAGTAAGAAAAATAAGATATACTGTCTGTTTATAATTCTTTGTTTAGTATATATGTTTTTACTATATTTTCAAAAAACCATAAATATATACTTTGTGAAAGTATATATTTCTTTTAAATGTCAGGTGATGTAAAATTTTTCTCCACTAAATTGTTAAATTATTACAATGTATGTAAAAGCAATAAAATTTACCCGCAAAGCCTTCAGCTAACATTTCTTGTTTGGTGCACAAGTAAAACACAGGGCAGAATATTTCTATTATCTGTATTTGGGAAGACAATAAGTCAAAGTTTAAAATCTAATACCTTTCCTATATTTAAATCCTTTTGCGCTTACACAAGACTTTAGAGTGTGACAACACTGTGAAATATTGTGCTGTTGCATAGAGACAAATTTAAATTGTTTTGATGCAATTCAAATTCTAAAATTTTAGGGTTTATGGGAAAGTTTTTGCATTGGTTTTGTCTTCAATTTAATATTCATTTTACGTGCTCAAATAAAATGCCAACTTTATAGATTATGCAATAAAGATGCAGCGCTTTAGTTTTATGTGGACAAGCTTACAGTGACTTAGAAAGAAGCTTTAAAAAAAAATAATTATAGTAAGGAGTGGAAATCCAATTTAGAATAGAAGTTTGTATTACAGTAAAGATTTTTACCAAGTTACTTTGCATCCCTATTTTCAGCATTACAGCAATTATTAAAGAAGAGAAGTTAGTGACAGATTGAGTTGTTTCACAATGTTTTGAATGTGGCATCACAGAAAGCATTTGCTTTGCTTAAGTCTTAGTTAAAACATTCTTTATCTTATTTTTTGTATACAGTATGCTAGAGTTTTATAGATAGATCACTCATTCGTGCAATATTTTTTTTTAATAATATTTGTTAGATCTTTGTTCGGGAGCAAAAACTTGAGTAGCTTTCTTGAAGTTTAATGCCTAAACTTAAGCCGTAAAGAATTGAAAAAGTAAAGTGGCTTGAGAAGGAAAAAAAATTTAAAGACAGGCTTATCTGGTAAATGACTAGATTTTGCTAAGAAATAAAACTTGTGCGGGTATTTTATGATTATGCAAGTAGTTAAAAATTATGCTGTTTCTGCATCTTTCTGTATGAACGATCTATAAGACCTTATTGATTTGTATTGTATTGTACTGTACTAAACTAAATTTAACTTATTCTTAAATTAAAAGGTTTTATTTTATGTCACTTTGAAAGTCATACTTCTTGTTTTTTATTAGAAATATTTTATTTCTTCCTAGTGTCTTTGAAGCATTTGGTAAAATTAAGATGTGTAAATTGCAAAGTGGTGGCATTCCTGGCAAGCACAAGTGAGTAATGTATTATCCTCTTCTCCTTTTTTTTCATTTTTGATAAATCTAGTATTTTATTAATTTTTTTCTTTTTCTTTAGGGGTTATGGCTTTATAGAATATGAAAATTATCAATCAGCACAAGATGCAATATCATCAATGAATTTATTTGACTTAGGTGGACAATATCTAAGAGTAGGAAGGGTAATATACTTTTTTTTTCTAATTAAACTTTTGAATCTGGTTTAATAACATTTCTGAACTAGTAACGTTCCGTAACAAATCTGCCGATCTGCTCATGTTATGGGTCCAATTCTTTATTTTATTTACTCTTGTTTTGGTGTCGGTTTGATACCAGTGAGCAAGGCTATCATATGTAGCGTCATATATAAAGTCATACCTTAGAATTGGCAGTTAAAAGTTAATGTTAATAGTTTACTCTTGTTAGATATTGGCAGCAAATCAGGATAGAGTTTAAATAAATTATATGCAAATATAATTTAAAATAATTTATATAAATAAAATAATTTATATAATTTAAAATAATTTATATGCAAATCAGGATAGAGTTTAAATAAATTTTTCACTCGTGCTTGTTTTGCTATTATTATTACTGATGTTAATAGGAATATTATTTGTTTCTCATGCATTTCAATATTAAGTTAATAAGTTGCTTTTTTGTTCTGTATTCTTCATTTTAATATATTTCTCTTTAAATATATAAGTGTTTGTAAAAGTCTAAAGTTCCTAAGTTTAAGTTATCTTTGGCCTCCAGTCGATGAACGTTCCTTGAAGTCAGTAGGGGAAAGTTGGATGAAACGGGATAGTCGGACAAAACGGGATACGTCGCCTAGGGACCAGACTATTACAGCTATCTAGTGGACAACGACAGAAACGTGTTATTCGACCGTGATTATATTATTCTCGGTGCGTCCCGTCTCGAGATCACTATTCGATAGAAAGTTGTAGGTCTCAGAATTTTTTTATTCTATTTTCTTGCCATTTTCTACATTTACGTACGTTGTTTTTTACATTGTACTGCCTCTATATATGGGAATAAAATTCCGGTGAATATTAAATTCGATTAACCATTTATTTACCAATACTTTTATGTGCAGTCTATCGAATTTTCTTTGCACATTTAGGCAGCAGCCATGTTTGTTTCAAAAAGGATCGGAGTCGGACAAAACGGGACACTTATGAGTTGGACAAAACGGGATAGAGTTTTTTATGTCCCGTTTTATCCACCTATTTATTTGTTGGATTATTACATTTTAAAATAGTCATATATTAATGTAGGCCTAGACTTTTTNGTATTTTATGATTATGCAAGTAGTTAAAAATTATGCTGTTTCTGCATCTTTCTGTATGAACGATCTATAAGACCTTATTGATTTGTATTGTATTGTACTGTACTAAACTAAATTTAACTTATTCTTAAATTAAAAGGTTTTATTTTATGTCACTTTGAAAGTCATACTTCTTGTTTTTTATTAGAAATATTTTATTTCTTCCTAGTGTCTTTGAAGCATTTGGTAAAATTAAGATGTGTAAATTGCAAAGTGGTGGCATTCCTGGCAAGCACAAGTGAGTAATGTATTATCCTCTTCTCCTTTTTTTTCATTTTTGATAAATCTAGTATTTTATTAATTTTTTTCTTTTTCTTTAGGGGTTATGGCTTTATAGAATATGAAAATTATCAATCAGCACAAGATGCAATATCATCAATGAATTTATTTGACTTAGGTGGACAATATCTAAGAGTAGGAAGGGTAATATACTTTTTTTTCCTAATTAAACTTTTGAATCTGGTTTACCAACATTTCTGAACTCATAACGTTCCATAACAAATCTGTCGATCTGCTCATGTTACGGGTTCAATTCTTTCTTTTGTTTACACTTGTTTGGGTGTCAGTTTGATACCAGTGAGCAAGGTCATCATATGTAGCATCATATATAAAGTCATACCTTAGAATTAGCAGTTAAACGTTAATGTTAATAGTTTACTCTTGTTAGATATTGGCAGCAACTATATACAAATCAGGATAGAGTTTAAATAAATTTTTCACTCGTGCTTGTTTTGCTATTATTATTACTGATTATTACTCAATAGGAATATTATTTGTTTCTCATGCATTTTCATATTAAGTTAATAAGTTGCTTTTTTGTTCTGTATTCTTCATTTTAATATATATCTCTTTAAATATATAAGTGTTTGTGAAAGTCTAAAGTTCCTAAGTTTAAGTTATCTTTGCCCTCCAGTCGATGAACGTTCCTTGAAGTCAGTACATTGTCTTTTGCAAAAATTTTTCACTCTTAAAGAGGTGCATGTCAGCTTCTTATACCAATTAGTACAGATGCTTATAGATATAAGCATAGTGTTACAAATTATTATTCTAAACTTGTTCAAATAGTTTTATATTTGGAATTTGTTACTTTCCAATTTTTTTATTGTTATTTTTCTCATGCTATTTTTTTTCTTTAGGCAATAACACCTCCAAATGCACTACAGGCTCCAACCACAGCAAGTACTATGCCTACTGCTGCTGCAGTTGCAGCAGCTGCTGCTACAGCTAAAATTCAGGCTATGGATGCTGTAGCTAGCAACGCTATTGTAAGTCGATTGATTGAAAAATCAATGAATCTGATAATTTAACTTAGTTGTTTCACCTGACCAGAACAAACTTAAGTGTTTATAAACTTTCTTCAATGTTAATTTTGGAAAAGAAATTAGTTTAGAGCATGCATTACACATTGAAAATAGCTATTAATTCTCAACAAATAATTATGAACCGATAAAAGTGTCATTTTAAAGTAATCACAGCATACTTATTTTACTTTATTTACCTTTTTTTAATAATCAATAATAAGTCCCATATTTAATGTAAATTTAAGATCACCCTTTGTAATCTCAGTTTTCCATTTATGGATGATAATTGTATTTTAAATTTAAGAAGATAATTCTTCAATAGGTCAAGTCCTACGTCACAGTTAGCTAGCATTATTTAACCAGGAGCTAACCCAGAATTTTAAACTTAAAACCTTTTTTTTTTTTTTTTTCCAAAAAAAAAAAAATGTTTTACAAAATTTTTTGATGGTAAAATTTTTACGAAATATATAGAAAACATTTTCCTTAATAATAAAAAGCAATAAGATACTAATTTACAACTCTTTATAGCATAATACCTTATTAACATGAAAGACACTTACTATTTACAGAATTATTTCTTGGATAATTAAAATATTTGCCAAAGTGCTGATAAACGGTAATGAAATCCACCTGTATTAAGCCTTGTTAGAATGGGTGAATTAAGCCAATTATCAAGGTAAATGTAACCACTCCCAAATAGTTTTTGAAAAATCCTTTTAGGTTTCATTTTTAATTCTCCTGGCCAGTTTTGAATGCTTAGAGTGATTTTGCCTCATTCAAAATGAAACAGTAAAGGCAATTTTTATCTTTAATATGTTTTCTATGGAATAAACATCACAATTGTAGTGTTTCAAACTCAAAGTTTGCTTTTGAAATTTTATCTTTAATTTTTTGCACTTTATCTTATAATATTATTTATTATGATAAAAAAACACTATTTTTATCAGTATAACTTATTTATTGTTAAAAAAATTACTTTTATACATTGATTTGGATGTTATTTAATGCTCTCTGTATATTCATAGGCTTTGGGCTTGGGTGCATCTGCTGCTGTTACCCCTGTCGTTACAGCTACTCCAACTGAAGCCACACTAAGTCCTGTTATACCACCACCTGGTCTTGCCATACCTGGAATAGGTGCTCCTGGTTTAGTCACCCCTTCCATTTTGCCTCAACCTGTGTTAGCTGCTAATGCTCCTGGCATTATAACAGGTAATTTTATATATTTGCCTTGAGAATAGTTTTGTTGCAGTAATGAAACAATCCTTTTAAGTGTCAAGATTGCTTTAAATGGGGAAGATAATAATTGCTTCATGACTTAAAAAATTGTTGATTTTCTTTTTCATTTCAGGGGTTACACCAGTACGTCCACCAATTATTATTCCACCTCCTGGAATTGTGACCCTTCCTATCGTTGCTCCTCCGTCTTTAAGTGCTGTAGTTACCGCAGCAAAATCGGAGCTTTCAAATTCTCCTAGTTTGAAAGCTGTGATACCGCCTCCTGTTATGGCAGAAATACTACCCCCAATAACATCTACTGCTATGATATCTGGTGTTCCTGTGCCTCCCGTGTCAACTGCTGAAATAGCAACTACAGATGCACAAAAACAAAAGTTAGAAGAGCTTGAAAAGAAACTAGCTGAGGAACAAGAACCCCAAACATTACAGCAACAGGAAAATATGATGATTAAAGGAACTAATGCTAGACACATATTAATGCAGAAACTTATGAGGAGGAATGAGGTGAGATTATTTATATATATATTATATGATTGAACTTGTTCAAAAAGAGAACAAATAAATAAAAGAGAAGTACGATTTCAAATCCATTGTTATGGGCATTTCTCTTTGCAAGATATCGATTCAACAGCATTAGTACATACTGTATAAATTTATGTGAATGTTATATTAAAAAGTATACATTTAAAAGGAACATGACTGTTGTAATATATTGTACGTCTATTTTAAAAGAATGAAGATTTAGGAGATAAAAAATAAAGGCAAATGGCAAAATTATAGAAATTTAGATGGGGGAAAGGCAATAAAGCAAAACTGCTCTTATGTCCTTTTACTAAAAATAATTTTATAAATAAAGAAATGGGAAGTTAAATATTTACTCACTTTAACTATAGTTAACAGTAAGGAAACACGAGAGAAAGAGGGGTAAGCCAGGACAAAAGACGTAATATGGGTAAGCTACGTTTGTAATTGCATACTCAAAATATTTTTCACTTATATTTAAATATCAAAAAATAGGAAAAGTATTGACTTATTCTTATTTTTTTACAACTGTGAAAAGAATGAAAGTAGGGGAAAGGCTATTATAAAAAAAAATAATAAAAATGCAGGTGGACTCTAATGCTCCTGTATGCCTGATCAATCACTTAACTTGTCCGTTTAATCTAGCTATGATCATGCTTTAACTTGTAGATAATTTTGTTGCATTTTATCAAAATAATATTTTTCTTTTGATTACTTAAACAAGCTGAACATGTGCTAGCAGATAATATCCTAAAAACAAAAAGCGCATTCTCTGTACACATTTTAATTAACAAAAAATTTGTTACTTTGTAAGTATACAAAATAAATGTTAATGATTTTTTTTTTTTTTTTTTTTTTGAGACGAAGTTTCACTCTTGTTGCCNTTTTTTTTTTTTTTTTGTTCGTTCTTAGTATATTGTTAAGAAACTTCGTAGCTGTAAATTTGCAAGCTAGTTATACACTTTTTGATCTGTATACGCAACTCTTAGCTTTAAATCGTTTATGTATCTGTTAATTTTAATTTCAACTTGAAAATTTTTACTATTTGATGCGAATTCCAGAAAGGATTTCTTTGGAGAGAATACACAACTCATTAAGTCAGTAATATTATAGTTGGGAAAATCTAATTTTTAAAAATATATTTTTGTGTGTGTGTATTTAAACTTAAAAGTTTGATAATGTTAGCTTTTCTTGCCTGAAAATGATTTATTAAATGAAGTTAATTGTTATGTATCTAAGCACCTTTATTGACAGTTATCTCTTATTTTAGTCTTCCGTTATTGTTCTCAGAAATATGGTTGGGGTTGAAGATTTAGATGATGATCTAGAGTCTGAAGTTACAGATGAATGTGGCAGATATGGTGTCGTAAATCGAGTAATAATTTATCAAGAACGTCAATCAGAAGATGATGATGCTGATATAATTGTAAAAATTTTTGTGGAATTTAACACCTCTACAGGTTTGTATTTATTTATTTTTTGAATATTAGTATTTACGATATTATCTTTATATAAAAATTTTATTCCTTATGTGCTTTAAGATAGAGTTCTTGAATATGTGTATAATGTTTTTTTTAAGCTTCAATTAATCTTTTTATGTTATTCCTTTTCTGTAAATTCTTTTCTTAATTTATTATTGAAAGCGAATTTCTCACACTTTTAAATTCACATCCTGTCCTTTAATCTATTTTTGACTACAAGTATGCATTTATCAAAAGTAAGACATTTTGCTCTTTGTGGGAATCGTGCGACCTATTTAATAAACCAATTACAATTAGGGGAGAGGGGGGCACATGTGAGCAATTTTTTTTATTTCTTCATTTTTCAAAAATACCATCAATTTTTCTTAGCAAAAAAAGTCCATATGTTTAAAGAGTCTTTTCTTTGTCTTATGGAATTTTTTGAGATTTTTCAATAAAATATTTCTTTACTTTATGATATTTTAGAAAAATAACTTCAATTGTTCTAGGGGCAAATGTGAACATGCCTGGGGCACATATGAGCAAGATCTTTTCATTCGTAGCTTTAGCAATTCTATTTTCTCAGTTGTATCAGTAAATATGCGTGATTCGCGATCAACCATTTAATAAAATTAAAAAAAAAAATTATTTAAATTAAAAATTTATGAATTAACTGTGGAAAATTAAATAATAATAATTTTAAATGAATACATATTTTTTAAACTTATAATATCATGAGGATAATAATCTTAATACTGTGTAGGGGCACTTGTGAATTGTTCACATCTGCCCCAGATGTTTTGTTCACAAGTGCCCCATCATCCTTCTTAAACCTAACTTGAAAAATGAAGAATTTATAATTGAGTAAAAAAAAAAAAAAAGAATAATTGTCATAAACTTACCTGACTGCTCATGTAATGGTCTGCAATAGTTAATTTTAGTTTAGTAGTTGATTTATACTATGCTTTCACTTGAAGAAGCGAGTGGTTATAATATATACAACACCAGCTGATACAAAGAAATAGTCAGAATAGAACAACAAAATGTCTCATTGTTCTGAAAGTTTTTCAGAGAGGTAAGACTAGTACTGCCATCAATTGAAAATTTTTCGAGATTTTTTATTTCAAATCATATTGTTAAAACATACCATGTTCACATGTGCCCCCCTCTCCCCTACTAAGTTTTTCCTAAAATGAAACATTTTACGGATTTACTTTGCAAGATTTTCCCTTACTTATATTGAGCACGACATTTCGTGACCACTTAGATAAACGTTCTCTGTCTAATAATTAATAAATAAATTTTGTACCCTCCTTCCCTGTCTAAGACCTGTTTTAAACCTTCCACTCGACAACGACGTATATATATATATAATTTTTTCATAAAACCAGAGATATCTTCCATTTCAAAAACTTGTTTTCAAGAAAGTGACTATGATGGTAGTTATGTATCTATATTTTCTAAAGATAGTGTGTATGCAATTTCATTTTACGCAATTGTGGGCAATGAATTTCTAAGAGAAAAATTTTCCTCATTCTTGTTACTTGTGCTTCGATTTATCTCACTATAACTAAAATGTTATAATGTCTTATATTCATATGTTTTTCTTTTATCTTTGCAGAAGCGTGTAAAGCAAGAGATGCCTTAAATGGACGATTTTTCGGAGGACGAATTGTAAAAGCTGAACTATACGATCAAACGTTGTATGAGGCTAATGATTTATCAGGCTGATAGAATGAAAACAATTTATCATTTTATGTTATCATTATCATTGTGATGAATTATCATCTTTCATTCATGCGTTGTAAATATGTCTGCATGCCTTATTTTGTTTTGTAAAGTTTCATTAACTATTTTTCAGAGAAATCGCTCGCATCCAACCACAGCTACCAAAAGGCTTCGCGTGCAATATATTGGCAAGCAATTCCACAACATGATTAAGAAGCCTGGTCCTGAAGAATTGTTTTATGTATGAAGTAAATTAAATTTATTCTATGCAGAGTTACTGTATCAGCCAAAATGTATATAATTAAAATTTTGTTTTTATCATTGTAGGCTCATTTAACCAATTTATCTAAATTATTACTTGAGTGCTTTTTCTAATGCTGAAACCACAGCCAGGTTTCTTATATGCTATGTTAATTGCTTGCTTGCATGCGAAATCCTTTGTTAGTGGCTGTGGTTGGGTGTGAACTTGTGGTTTCAGCAGACTAGCACATCATCCTTGTAATTTTATATGACCTTCCCTCTTCATTGTAATGATGCTTACATAAGAATATCAGAATGCATAAGAATTTATAGGTAAAAATATTATCTGGATGATAATTTTTATAAAGCTTAATCTAATTTAAAATCTTGAATGCAATATTGTTTTCATTTCTCACCTGCATGTAACAAACTGTACATTAATTCATATCTTAAGGGTTTGCTTGAAGAAGAATGTTTAAGTTAGATGAAATTATCTTTTATGCATTATCAGGTTACATTTTATTTAACTATAATTATTTATTGCTATAGAAAAGTAAAAGTTAAAATATTTATTTACAAAAATAATCACTAAATGTTGTCAGGAATTAGTGATTACTACGTTTTATTTTTGACTTAAATGCATTGATTTTGTAGTAAACTTCCATATGTTTATAAATCATATTAAATTTATGTTGATAATCAGATGATACAGAAGAAATAGTTTTGCTAGTGAAAGAAACTGATGTCGGGATTTTATATATTAACGAAGAAAAAAAAATTTCCTCATTAAAAAATTTGTGTTTATTATATGAATTACCAACAATAATTTTATCCTATTCTTTTAATTAAGCTTTTATATTTTTCTGCACCATAATTTGTCTTCAAATGTAATCTTACTTGGAGGAACTAAAATTACTCCTAAAAATTTAAATACCGTTTGAATTATTGTTGATTATTATAACTTGAAACATTGAAGTTTATTCCATCCCTATTAGATTCCAAAATGTATACATAAAAAATTTAATATTGTATCTTAAATGATCTTATATTAAATTATTTTGTTGGTGCTATTAAATTTTTCTTTTAAGTTAACTTGCTTCAATCTAGTGACGAATGTAATACTTTTTTTTCCAACTGATAATTATTTTTGTGATAATTTAGTTTTATTGTTACTTATTACATAACTTCTCAATCCTTTGTTATAAATTATTAATAATTGGTTATTTGTTTTATCTCCTTTTTTCTTGTTTTAATTGTATCAAAAAATGTAAACATATTTGTACAAAATAAAATTTAAATATTATTTGTGTATTTTGTTTCTGAATTTTTTTTTATTTTTATGTTTAACCAAAGTTAAAACAAACTGATCATTATCTTTTATTGATAAGAATTACTCTTACTGTTATATTAGTTTGATCATTTTGTGATCTCTTAAAGTAATTTTACTTGAGAAAGTGCAATTTTTTACATACCCAGTCTCTTATGATCGACACTCAAACCCACTATATTCATTGATGCACGAACTTACAATCTTTTTACTGGTCCTCAGACCCGCAATCATTTCATCAGTACTCGAACCTGTTTTTATCATTTGCGAGTGCAACGCTCAAATCATCTGGGAGAATCCAAGTCCATATGGGGAGAAAATTGGTTCTATGTCTAAAACCTCTCTTCTCAGCTCAGATGTAACGGAAAGTTTAGGGATGTTTCCCTAATCCATAATATCCACATTTAGATGTCAAAAATATTTTTTTAAATCCAACTTTCCTTACTTTAAGCGCTATCTTTAGTGCAATATTGAGTTCCATATAGTGTCCAAGCTTGTAAATCAAGAAAGAAATTAATGTACTTCGTACTCCTGTGATCTTTACACGCTAATGCTGAAAGCATGCCTTGTGCTGCCATATATAAAAAGAGTTCTGTTATTTACCACCTGAAGTCCATTTCGATCGCCAACGCTCAAATCGATTTTTTTTTTTTTCGGTACTCGAACACGCTATCATTTGATCAGTACTTGAACTTAGTATCTTTTTATAAGTACTCTAACGTACAATCATTCGATCGATTTCCTAGCGGATTCTATTTTGTTCAAAATTCTAGCCCACTGTCTTTTTATTGATTTAACAGTACTTGAGCCCTCTAACATTTGATCAATAATCGAACTTTTTTTTTTTTAATGTGGTACTTAATCCCGTTGTCATTTGATCAGCACTCGAACCCTTTACTTAATTATATGATCAATAATTGAACCTATTATAATGTGATCATTAATCGGACTCACTATCATTTGATCACCTTTCTGAACTACTTTTTTTTTTTTTTTTTTAAATACTCGAACTTGCTACCTTTTAATTGGTACTCGAATTGCTTTTATTTAAACCCACTATTTTGTACCGGTTCTCGAACTCGCCTCATTTGTTTAGTACCATTGAAGAACTGGAATATCCTGGAGGTCAGTGAACGCAACTTCAAGGAAGTGCCATACCGTATATATTAAACTAAATTGGAAAATTTCTTTTTGAATATTAAATTTTTCTGAATCTTAGATTATGAGTTATTTGAAGAAACTACTTTTTTTTTTTTGTTGTTGCGGGATCTTGAACCTTCTTTTATTTGATCAGAACTAGAACTATTGATTATTCAATCATTGATTGAACCCTCTCGCCTATAGCCAGTTCTCGAACCTACTCTCTCTTGATCAATATTCGAATCCACTACCTGCACTCAAACCCAGTGTTGTGACCTTTTGGTATACTGAAAATTTGCACCCGTTTTTAAATCTAACAGTCGTTTCAATGTGTAACCTCTCGTGAAGTTGTAGTAAAAATATTACTGTTTAAAACCATTTATATTAATCTTGTGGAAAAAAAGCACTAATTTTACTACTAATTATAACTTATTAAAAAACTAACCGCATCCGGCCCGCGAAACCTTTTTTTGTAGCCCGCGAACTAAAATATATTAGTTGTCAATTTTCGTAAAAAATCTATTAAAATACTTTTCTCGTTAATATAAACCTAATTTCTTCGTTTCTGTGAAATTTAACATACCAACTGTGCAAAAAAAAAAATTATTTCTCAGGTTTTGCATCCAAGAAATATTTATTCAAATACAAAAATAATCGTGTATGTTGCTCTTTTTTTTTTTTTTTTTTTGTATTTTGTGAAGATAATTTTGCATGTGCGTATTAGAAATTTTCTCAAAGAAATTCTCCGATTTAACTTTTTGAAACCACTCATTTTGGATGAAAATATTTACAAACACATTTGTAAACTTAAAATGTAAATTTCTATTTTCTGGTGGTTGCAGCAGACAAACCTCAATTTTCTCATTGAATATTTTGTGTGCTACTATGTAAGTTTTAATACCAACCTTTTTGAAGTTTTATATCTTAACAATTAGCTATCTGTTGCACATTAAAGTTATTGTAGCACGAATTTTTATTATTTATTTAATATTTTTAAAAATCTACTTATTTTTTTAATTTGTAATTCAATACTTTTGTTTAGTACAACTTGGTAAAATACTGACAGTAATATTTAATGTTCCTTCAATCAAACATAAAAGAGTCCTACATAAAATGTTGATAAAGTTGCGACCAGCCATTTGATTTGCGTTTTCAATTGTGGCCCCCGGCCTCATGTAAGTTGGAAACCCCTGCTCCAGCGCAATCTTTTTCGCACTTTCAACATAACTGTTGACTACAGTTGAAGGTGGCAGATTTACAGTAGGAATTGCATCGTTCCTAAAACATGGTCTTCGTGTAGGAATGCTTGAAAGTAACGATAGGTCATTAATCAGAAACAGAGCAAGAGGAGTTTTATCTATTTTTTTCTTTCTTGCAGAAGCAGTTCCTTCTTAATTATAACTGTAAATTAAAATGCTCCATTCAAATAATTTCTGCTTAAATTTTGAATCTCGTATTTCACTTTGAAAACTGTAGTTTCTAATTTTTTTAAAACCTGCTTCCATTCTCAAAATATACTCCATTAACCATTATTTAAAGTACATTACAAGTGTAAAAAATCTATTGAGAATATTGCGTTAAGTTCGAAAGTTCAAGATAGTGCTCTGTGTATCTAAATTCGCAACCTGCAAGTGCATATACTAATCTTTGCTGTACACTTACTGTGTTAGTATTAAGTACAAAATCAATCATTTTGAAAAGAATACTATTATCTTTCTTTTATTATCTTTTATTTTTTATACTATTATCTTTTATTTATTAGGCTTTATAGAGAAGACAGTCAGAATTGATTTCTTTTTATCTTCAAGGAACGTTTTGGATGCAGAGAGGTACGTACCTCAGTACTGTTGACAATTATCGGTCGCTGTCCCAGCAATTCTGTACATGTTGGAGGAGCGTGAAGGGGGGGGGAGATCGTGAAAAGAATTCCGTGTATAAACCGGGCAATGGCACTTGACCGTAAAAAAACATCAGTATAGGGTATACCGGGCAAATGTATACCGGGCAGTGGCACTTAACTAGACCTTGTATATATTTCAGACATTTAGCAAAAGTCTAGCCAACTAGACCTAGTATAAGTGCCACTGTCTGGTATACCCTACACTGATGCTTTTTTTTAAGGTCAAGTGCCTTTGCCCGGTATACGCTGCACTGATGTTTTCTTAAGGTCAAGTGTCCCTGCCCGGTATACCCTACACTGATGTTTTTTATTAAGGTTCAGTGCCATTGCCCGGTATACCCTCGCTGCACTGATGTTTTTTAAGCTCAAGTGCCATTGCCCGGTATACCCTACACTGATGTTTTTATAAGGTTCAGTGCCACTGTCCGGTATACCATGCAATTATGTTTTTTTAAGGTTTAGTGCCACTGCCCAGTATACATTTGCCCGATACTCCAAACACTGATGTTTCTTCTAATCTATCGTCAGTAAGTATTAAAATATCGAATAAATGTAATTATATAAACGAAATAAATTAATATCAAATCGGATGTAATAAATATTTCGGACATTCACCAAAGCGACAATGTGATAGTCAACATTCACCGATGAAAGTCAACAACCACCGATTTCGGTCATTCACAGTAACATGCACATCATTTACATAATAGCCGCATCAGGACGTTTATTTCATACTTTGTCTAAATAGCATTTGTCATTCTATAGAATGCCTAGGCATTATATACATTGCCTAGGGAAAATATGTTATAATTCTCATATTTCCTACTTTGCCTAAAAACATCCAGCATTCTATACAATGCTGGCGTTTCATACTTTGCCGATAACATACATATATTAAGATCTAACTAACTTTAAAGTTAAAAAAAATTTAAAAACGAAAGCAAAACAAATAACAATAATAAAAACAAAGACATAACGACAAAATTCAACAAAAAACATATTTTATACGAGTTCGAAAATGACAGCAAACGTCGCAAAAAATAAACGTAAAAACAAATGCGAACGGTGACGGTAAACCTTTGAAATTTAGTCAATACGCCAAGGAAGCGAACAAAGAAATCCCCTATATTCTCAGTGTAATTTCCCTCTTTCTCTATTTTCACTCTTCCGACGAAACTCTAAGTTTTTAACATTATGGAATCGTCCTTTCCCTAGTCCAGGGATGGCGAACCAATGGCACGCGTGCCATTTATGGCACTCGACACAATATTTTGGGCACGCCACCTATCACAATTGAAGCATATGTAACAATTAAATTGAAATTCACGAAAAACAAACAAAATAATAAGCAATTATTAAAAAAAAATTAACAATTAATGCTAAAAAAACAATTAATAACCATAAAAAACAAGCTAACAATAAATAACTAGCAGAAATAATTTAAGAGTCCTGCTTAAACTAACATCTTACAACCTAATATAAGTTATTTGTCATCTAATCTGCAACAACAGAAGTCACACTGATGTTACTTTAAGTTGAATTGTGCGTATAACTGAGACATTGCAAAATGTATTTTATTTCAATGTAAATAAAGAGTTTTGAGTTGATAGTGTTTAGTATTATTATTTTCCCTATAATCACGAAGTCAAAATTATTTGACGGCACGTCTATGACCTCATTAAAAATTTTTTTTAGAAAAATGGCACGTTGATGTATAAAGGTTCGCCACCCCTGCCCTAGTCGCTTGTTTTTAAACTAGCACATTTTTTTTAAAAAATAAGCATGCAGATGTTTGCCCAAGGGTTATACCTTTCGATGAGTGTTATACCTTTCGAGTTGGTCCCTTTCTGTGATGTTTCTTTGTTTTTGTTGTTGTTGCTGTTTAGATTATCGCGTTAACGAGACGGCGAGTATCCTGCCATGGATCACAACACGGAAATCTCCCCTTTTGAAATTCTGACATGAACACACGGATCAATTTGGTTGGCAGACCTTGTGAAACGTGGTATGATTGTATATGCGCGTGATAAATTGTTGAAAACATACACATGGTTTTAAACATTAAACTACACAATGCATTGATTTAAAAAAGTATACAGTATATACTTATAGTAAGATATTATATACAATTATACAAATAATTAAACTAGTTAGATTAAAATAACTCCTAAGTATTCAAAGTTCATTATATAACCCAAGTTAAAAGGAAATTATAAAAATCTAACCCTACTTCCATAAAGTACCTATTTCTTAAAATATGGAAAGGTGATTCACTATTTATTAAAAAACTTTTGAAATGATAACATATGAACACGCAGATAATATGATTGCAAATAAATTGAATTACTATAAGCTTACTCAATTTACTCTATCAACTATCTACAATCAACTTTGCGGTAGAACAGTTTAACGAGGACCAATACAGCACACCCTCGGTCCCTACGCAGACTAATCCAAGTGATCACCCACCCGCACGACTTCTGTGATCTGCTGGGAACCGCGTCTTAACGATCAGTCCACTGCGGGACGGAAACTTACGGAAGGATTTCTAAACACATACGCCGTATATCTAGGTACGCAGCAATATGTTTTGTCAAAATCATTTACATTTTTTCTACCTATAATGCGATTCCTAACTCAATGAGAAATGAGACAACTAGCTAGTACATGCGACTCTTTTCGAGACTTGCTGAAGAGTATGAGACGGAGGGGGTGGGGCTGTTGACATGGAACTGGTTTTTCTCTACAGATTGCGTATTCGAGCATTGCGATCGCGAATACGCAATCAGTTCCAAGTCTAGACCCCCTTCCTCTTCTCCTGTAGTACGATATCTTCCCCTTTCCTATGATATTTTTCTACTTTTAAAAATTTTCCCGACACTTTCTTTTAGAACTATGTTAAATGTAGTTTTTAGTTCCGCATAGTTTGATCATTTAAAAGTTTTAATCTATTTGAAAATTAAGACGGAAACTAACGTACTTCCTTCTCCTGTGACTCTCCACAAGCTAATGGTGAAAGCATGAAGCATGCAAAGTGTTCCCAGCCATCTGTAGCCCCTTTGGATTTCTCTCTTTCACGGGTTCTAACTCGCATACTTGAATTTCATTTGTACAGTGAAAACGGTCTTTCATTCATCTTAGTCAGACTGCCGATTTTTAACGTCATAGAAATCCATGAAGATGCTTTTTATTGGTAATTTTAAATCATTTGATCTTCTATTAAAACCAATGAGAAGTTGGAACGCAGGTTTAATACCAGTCTGAATGTCTATTATCAGATCACATGGATACTTTTTTGCAGCTGTTTTTTTTTATTTTTTAAATCTGCTAACGGGTCGAGGATATTTTGAAATGAAGACAAAACTAAAAATGAAGAAAAACATTGGGTTGTAGGAAGTTTTGGATTGTCGAGTTAGGAAGTGTATATTAGTTATTTTAAGGTTTTTAGAACATATGCTCCATACTATTATGAAAAATTTTGGAAATAAAGAATTACAGTGATGGTTTTATGTATATACAATGTTTGACGACGGGCATTGTGCATGTGTGTTAGTGTTGTGAAACTATTATTGAGCCAATTGGTATTTAATAAGGATAAAACTTTGGGATGCATTCTTTAAGAAAATGGTTTTATAGACCTAAGGTATGTAAATTATTTTAATTCAACAACAATATTCTTAATAATAGTTGATAAATGCTGTAGTTGAATTTCGCATTCATGTGTGGCTTCATAATTGGGACATACTACGATATCCGACACAATTAGATAATAGATTGTAAAATGTATTTTTTGATACTCAGAAAAGAACTGGTTTTAAATAGTTTATTTATTTCTATACTAATGCACTATATTTTAAAATTGAGGGGAAAATGACACTTCTTGAACTTGTTTTATAATTCGAAAGCTTCATATTCTTTTTAATGTGCTATTATTAGTATTTGTGGTTAAAATTAAGCTACTTTCTTAAATATCTCTATCGAAACTTCACGTTTGCCTTTGATATATGCATAAAAACTTATGTTACGATGCGCATTAAGTAATAAACATTATGGTCTGCTATTTTCACTTAGATTATTAAAATTTATCATAATCTAGCTATGGTAGCTTAGAAACTACTTAGGAATACTTATAAAAATATTTCAAAAATAATAGCGGCCAGTTTGTATATTACTAAAGATTAATGAGTTCGTCATATTATTACTAGGGAACTACACTAGGGTATAATGAACAATAATTTTATTTAGCACAAAGATTTGTGTCTTGAGTAGCTAGGTGATAGCTCTTGAGCGGAATTTAATATTTTGCTACAAGACTTAATAATTGAAAATGTTTTGCAGTTGTTAAAATAATTAACTCTTATTAAGTAAATCATTATTGTTTTCTTTATTTAAATTTTATTTTGCCAAAAAAATTCCAAAAAAAGTACCTTAATTAGTTAAATGTCAAATAATGCTTTATATGTCTACATAACATAACCAAACAAAATTTCTTAATAGCATCTAAAATTTTTATCACTACTTAGACATAAATTGCTATTTAATGACATGAAAGTAAACAGTGGTCAGCAAGGGGCTTGGATATGTTGCCTCATAAGTCTCAGTTTTGTAAGCCTTCTTCTTTAGGGAGTGATAATGAGTTATTTTAAAGGATTTCTGTTCTAAATTAGATTTTAATTTCTGTTATAGCAAGTTTATTATTTGCCAAATTATTTTATTAATAACTTTAGTTATTTATACACATAGATTTGTTAATACCTAAAAAGTTTAGATGTAGTACTTGGAACTAAATTTATACCTACTTACTATTATTAAGGTAAATATAATTAAATAATGATTTCACTCTTTGTGTATTCCTTATTTATTTGTATTTTTTTCTATTAAATTTTAAGATATCCTACAAATCAGTTTTTATAAAGTCTTATAAAAATTATTTCACCGTAAGTGATAGTAATACAGTTGACCATTGCTGAATGTTATCTGCTAGATTAGTTCTATAGTTGTGATGTACCTATTTGTTTTGTTCTTTTTCCTATTATCTTCTGCTTATTTTGAAAGGTATAATAAACCTTTTTCAATTAGATAAGGGGCAATTCCATGGCGGATAACATTGCATTTTGATAATATTTCTATTTTTAAACTTTTTTTTTTTCATTAATAAATAATAATTTTCTTTAAAAATTATATAGGATATTTTTCAATGGTCTATTAGTATAGTTACTCATTTAAAAATAGGGTAAAAAGTTTTGAAGATTTATTTAGAATAAAAATATTAAATGTTACTGACGTTACATGGGGTAAAATATATTTATATTTAGAATTTCTCATTCTGTAAGCAATAAAAGGATTATTATTTTAAAATTTATCTGAAAAAAGCTTCCAAGTTAAGAGGAAACATGGAAGTACACATGAAATGAAACATAAAATGGCAAATAGAGAAAAAGATATTGCAAATTATGTTAACATTATAAACTATTTTATTGTTACATAACATTTAAAAGCAATTGTTTTTATATTATATCTAAAATATTTATTAAAATACTAAGTAATTTATTAACCGATTCGTTTATGCTATTAAATGTTTATTTTTTAATTTTGTCTTCTCTATCATGGAATTGCCCCAACTATCATTTTATTTCATTCTAATTTTGAAACACTGTTATTCCTGGGTAACATAAAAATAAAAATGATTTGCTACATTATGCTACTGTAGTCTAGTATTATTTAAAGGTTGGAAAGAGGGATGAAATTTTATTTTTTATCATTAGAAATGGATAATAATATTTATACATTAAATTAATTTGAAACTTTTTCTGAATCTGTAATGAAAAAACATAATTATAATAAATTTAATTTTTATGTATTCTCATTTTTTTTGCATGCTTTGTTATTTTTTAAAAATTAAATTTCTAAAAGATAACAGAATTTCAATTTTTAATAAAAGTATCAGGGTTGGGTTTTTGACGTCAAAAAGTAGTTTTTGACATGACAAGGGTATAATACTGGTTTAAACCGTCAAAAACCTCAAAAACTGAAGTTTGCCAAGAAAATATATAAACTTCAAAACTACCAACAGTTGCCATGCATTATATTGAAATTTAATTATACTATAGGTAATCAGCAGGTTTTAAAATATTTTTTAATTAAAATTAAGGTAAAATAACAGATTTAAAATCTCAGAAATTTATATTCAAATGCATGTGCAGAAAAATTTTGCACAAAAATTGTTTAAATATTTATATTTAAAAAAAAATTTTTTTTTTTTTTTGATACTTAAGAAAATTAAAAGTTTATTACTATGCATTTTTGACATATAAGGAACATATAACTAATATTTATAAGGAACTTACAAGTTATGTTGTATAAATACAAACTTGATACAAGTGTATAAAAAAAAATTTTAATGTTATACCGAATATCTTTATTATCCAGTATGTTAATTTGAATTTAAAAGTAGTTATATTTGTGAATAATGATAAATATAATTCATATTGTTTATTATATTTATTTATAATTATTACACTTATCATTTTAAAACAATTTTTACCTCTTAATTTTTTTTTCTCCACTTGTATTAAGAATACAAATAATGCATATCTTGAAAGCAAGAAGTAATTATTCAACAGCTGAATATTTAGATATTCAACAAAACTATATCGTATTCAGCAAAATGAAATTCACAAGTATTTGGATAAACTAAATTTTCAGCATAGTAAATGAATAGGCTGAATATACTGTAAATCGACACTAACTACTCTGTGTATTTAACAGAAAGCACTTAAATTTGTATTGTCTTATGTTAAAAAGATTATTAAGAAGATTTAAAAGAATATTAAAAAGATTTTTCTTTAAAAGAAGATGTCTAATGTACAAAACTGCTAATGTTTATCTTTAAAAATGTCTAATTTTTAGTATAATCTATACTATACACTAAATTTGGTTATAAATAAATTTCTTAATAATATCACTGCAGATTTTCAATAACACATGAAAATGAATACATAATATTACAAAAGATGTGAGTTTTCAAAAGTACAAGATTTTGGTTACTATTCAAAATATAAGTGTTTCTTCAAAATTTTAAATTTATTTTTTCTAGAACATATTTAGAAACACTATCCTTTATAAAAAATATATAAATTTTATGTATTAATTAAATTTCACATATGAATATAGGTTTTTGACATTTTCGACATTTTTGACAGTGAGGTTTTTGACGTGACGGTTTAAACCATGGTTTAAACTGTCAAAAACTGTCACATGTCAAAAACCTGCCAACCCTGAAAAGTATTTAGTTTTATTCTAGATTAATTTTAATGTTTAATAAAAATTAATATAATTGCTTTTATGTAAGGATGATCTACTTTGTAATACACAGCCAATTTGTAATATCTTAAATTTAATTGAACTGATGAAAAACTTAGATTTAAACTTAGATTAGGAAGCTGTACTGCTAGATTTAATTTTCGAGTTTAAACAAATACTTCATCTGTGAGATATTTTGATTAATGCATACATATTAATAATGTAGCTTCAATTTTATCAGAAGCGGCAATTCATTAGGGTAAGGTCTTACTTTTTGACAGCAGATTCGTAGATTTATACCTATTGCCTATGGATTATTTTTCTTTCTTTAAATATTAGCATTAAAGTATTCGGGAAAACTCAAACTGTATTCTTCCTAATCATGGTTAGATTTTAACTCACAATTTTTTAAATGTTAATTTTTTTCTAGTGTTAAAAGGTCTTTTTCTAACATCTTTTTTTCCGAAAATGCTTTTTCTGCCTAGTTCCAAGAGTAAATCATGAATGCAAATTTGATATTGGTGTGTTTGAAATTTAGCAGTAGAATTTAGATATGTAGAACTGTATTGAATCTTTTAATTTCCAAATTTTAATGTTATGCTGTGTTGCACTGAAGCTGACAATATACAAGTGTATACAATGGCACAGCTAAGATCGGGTTTTGTGGAATATAACCTCTCCCAGGAATCATACTCAAGAATTAAATCAACTGCTGATCAGTCAGAAAAGGGAATTGATTTAAAAGAAGCTATTACAGAGTGAAAATGCATAAAACACAATACAAATAGAAGGTAAAATATTTCTCTGGAGCTGTGTGAGGAGGAATGAAAATAAATACATGCGTTTGAAATGTCCAAAAATAAAAAAACTTTTGTAAGAAAAATAGAAAAAGTGTGAGGCAGGAAATAATTCTAAAAATTAACAAAGTCAAATATGTACAATTCAAAGTGAAGATAAGAGTTCAAATTTTAATTTAAAAGAAATAGTTGACAATTATATATTTGATAATATATTTATTATAAATATTTTACACACTGGGTTCGTCACACCCGCTTATTGTCTTATGGTTCTTATTAACTATAGTTAAAAATAGTTAATTGTTTAAAATAATTCTTATTTAAACTGTTGTGTACTGAAAATTTATGGGTATTAAAGCAATTCTTTTTTGGCTGCACCATTGATTAATTGTGTTCCATTGTTGACTAAACTTGTTCTGATTGGTTTAACTTGTTGTGTATAGATTCTGATAGAAAGCATAAGAAATTGGGTATTTGCATTTCAAGAAGATTACGATAGCCCACACATGTGGCCAATGATGTTAGCACATAGTTTATGAGCAAA